AGGGCTTTAATGCCTCGTCTCCATAATGGATTTGGTTAGGCTAGGGTGGTCCTTTTGTGGAGGAGATCTTTTCATCCCTTTCTCTTGTTTATTCATATTTTTATAGGAGGTATCCAAATATGTTTAGTTTTAAATTTATATCATCCTAAAGTGTGTAACGCGGAAAAGAACCTTGGAAACGAATATAAAGCATTTTGGAATCGATTTAATGATTGAAACTTTTTTTATGACTAAGAAGTTTGAAATTGCTCAGTTATTTTCATGATTTTAAAACTAAACATTAAGTTAAGCTGGGCCAAAACAGGTGTTAAACGGCCATCGTGGTCCACTCTAGAGCTAACCTGTTAGTCCAAGGGTTATGTTTGTGCGATGCTCGGCCAAAATTGAATTTATGGCATCGTTTCGTATTTCAGAGTTTAATATGGGGGATGCCGCGTGAGAAATGTGGAAAGGTGTGAGGCCGCGGGGGCTCATCAGCTGTCATCATCGCAGTAATCAACAGTTTAACGGCAACGCCTGGTGGCCTAGATTCTGCGTCGCCACTTTGTAATCATTAAGTCGAGCTGGTCCTGCAGCCAACTACAACTTCCCTATACAGAGGGGGGTCAAAATATGGTATAGGAAGGGGTGGTAAAGGGGTGCGATTATGTGGCTTGGAACTCCATGAGCAGTCCTGACCAGCATCAGCATCAGCATCAGGATCGTAAAATCATTTGTTTATCGCTGCGGCCGTTTTCGGGCCCATTAGCAGTTCAAATCCATTGCAATAAATCCTCGAGTTGCCGGGAAGCGGGCTAATTCCTTTGCATACGTGGCGTTTGGCGCCAGATGGCGAATGACGCGCCGATTGGCATGCAACATAAAAGCTTATTTTATGATTTAAGCACCACAAAGCCACACAGAGCTCACAGCACGAACACCCACCCACCCACATTGGGAAAGTTAATCACACATAAAATGTATTACTTTATAGTCGTGAAAAGTCCTTCTGCTCAACCCCAATAAAGTTGCCCAATTTAAGTATATACTTATAAACGTTACACAAAATAAATTTCATTTTGTGGAACTCACATTAGTTTGCGATTCGACTAATAAAGTTGGCCCAAAACCAACTGCAATTAGTTGCGGTCTAAAAGTGGCTAACGAGAGAGTTCCAAGCCATTTGAGAAGTTTATGCTACATATTACTTGGTTTGAGCAGCGGCTTCTGGTAGGACAAAGTAATTTATAATTACTTATTTCGGTGTTTAAATAAGCTCAAAGAGGAGAAACCAAAGTTTTTAAAGTAAAATCAATACTAAAAGGTTTAGCCTGAAGGCCTTATGTTTGTGATATTTATTATTAGTAGCAAGAGTTTCACTTTATTGAAGTAGTAAAGCTCGCTTTTTGTGCTGGCCTTTGCTTGCAAAGCATAAAAAACATTTTTAATTAATTACATGCGGAAATGAACTATTGATTTACTGCATTAAAGTAGATTTCTTGTTACTAAAGACCTATAATAAAGTAGTAAGTTCTTACTAAGTTATTTGGTTTTTCCCATTTCTTACTTTCAAATACTTAATGCAGTAAAAAGGTATTCCTTTGGTTAGTTATGTTTATTTAGGAACTTCAATATTCCCATAAATTTGTATCCCTAAACTAAAAGAAGGAAACAAAAGCTTTGAGTTGGATATCATTTGGTATTCACAAAGAAAGGCAGCTTGTATCGAAATATGTATTGGCAAGTTTTTTTCCGGTTTTAGGTTCCATGTTATAACATTTCTCGCTGTGTGACAGCTGATGGCTGAAGATTAACACACACGTCCATCATCTGTTACAAAAGCGGTTAACATGGAAACGCGATGCGATCGAGCGGAAGTAGTTCGCCACTAAAACCAACGCAAAAATACCCATACCCATACGAGAGTTGGCAACTTTTCGCGGGCATTTTGTGATATGTTAGGAGAACTTTTGATATCCCTGCGGTATCCGAGGCATTTTAATCAACTACGCAGGCCGCAGCAGGACGCATTGGAATGCGGCTAATAAATATTTATAAGTGCTGCCCTCGCACAAATTGTTTGACGTGGTCCGTCTGTTGCCACCGATATGAAAGTTTAGAATTCTCGGGCTGGCCAGGCACGAGTGACAACACCTCCCTGCCCTTCTGTCCCTTTGTCTCTCTCTGAACCCAAATCCCTCCCTACGGGCCAGTTGAGTCCTTAAGCCAAAGTGCTTGGTTGTTATCGTGTTATATGCTATCCCTTTGCTATTCCTTCCTTTCACTGCTCCGAATCCGAGTTCTCGTGTGCAGAAGTGTCCCAGAGTCCCAGTGCAGTAGTAGCAACAGGCAAATGCGCTTTTGATGACATTTTAAACGCCTTCGGATTTGTAGGAATGCATTGAGACAGCGGCTTTGGCTCCCGGCCTGCTCTCATCCTTTAAGAAACTAATCGATAAGATGCTTGGCATCACATATGCCTCCCGAACTGGGATCCTTCCGGGCTATGATTCCATTTTACCGTCACCACAAAAGCCAGCTGAACAAATTCGCAATAATCGAAGGGGAAAAAACATAAATTGATTTCCAGGAGGGCGAAAAAAAAGGAGCACCAATTTGCTGCCTTCAATTCCTTATTTTTTTTTCCGTTCCCGTTCTCTGTTTTTTGAGCTTGGGGTTGTCCTGGCAACCTTGCAGTTGCCCAAGCTGCTGGGGCAAACACGTTCCCAGAAAGTTTTTAAGGTCCTCTGCCCTTTGAGTTGTTGATGACATGTTTCGGTAGTCCGTGGTCCGTGGTCCGCAAACGGGAAGATAAAAACAAAAAATGTCAACAACAGGAGCGCTTTTATTTGTGCAAAACAGAAAAATTAATTCAAGTTCGGCTCCCTCTCTGTCTCTCTCTGGGCTCGCTTTAAAATGTAAAGCGGAAACTTTTGGCCTGGGTTTGCAATTCTTTTATGTTTTCCACAGCTGTTGGCAGTTGTCTTCGGCGTGGGCCTAGTACGTTTAATTAAATTTTTGTATAGAAAAACATTCTCAAGGCTGCTGCGTGTGCGAAAGTTTGTGTTTGGCTTTGTAGGGGAGATCTGTGAATCATGGGACATGTTGAAAATAGAGTTCCCAGAGGGTGAAACTGGTGACAGCACTGGGTTTTAATATTGATATTTAAATTTTCTAATTTACTCTACCCGTGGGAAAACGCTCTCTTTCCGCCCCTTTCCCTTTTTTGCATCCAATTATGCCATTATCCGGACGCTTTCGGCTTCACATCGCATTATCCTCTGCAAACAGTATGTCCCACATGGCGTATACTCTATCTCTGTTTTTTTTGTGGGGCCGCCTGCCCAAAACTAGATGCAAATTAATATGCATTTCCATGCTACTGCTTGCTGCTGCTGCTGTTTAAAACAACAAAATCTTCCGTGCTGGTGGATTCTTCATTTCATAAATAGTTGGAATTTGCATGGATGGCAGCTCAAGTTCAGGTGGATGCTGCATTAAAAATACGACGGCACGCCTGCGGTGAACCACACATGCATTAGATATTCCCCGAGTTTTCCATCCAAGGTTAATGTAAGTACTGGGAAATAATCAACCTAGCTTAAGTACTGCTGAGAATGGAAAAGCGTTGGAAGAGTGCTTTGCCTTCCCTGTTATAAAAGTCATAAATCCAAGCAGATATTATTCCATTTACTGAATGAATGGCCTTTCTGCTCAGCCATAACCATCGCCCCATAAGCACAGGAAGTGAAAATGAGCCAGGGCCATTACTTCGCCAGATGATTGGGCCATAAACCACCTGTCCATGGAGCCAATGAAAAGTTCAACCGGCTGCAGGTGAGACAACTTTGGCCAGTCCGGACACCATGGATGCATCCGTTCGCTCTCAGTGTGTGAATTCATTAGCCCCGGAATAATTAACAGCCGATGCAGTCTGCACCCTTAAATTGATCGTTATTATCTGCACGCGGAGGGGTGGCAACTCACCCAGTTAGGCTTCTAACGAAATTTACCCACTCATGAGCAGCAGCAGCAGGAGAAGCAGCAATCTGTGCAGTTGATTGCAATAAATTGCATTTGCCGGAAACCTAATTATATTAAGTTGCAATTAAGGGAAAGAGAATGCCAGGGGATTGCCCCAGGTGGCACAGGTGCAAATGGCTCTCCACTTGGCTGGCTTTAAGAACGGCAAAAATGCTGGCAAATTGAATTGGCTGCACTTAGTACTGGCATGTACATTACATCACATCCAGAACATCATTCACAAACATTCACAACATCCCAAAGGCCATTGCATTTTCCCACTCCATTGGCCTCTCTGTTTGTCTGTTGCTTTATGGGGCATACGTTTTGGGTTCTTATTTGGATTGCATCCAAGGAGGAGGCTCTTAGTTTGTATCGATGCCGGTTTGTTTGGCATGGCTCCCATACGTTCATCTGATTTGTGTGGCGAGCACGTGAGCAGATTATGATTACATACACCGAGCAGCTACCCAGCTACCCAGCTACCGAGCTGCTTGCCACTGCAATTCCGGATACTTTGAGCCCGGACGGCACATCCTTTGGCAAAAGCCAATCAGAGGCAGCAAACACAAATGGATGGCATCCAAAGTTGCCAGCGAAACTCGAGACTCAATTCTGAAATGCGAATTGCTGCCGTTTGGTTACCTTTGGGGAAAATTATGAAAAGCGTAGCATAGATGGTTGGCCTGAATACGATTGTTTTTCCAAAGTTTTTCTCGAAAGAATATTTCTTAAGATTTCGTTTTTAAAATTCAAGCAGCACCAGCTGCAGTTGATTTAGTTCCTTCATTACCCAGCACATGTTGGATCTACGCAAAGATAAACTTCCTTTAAATTTCATATTCAAAGTTTGAAACAGCTTTTTGTTTCGTTTTTTACATGGGATTTGTGGTGGAAAAGGTTAAAGTGCGTCGATAGCACCGCCCTAAGTTAATTATAGAGAGAATTTAAAAATATTAAATCAAGTTAAAGCTAACTTTGTTTGTTTGCATCCACAGCTGCGCTCTACTACTTCGCGACCGGAAGCGGAAGTTGGCAGGCCGGAAGTCTGGCTGGTTGTTGCTGTGGTCCCTGCCAGCTCCTGTTCGCCCCCCCCTTGTAATGGTGTTGGTTAGGGCAAAAGTGTTACTAAAACACTAAGGAACACAGCGGAAATCGAGGAAGTGTTGGGACTTATGATGCCCCTACTCCGGCTTAAGCACACAAATCCGTCATAATGCAGCGCTGAGGGCAAGGGAACAAAATAAATCCAAGGCATTCCACTCCAGGGCAAACGAAGCTGAACAATCGGAGGACGTGAACGAGAACGAGGACGGGTACCAGGACTAGGACTAGGACTAGGGTACTTCAGTTGACGACAAACCATTTCTGAACAGGAGACGTCGACAAAGCGGCCAACGGCATGGCGGACCTGGAGCGCATACGCCTCGTCCTTTTGGGCGGCGCCGGCGTCGGCAAGAGCTCCATTGTGAAGCGCTTCCTGTTCAAATCCTACACGGACAAATACCGCGCCACCGTCGAGGATCTCTACAATCGCGAATACGACCTGGGCGGCGTCACACTGAAGGTGAGTCCTGGGCCCGAGTCACCCCGCTTACAATGCACTAAGTCTGAGAAGGCACGCAGTTTGCGCCTGTTTTTTGTCCTTGTTTACTGGCATTTCCAAAAGAACTTAGCTGTAATTTGTTTACAAGTGTTTAAATGTCAGAAATGCACTGGGAAAAGGTAGCATTAGTAAAAAACATTTATCTTAAACAATAACCAGTTTACTTTTAAGGTTAATTCCGAAATTTTCCACAGTTACACGAAATAACCAGTGTATGACCTTAGGAAACTTAACCTTTAGCCATGTTTATCATTTTAATAACCCAACTTAGCATATTACATAACCTAATGTTACAATAATTTAAAGAGCCTGCAGTTATGGGGGACTTCATTAGCCCAATCAATGTTGTGGTCATCAACTGGCCGGGAATGCTTAGACCGTAAATTAGGTAGGAATCTACTAATTGGATGTCTGGAGAATTTCCACAACATGAAGTGGGGTGCGGCTTTGCCGGCAGCAAAGACATTACGCTCCATATGCTAAGTATTAGCCAGGACACGTGTGCTCCTGGTCTCCTGGCAATTGAGAAGCTCCCCGAAAGCCTATTTGGAGTCAAGTGAATCGGGCAGAAGTGGTTGGCGGTTTTGTGGGGTGGGTGGTTTTAACCTGCCTCTGCCCGGGGGGCACAGCTCAAGATGAGAACTTATACGAAGGATGAAAACACAAATTGAACAAATGAATCCTTGCTGATTTAAATGTACTCACGGCAATCTTGGGTAAATAGTTTCGAAGTGGGGGGTCTCCACCCGCTCATCCTGACTAACAGGCTGACTGACAGCTCGTCGAACTTGTGGGCGGAGGCTCATTAATCAAATTTGCACACGCTCAAAACAGCGGAAACAACATGGAGAATGTGGGCCACTTCCCAGCCCTTTGTGCCATCAGTGCTGTCGTGGAAAGAATTCCGGATCCAAGGGCCAGCCCAGTGCCCTAATATGCCACTTAAGAGGGGTAATGAATGGATAATAACTTCTCTTGCCAGGGGAAACACATTTACCGGAAACTGATAACTGCTGTGTATTATTTTAATCGGGCATAAATCGTCTTTGGATAACCATAAGGGAGCTAATAACCCAGAAAGATCTGGCGGGAAGCCAGAAAACCCATTAAATCACAGGGCATCTCAGTCGCTTTCAGACGCATCCTTACAACGCATCCAAGGACGATGTCATGAAAGGGAAAACTTCTGATGGAACATCATTCACTGCTCCGCTCTCCAGCGTTCCAGCTGATTATTCGCTGTTCAAACTTGTCTTACACCACAAGCACATGCTCGGCTAACAAAAGTTGGCCTGGAAGTTGATTAATAGGTGGGCAGGAAGGAGTCGGCGTCGTTATCAGGATCCTAGCCGTCCAAATTGAATCCCAGAGAGAATGAGAGAGAGGATGTTTGGCGACACTGACACTCTTGGTGGCGGCGCCGATGGCAGGATTTCGACCCGAAGTCAGGACATACTTCGATTTAATTAATTTCATTTTAGCGACCGATGGGGTGCACATCCATTACTTAAGCTTGCCCAGATTGAATTCCACTCGGGAGCTGTCACCCAGGCTTAAAGTGATTTACTCCCAGCCACCTTTGCTGCAGTGTCCAGCCAGCCACACAGCCATTCAGCTGGCCGATCAGGTGCATCCAAATCACTTTAACCTGGACAATTTGCGAGCCTGCTGGTAAGGTTCTTTGCCTAACGCCCCCCTTGCCAAACAAGAAGCAAGCCTGCAGCCCGCTGTGACTGATTGCCGGAGCAGCGTGTGGCCACCAAATGGGAACATTACATTGCACTAAACGATTTCTGCTCTTTAAAAGCCATTCTGTGTATGTACAGTACAGGGGCCAGAGTGTGTGCGGCACAGCAGGACGAATTTGATGCCTCGAACATAGATGGTCGAACAAAGCAGGCAACCGAACAATGGCTGGGCGGCGAGAAATGGTGTCGAAAATATAAATTGTGTCATTCTGTAAAGTGTTTTTAATAAAGTTTACTCATTTCGGCCAAACAATGCGTTACAAATTTGCCTCACAATGGCCAGGGCTGTCAATGAAGGGGATGAGGAACCGAGGGCTACGTGCAGATGACACTGACAGGACTAAACGGCTTGCTCTGCCTCTGGCTCTTTGACTCTCTCTTTCTCTCTTCGGGTTTAACATCCTATTGACATTCCGGATCGTGTTCAATGCGTATCGCGTACTCCACGCGGCGATATATACAACATAACAGATGCTGACACGGGGATTAGTGGGTATCAGAAGCGCATTGAACGGGCAGCAAGCCAGGAGTCACGACCCAGGAGACAGACACTGCCCCCACTCTGCCAGTCAGATATCCAGACCACCAGACAACACTGCGGTGCCTGCGTCCTTGTGCTTCCATGGACAAATCGTTTAAAAAACCACTCCATTAAAAGCCCTATGAATAAAGAGGTCACGCCAAAAAAAATGTTAAAACGCAGAAAACTTTTCGTTTGTCTTTAATGTTATAGATTTTTAAGCGATGTCAAAACAAAAGCAACAAAGCAGTGCCAACAACTTTGACTTCTTTCTGTTCTATAAGTAAACGGTGTAGCAAATATAAAAAAGCATGAACTGTAATCCATATTAGGAAGAATCAAAAACCATTTTCCAGGAAACACAAATTCCCTTTAAAATAAGTTCCTGGAAGCGTTAGGGGTAAGGAACCTTTTAGCCAAAGAAAAAGAGATGATGTTAGTTTCTTGAGAGATTTATTTGTAAAGTGAGTTTGTGTCTTGCATTTTGATTTACTTTTAAGCGAAACCATTCTTAAAGACTCTTTTATATTATGAAATAATAATGTTCTTAGATACACATTTAGCCACCGGCTTATCTTTTATTTTCAAATTTAATAAAACTCTACATGTGTGCTAATTTTCCTTTAACTGAAGTGTCAATGATCTGTCACTGCGGCGGGTCAATTAAAAACCGCTTGTCAGATGAAAAAGCAGGAAATTGCCAGTGCGACATGGGAGCTCAAAGAGATGGCATTTCATTGCCAGGATAGGGCCATTCAAATTTAATTATACGTAATTTTTCCTGCTCTATCCTCCAGCTCATCCACTCATCCTTTGCAGGTGGACATTTTGGACACATCAGGTGACATGCAATTCCCGGCCATGCGGCGTCTGTCCATTGCAACGGCGCACGCGTTTATGCTTGTCTACGCCGCCACATCGGCGCCCAGTTTCCAGTGTGTTAAGCAGTGCTTCGAGGAGATCCGCGAGCAGCGCGGCGACTTCCAGGTGAGTTGCAGGTGCCACTGCACTTTGCTCCTGCATTTTGCATGCAATCTGCTAGGGCTAACAAGGGCGAAAGGACTTGCACTCCGCCACAATCCGAAAAGCAATTAAAAGTATTCCCGGAGAGGTGAAGCCAAGCGGCAGAGGTTTAGGCTTTTCACCGGGCTCTTGTTTTAGTGCTGCACAGTGGGTTTGTGGTCTTTCAAAAGATTAGAAAGTAAAAGACATTTTAAGTAAAAAGGTCTTAAGACTTATAGAAATGCCTTAAGGGGAAACGAAATAGGTAAACAATTAAGAGAAACAGGAAAAGTAGTTTCTTTAACATTAATTTTTACATAGCAGGACATTCATGGAGAATCGTTAATATGAAAGCAGTCTTTGAGATACATCTTTAAATGTAGAAGGTAGAACCATCGAGTTTATATTATAAAAAATGAGTGTAAAGAAACATGTCACTCATAGTTTAATAGTTAGCAATAAAACTAGTTTTGACTCTGGCTTAGTTAAGTTTCTTGCTAAGGAAGTTCAACTCTAATAGAATACTTTAAAAGTAGGCACATCGTGATCTTATAAAAGTTGACTCGGAAATAGATAACAGCTAGAATGCATCGAGATATATCATAAACTAAAAAGTCAAGTTGAGAAACCTCTTCCCACTGTGAAGCAGTTAAGGCTTTTGTTTCACGTGGCGCTTTCACGGATTCAGATTTCCGCTGCCATTGTCCTAGCGAGTATCAATTGTGGCGCAATTTGCTTTGTCCGCGTTCAGATTTCGGGGGCACAAGGATGCTTGTTGCGAACCGAGTGCCACTGTTAATTCCCCTTTCGCTCCACAGGACATTCCCATTGTGATCGCCGGGAACAAGGCCGACTTGGCCACCACCCATCGAGAGGTCAAGCTGGAGGAGGTGACCGATTGGGTGTTCTGCGAGCTGCCTCGATTACGGTAAGTCCACGTTCACATTTATTTCACGAAATACGGCTGGCATAAAAATGCGCAACAGCTGCTGTATGCGACAGCAATTAGGGGGAGAACTGCCAAAAGTTGTGCAACAAAGCCCGCCACACAAAGCCGCAAAACCGCCAAACAGCTGCAATTTTCATAAGTAACGCAACAAAGTGGAATTAAAAAAGACCCATAAATTCTGGCCACCCCAGAAGAGCTGCAATGGAAAATGGCAATGGCAAACGGCAAAAGGCAGAAGGCAGGCAGCGAAATTAAATTGCTAGAAATGAAATTAAGCGACAGGAAGCGTGATGGCGGGCCATGAAAGGGAGTTGGTCCACCGAAATCAGTTGCATTGTCCACGGAAGGGGTTGTGGCGCTCATTAAATGCCATTTGTTAGCAGTCAAAAGTGTCGGAGCCAGAAGTATACACTGGGAGAAAGGAAGTTGTTTTGTAGTTAAGGCACCTCGGGGTACATTTTGATAGCATACCTATAAAGAGTTCTTAGGAAAGACTTTTACATACCTAACAAACATATTTTCCTTTTATTAATATAACATCCATAAGAAAAAGTATTTTTCTCAGTGAAGACACCGGGAAATCGCGTTAGGAGGAACACAACGTTTTGTCGTTTTCCCAAAGGACATTTCCCATAATAGCTACTAATTGGCCATCTTGTGCCGCAAACGGTGTCGCTGTCGTGTAGGACATCAATATGCAATTGTCGACGGCGACCAACTGTACGTATGAGTGATACGTTAGAGTATCACTGGGAGTGTTCTTTGAATACTAAACAGCCAGTACATCCTATATGCACATATGCATGAGGTCCTTCAACCTGGCTGCTCTCGAACCGATAGATGTTTGATAGGTGATGCCATCAGCTGATTTATGTTCTCAGATGCAACACAATGGGTAAATACTCACAAGTTTGTCGAATTGCAACCGCAAACTGACATTGAATTAAAGAAACAAGCCACAGAAAGTTTTCATTTAGTGAAAAATGTGTGCAAAATGCATGAAGGTGATAGGTGAACCGTAAAAATATTTGAATTCATATTTAATCTGATTTCCAGAAAATCGTAAAAATAGTTAGTTTAGTTTAAAAGGGAAACAAAGTTTAGGTTACCTTTAACATGCACTAAAAACATAAAAGCTACGCTTATATAGAAACCAATACCCCTGCCAATATCATTGCCACAGAACACTTTAAAGCCACTTAAAGTAACAACTTCCAGGAGCAACTTCAAGCCCCAAATGAACTCAAAAATATTACGGAAGTCCAACTGTGTCAGTGAAAGTAGATTACAGTCCGAATCGTAACTGGCCTGATTTATTCTTTGTTTGCCGCATTAACAATTTTAATGCCTTTTTTGCGTGACAACTAGCCCTGAAAGCGTGGCCGCATCCTTTCGATTCCTGGCCAAAAGGGAGAGGGAATCGCTGGCCAGCACTTCTTGCCTGGCAGTTTTCGCGAGGTAATTGCTGCCTTAATAAACTGCGGGGCAGGACTCGTAAAAATCACTTACAATCACATACGTGCCTGCCACTGGAGAGAGCTCTCCTGGCATAATTCCATATCCTGCGGTAGAGAGGGGCGTGGCACGCTCGTGTTGCTGTTTAAGCAAGCGTGCGTAAACTTATTTAAAAGCGACCGACACACAGACCGAAGAACCGCCACACAGGAGGCGCGCTCAACCGCAAAATGGAGATGACAGAGGCCGCAGGACGAAGGATGGTGGATATGGTGGATAGAGGATGAAGGACACCAGACACGGGACGGGGCTGGGAACTGGGAACTGAGGACGCAGGACAGTTGGCGTGAGCATTACATACAAATCTCTGTTGGATTAAACATTCACGCAGATTGATGGTGCGGTTTTGTTCCCGAGAGCGGGAAACACCTTGAACCTTTCGCCACAATCTCGCACCTTCGTATTCCGCCCACCACAGACTCCAGCCTCTAGCCTCCACGTGGAAAGTTTTGTGGATGAGCATCCTGGTTGCAATGCAATTTGTTGCTCCACCTGCCTGTCTGTCTATCTGTCTGTCTGTCTGTCTGCGGTTAAACGCTTTAAGAGCATGCCACTCAAGTGCATTTATCTGCCTGAATGGGTTCCCCTCGTGTACAGTACGGTTACATGGTAGCATCGAGCCCAACATGTGTAAGTGGTCCACTCTGCCGAAGGTGGGACAATGTATTTATTCAACATTTAATTGCGAAGTCATGCGCACTTTTCCTGCCATTTTGCCAGCGTTAATGCGAAAAATAAACTCCGTGCGATATCAATTTTACTTTGATTTACTGTTATTGCAGCTTACGGCATTAACAATTCAGTCATCTCTTTATTTATTTTGCCAAGTCAGCCGTTACGGTTTTAATTAAATGAAGCTTCGTGAAATAAATATATTAAAAACCTCTCCGTCACTCTGTTTCAGTTTTTTGTTTGACCTTAAATTTCATTTAACCCAAAAAGGCAAAAAAAGGTTAATAACTTAAAATTAAATAGTACAAATTTAGAACTAAGAACCGATTTAACTGATAGAAGATCAGAACTAAGGGTAAGTTAACTACCAACTTTACAATATAACCCAAAAGATGTGTCAATAAAATGAATTTTAGTAATAAAACTTTCCATAGCAATTGATTCAAAGTTAAATAAAGAATTCTGTTTAAAATAAAGTTTAAAATTCTGTCGTCACGCCAACGAGCAACAAAGCAAATCATGGCTTTATGATAGAAAACATACAAAAATAATTTGTTTGGGCAAAGCCGTCTGATGATGGCCAAATTAAAGCTTAAAATCCCTCTGACAGACAGAGTACTATGCAGTTCTGTGTTGAACATCACCTGTCCTCGTCGTAGTCATCGTCCTCATCCGCATTCGCATGCTCGTCCTCGCCCTCGTCCCTGTCTCAGCCCTGACCGCAGTTTTGTGGCGCTACCGCGGATCGGCTTCGTGGCCGCAACCTGCAGTGAATCCACAGTACCGAACCGTACATGACATGCTTAATTTAGCCATTAGCAACATTTGTTTCGGCCACCCCCCCCCCCCTGCGGATGCACCCTACCCCTCGGATGATTGTCGATGGCCCACTTGGCCCTGGCCAAAAACACAAAAACTCTGTTATGCATTGAACATACTCGTACCATAGACCATTTTGTTGGCCCTTTTTTCGCCTTTCGGTTTTGGCTTTTTGTGTGTCGGCGGTATCGCTTTGTTTTCGGCCATCGAAATTTGCTGATGTATGCATTACGTATACGTCATGTACGCAGCCACCCCTGAAAAGTATGCAACCTTTTTATAACCAGTTTTTTTGCAATTCGCAGGGCGAAAGTGCAGGAGTGTTCGGCGAAGGAGGACAGCAATGTGACCGACCTCTTCAAGTCCCTGCTCTCCCTGTCCCGCTTCCTGCCCGCCAGCAGTAGTGGGAGCGGTGGCAGCGGAACGGGCGGTGAGGCGGCGCCCAGTGGTTTCAAACGCCGCTCGTCGGCCTACGTCAGCGCATCGTCCAGTCGCAGTAAGTACCAGTAAATACTAACTATCCAATACCAATTCGGGCAACCATTTAGTGTATGTTTTTGGAAAAAAGGGAAAACCAATTTAGCTTCGTCAACAAAAAATCCATTTCGGAGAAGCTAAAGTGATAATTCGAGTTACGGGAACTCCATTCTGGATTGTGTTTGTTAATATCCCTAACAAATGCATTTGAGAACTGTGAAAGACCTTGCCATTACATTGATAAGACTTAGTTCTGGTGAAAGTGTTAACGAAGTGGTTGCAGTTCTTTTCCTAGTAATTTACTAGCTAAAATCGTTCCAAGTCTCAGAAATCATTTTGGTTGCACTTAAATCCGATTGAATCTCCAGAGTTATATTCCACTTTGCACAAAATGAATTTCCAAATCGATTCCAGATATCCTTTGGAACAGAATACCTTTGGTAAATCCACTCAGCCAGGACAGCCCGTATCACACAGAGCTAGGGCTTGAAGCAGAAATCTCACTGATTCCGCCATTGGATTTGTTGCCATGGCCAGGCGGAATGAAAATGGAAACCGATTCGCTGCCGAGTTGATTCAAACTCTTTGTTGATTGTTTTTTGGCCTGCCGGTTGCCCGCTGCAGTTTCAAATATCAATTAAACATTCATATTCGCCAGCTCTGATTGAAGGGTGTGGCGGCGGACGTGTGAGCATCGAGGGGTCGAGGCGTCCTTCTGAGTTCAATTACAGCTTTATTCGGAGCTTTAAGTGCCGTCGTAAGCAGATTAATTAGTGTGAAATTAAAATATGCCGCCCGTAAATGCAATAATTAAGCCGCTTGCAGGTCGCAGATGTAATTCAGCCAGGGACTTAAGCGGGGACTAGGCCCAGCTGGCCGGGCTTAATCAATAATTAATGCAATTTATGAATAAATTCATTTTAAACAAAAGCCAAAATCCTCACCCACATGCGGCCAATTAATGGAAAATGCGTCCCGGACTAGGATAACTTTTTGCAATTTGGCTAATTGAATGCAATTAGCATTCCTGCTTCAATTGCCGCCCCCTTTCCCCTGTTTTGGGCCTAATTAATTGTGGGAATTCGGCAGTCGGGACCCGGTACCCGGTACCCGGGACCCTTTCTTCCGACCCACTTGACAAAGACAAACTCTTTTTCATTATTCATCAGACGACAAAACGGAGCCCAATAAAAGAAACTCAGGAAAGCAAAGCAAAACAGCGCCAAGAAAAAGCCGTCGAGACGGGGCTAAAAGCACAATAAGACAGAACTCGCTACTTTTGGTCCATCGGCAACGGCAACGGCATCCCCTTCGATGTTCAAACGAATTCTATTTTATCAAAATGTTTTCGAGCGAGCACGTGTATTAATTAAACGGCTTGACCTCCTAATTACCCTGTAATGGAATGCCTTATTATCTCATTAAAAACTTAGTTCGCAGCATATGAAAATAGAACACAAAGGCAGCGACGACGAGGGCCAGCGGCTGAAGAAGTTGAAATTTCGCCGAGCTCGTCAAAGTATAAATATCTAGTTAATTAATGTTGCCCCAAAATGTTTCGTTCTGCTCTTCTCGCCCGCCACTCCTTCCATTCGCGGTGGCCAAATAATTAATTTAATTTCCGACGCAGAAAAAGTTGTTGAATCATTACGGATCCATCCCCTACAGATACCTCCTACCAGCTGCCTCCTCTCCGAAGCCAATAATTTAATTGTTCGCCCGAAAGACTTTTCATAAAATTTTAGTGGCCACCGCAAAAGTCATTCAAATTAAGTGCAAACTTGGCCAGCGGCGCGAGCTGCGAGTACTCTGGATTCCGAGTATATGCAAGTAAATAATTTCCAGCAAATTTAAATTCAAATGGCCGCCCATTCGAGTCCCTTCACAAAACATATTAAATGCCGGCCGAAAAATGTTGTCAAATACTTGGTCGAGGGTCGTCCACAGACAACGCACAACGACTGTCGATGACAGGCGGACAACGACAATGGCGAAGGTCGAGTGGCAGACGACCCCCTCCCTCAGGCGGCTGAGGCCAAAAGGTGACAGCGGCGACAACGACGCCCCGAATGTGCCACCGAAAATAGGACTAAGCACTTAATCACTTGCGGCTCAAGGGGCCGCAGCCAAGTAATTGCCTTAAAAAGTACACCGTACAGCGTACAGCGTACAGCGACGTATGCAAAGCAAATCACAGAAATTTCATTTACGACTCTGCCATTTTGTGGCTCAGATTGTGCCACACGTGTTTACGGCTCGGAATTCCTGGCAGGATGGATGATAGAAGGATGGGCGATGGGTGATGGTACATGTGGTAGGCACGAAAAATGGTCTAGCTAGTAAGTTGAGACAAAGCCAAAAGCTGCAGGCCACATACATGTGCTGCGGCCGGGAAATCCACTTTTACTCCAGTCCACACACATTGTTCAACGCTTTCCCAGGACATTCGCGTGGTTTTGGGTTGTTCGCGCCGCAAGCCGTTTTATCCCAGCCCCACAAACCAGGACCTAACTCAATTGTGGGTGTTCCCTAGCACACATTACAACGCTAAACATGTTTAAGCCACGTTCATGCGTCTGTTCCCTTGATGTTGAATGATCGTTGTTTTTGGATAAGTTGAGGAAGGAACATATGCTCTTAGTTCTATAGAAGGTTTATAGATGCATTTATGTGTTATAAGAATATATGTAATAGTTCGACAATTGTTTAAAATAATCTTGATTTGTATTAAATATCTCTTTTACTTGCTTTAACTTTGAATTGCTAGTTATATGACTCAAATGAGACCCATTAAGATATCAGAAGTTTGACCAGTTTTGACATTGAACTTGTTTAGGTAATAAGAGATGATAAAGTTTATCAATCAAGCTGGGAACATAACTTAACCGGGTGGTTTTCCTAAACTGTTTACTCTGCTTTAAAATCTAAAACTTTTACCTGAAACCAAACCTAACACCTACTCCTTTTTGGAAGACCACTAAAAACTCTTCAACGAATGAAAATGATTAGATTTTTTATGCCTTCAGATCGTTTTACATTTTATTGCTTTTCGATTGCAATTACCGCCACCCTTTGAATAATTTCTCGTTTTACAGGCCATATAGTTGTCTCTTAAATATGTACATTTTGCCAACCGCTTTTTCGCTTTTTTGTAAACATTTCAACTTTGGGGTATCGTATGAAAAGCAATTGATGTGGCAAAGCCTTGTTATGTTGCCAAACTCGCTCCACAGAAAGCGGCCATTGAAGCACTCGAATCTGTGTTTTCCTTCTTCTGCGTTGATGCCAAAACGCTTTTCCAGGGGTCGTGTCCTTCTGATGGAACCCGATGCCGGAGTAGGAGAAGTAAAACAAATTTAATTTAAATTTCTGTTACACGACTCACACATCAATTCCCGCCGCATATGCACAATTTATATCCCCGAATCGGGCACATCCGCTTTGGCCCCTTTTTTCCCGGACACTTGTTTGTTTTTGTGCCGGGATGGCAGTATTTTTGCGTGCGAGGGTCCTCGTTACGGTTTCACAGCCACAGATCAGTGGGGGAAACTCAAAGCTGGCTCTGTGCTCTCCGTGTATCAGGAATGGGAATGAGAATGCCAGCGGAACGAAGCCGTTTTTGGCGCGATTTCTGTCAGCGCCAGCAATTGTATTTTTGCCCGAGTTTTTCCTTTTTTGACAACAATGGCGTTGGCGGCCATTTTGTTTGCACTTGACACCGCCGACACCCAAAAGCATGCAACACTCCGCCACCGAGTGCTTTTGCTCTCAATAATTCTGTTTGCACGGATCATTTAGCCAACGTCAGGCATATTTTCCCCACTAAGCTGCAAAGTTTAATAACTAAATTGACTTGGCTCTGGCTTTGGCTTTGCCTTTGACTCTGTAGCTGTGGCTTTTCCTTTGTATTTGTCTTGTGGCTCCAGTGCTTCACACCCAGTTTTCCCGGCAAGTTATCAATTGTTTTCCCATTGTAAGCCCTTTCTTTGTTTGCGGCTTTATTGCTCGCTCCGGCGGAACAAAAAGGTTTGTTTACTGCCAGGCAAACATCTTGGCTGGGAAACACCTTTTGTGCCAGCAGAATCACCCACTTTGGCACCATAAGCCGGCTGATTGAGGATTACCGGAAAGTTAATGACTCCATTGACACTGATTTGGCCATAGTTGCCATTGCTTAATTGCTGATACTTTAAAGGAGGCTTTCAATCGACTTAGCCCTTTCAGGCTTTCAAAATTTATGACGTTGCTAAACAAAAGGCCAATAAATTGAAACTGTTAATTATGATGTATCTTAATATAATACCCAATGAAGAGAAATAGTGCGTCATGTCAGTGTATCAATCCCTATATTTTCTTAGTACTGATAGCTCTTGTGGTCTGATAGACCTTCAAGCTCACACAGGTTAGAATTCCTTCAATGATTTTAATTGAAAGTCGACCTCTGGCAGGTGGATTGATGGTTCTCCTTTGCCAACTTCAAATGAGAACCTTTGCCATCATCTCTGGTTATTCCTTTGAGACGTTATGCCATATTGGCGGAAGATGCGTGGCAGATAGACTGAGCCGGATCCGAAGGCAGAATGGTAGAATGACAGTGAGGCGATGGCGGTTGAGTCCTCTTATCTTGAGATGAACTTTGACTGTGCAACCGGCTGTAAAAAAACCCATTTCGAGCGGTAACTTTGCGATGTGCAACTCCCTTCCCGGCTCTTTGTGTGTGCCGTTCATAAGTTAATTACGTCAGCGCTCGGTGGCTGCAGTGGGATGGCAGGACGTTGGGATGTCCGGATGTCCCAGTTGCTCTGGCAACGGACAAGGACAGCCCCTCCAGTGGGTAGGGGAAATTGGATTTCGCCTGCACTCGCAGCTCCGAAATCGCGCAGTCCCTTTGAGCCGGAGTACGGCAGTCATCAAATGCAGTCGTGGATGTGGGTATTAATTAGCCACGCGTTACAATCTATTTGTTGCAGATAAAAATCGCATGAATAGCCCGGCTCTGGGATCCGCCGGCGGCAGTGGCGACAAGAAGGGCACCGGACTCGTGGACGCCGTCGACGTGGCCAGCACCAGTGCGGAGGCCAAGCTGAAGCCGCGTTCCAGGTGAGTGCAACACGCGCTGGCTACATCCGCTTTTGGCCAACTAGAGGTTGACCCCACCATCCTTCCATTCCAGATCGCTCATACGCCGCGCATCACGCAAGACCAAGCAGCAAATCAACAACGCATCCGACGACTGCAACGTGCAGTAAACTTTTATTATTTTGGCCGGCAGCCCTGCGCTTAATTATGTTTTTACATTATGCCACAATATGTATTAATAATGGGCGCCAGTTAATTAGCGTGCATAAACAAGTGGCACCGTATTTATGTTTGGTGCAATGAGCTGATTATTCTGATAACATAAAACCCACAAAAACCCACTTGCTCAAGGGCAAAAGCCAGTGCGATAAATTTGCAACTCTATAATAACTTCCATGAATTATTATTATTATTATTATAAATATGTGTGCTTCGAAAGGGGAGTTCTTATGTGAAAGCAAACATCAAAAAGAGCTTAAAAACTATGCCCAGATGATACTTCACTAAAAGTTATAACTATTCTTTAAGATATTTTTGTGTAATTAATTTTATATGTAGTCTAAATATCAGTGTTCTTATATAAAGATATTAGCCTTAAAAAAGAGATTTGGTTTTCCGTTAAGTAGATTTGTAAACAGATTTTAAACTAGTGTCATCGAGGCATAAGGGATAAAGGATTATTCCGACATTGAGCTGACTTGCAAGGGAATTATGCACATAAATCGAGTTGAGTTCCGGTCATTACGGTTTGAAGGGACCAGGTTTTTATTTAAATTTAAAATTAACTTTTATACGAGAAACCATTTCGATTTCAATTTTCATAAATTTTAGTATAATCTACGAGGGCGCAATTTGAATTTAATTGAGAGAGAAGAAGCCGGGTGGAGACAGGGACAAGATTTTGGAGAATCGTAATGCCGTTCAGAGAGTTCCTTTTGATGAGAAATTAATGGCTCAGTCGTTGTTGTTCGTTAAGATTGTCGGGCTGAAGGAGGTTTTTCAAGAAAGGACTAAGTTTAATGCGTTTTCCACTGATGGATTGTCATAATGTTATGATAGGTTGCATAGCTTTAAGGTAAATTCTAGAATGCTAATTTATGAATCTCTATCTGCACCCTTAGCTGACACCATAGTTAATATTGAAACGTTCCGTATATACATATTATACATATATATATAGTAATAACAAACTTGATGGATGGCTAAGAATGTTTACATTTGCTTTGAGCCAAGCTCGCTGGGGTTGAATCCGGAGCACAGGAGCGCAGGATGGAGTCACAGCGACAGGACTTATGGCGAATAAAGCAATTTCGCGGCATTCTCCTTTGGCCCCAGCCACGTAAATATAACAAAACCAAAACTTTAACAGAGAGCACAACACAATTTACTATGCAAAAAACGTAATTGTAAAATAAATTTGATGAGTCCGGGGAAGGGAAAGGGAGAGAATCCCTGAATGCTTATCAAGGATAATACAGGGTGAACTTCTTATGCTAAATTGCCAAATCAAATTCCCCACAATGCACATCAAGTTCGAAGCAGGAGATTTATGTTAGCGAATAATCGATAAAACCGTTTTTAATACGCAACTTTTGCATGCGAGTTAGATTTTTGCTCTCCTTCGGCACAAGTTACACTTGCAACTGTGGAAATTTGTGATAAGAATCCTTTTGTGTTTGTTAAACGGAATGTGCTTAGCAAATAAGATTTATTTTAAAGACTACTTTTAGGCGTACCAAATATGGCAGAGTAAATATTTCAAGAATCTGTAAATGGATGAAATACGGCATATGCAAAGTGAATTGTGATTAAACCAAATATGTACATCTAAGCAAAGTGCGTGTGTACAGAAATGACAAAATGTTAAATGAAAATGGAAAATTAAAATGGATAAATTGCTGGCAATGCAGTCAGTAATTTCAGTAATGAAATCCAAGAGCGATAGGGGGAAACAGGGGACATTTTAGTGTCCTTAAAAATATTGTATTGTTGCTTTCGTCCAGAGTGGATTGACAGGCCAGACCTAGTTATACATATATACATATATATACGGCATTATGCATAATTGTATTTAGTACATAGTCCGTAATTAAACCAAGTTTGGATGTTTGTTTTATAAGTAATACGTTTATACATTGTTACTAGGTGTAGTTAATTAACAACAAATCTGAAGAGCCCAACCCGTGTTTGATCTCTAATCTACTAATCGTAACTTATATCACTATCAACCAATGGGAACACAATGAGCATGAAGAGGACGAGGAGGACGAGGAGGACGAGGAGGCACAGCAAGATGCATGCTATATCAGACGACTTATCCAACTTACCCGATTTTAAATACATATTTGTGTACGTAATTCGATTGTTCTACAAAATGAAAGGAAACCAATTCTACAGAATCGAAAGATTGTAATCTTAAAATAGTCGAAGGAGAATCCAAAGGCCAAATTAACTCTCTAAGTGTGCGTATGTGTGTCATGTACTTGTAACTAATTGAATTTCAATTCAAATTGAATTATTGACAATTGTATTAGCCAGTTAAAATAAACCACAATGCGTCCCAGGCATCGGTGTAAAATGTTTGATTCCGTTGCATAATGAATTCCATTGCATTTCGCATTCTGTTTCCATCAGGCCATCGGATCCCCTTTGGACACCGGAGCTCCAGTGACTATGCCGGGTGAAATGGTTCCAAGCCAAGTAATTTCCACTAAATCAATTAAAACTGGTGCCCGCCCAGAGGCGGCGGCGGCGACGGCACCCCAGTTAGCCGACCGCAGCATCCATTAAAAGTAACTAATGGAATTTCATTCAAATTATAAATTGCATTTGCCCATAGATTCTGCAATTGCGTAAATGCCGATTGCCGGCTTAAAGCAGCCCGGGTGCCAATTCCACGGGCCATGATTTGGAATTTGGAATTGGAAATTTGCATATGCATCTGCGGCGGCAATGGAGGAGGGGCTTATTGGTGGGTTTTCCGAGGAGCAGGCCGCTTTGGCATCCATCCACTGCAAACAATAAACAGCTTTGCTGCCGCCGCCTAATGAGTTTGCATTATGCGCGTTTCCGAATGCAATTTACTGTGCCATTGATTTTGCATTAAATTGGCTTGGTTTGCTGGGTCTTATTTTGGAAGGAGTTAGCATAAAAACCTAATTTTAAGCTATTTATGGTTTTATTTGAATTTAATTTGAGTTTGAAATTCCAACGGAAGCACTGCAGGCTGGCGCCCTCTAACGTTTTGCAACGAGTGCTACACAGGCGCCACCTGTCGGAAATCATCTAGCTTAACAGCTGTTCTTCCAGCAGTTGGCTTTTTTAGTGTGTTTTCTTAATGTTGCGGCGATATTTTGGAATGGCACTGAAATACATTGGTAAGCTGACTTAAATTAACTAAAACATTTTAAAATAAACAATAACACGCTGCCCCTAACAGACATTGGGGCCAACCTGACGGACCCCATGTTCCAGGGCTGCTACGGCGGATCCCAGAAGCACCAGGCCGACCTGGACATTGTTTTGGAACGCGCGTGGCAACAGGGTCTGCAGAAGATCATCGTCACTGCCGGCTGTCTCAAGGATGTGGACGAGGCACTGGATCTGGCCTCCAAAGATGGTAAGCAGTGATGAAATTTACATGGGAAGGATTTACAAAAATCATTTCTAGTTCCAAAATAACTTTCTGTAATACCGACTATTTTCTATTCAGATTTGGTAAAGTTGTTAGTTGTTAAATCAATCTTAATGCTTAGCCATCTATATACTCCACAGAACGCATCTACACCACGGTAGGCACACATCCCACTCGTTGCGAGGAATTCGTACCAGATCCTGAGGGCTACTATGACCAGCTGCGATCCAAGATCAAGGAAAATCGGGAAAAGGTGCTAGCCATTGGAGAATGCGGTCTGGACTACGACCGCCTGCAGTTCTGCGGCCAGGAGACACAGCGCCTATACTTCGAGAAGCAACTGGACCTGGCCGCCGAGTTTCAACTGCCCCTGTTCCTGCACATGAGAAATGCTGCTGAGGATTTCATGGCCATCCTGGAAACAAATCGGGAAAAGATCAAAGTTTGCGGCGGAGGAGTAGTGCACAGCTTTACGGGCACTCTCGAGGAGGCACATCGCATCCTGGCCTTTGGTGGCCTCTATATAGGAGTGAATGGCTGTTCCTTGAAGACGGAAGAAAACGCAGAAGTGGTGCGCCAGTTGCCCAACGACAGGATAATGCTGGAAACCGACTGTCCATGGTGTGGTATACGTCCCTCGCATGCTGGTCATAAGCATGTGACCACCAAGTTTGCCACCATCAAGAAGAAAGAGAAATGGACTGCCGAATCTCTGATAGACGGACGATGTGAGCCCTGTCAGATCAGGTTTGATAGAGTAAAATAGCATTCCCAGACATGGACTAAAAGATATATTCTTCATTTCAGCCAAGTTCTGGAGGGAATAGCTGGGATCAAGCAGGAACCCAAAGAAAAGCTGGCAGAACAGTATTACCAAAACACCTTGGACTTGTTCTTCAGCAAAAGAAAAGATTAGGAAAATGAATAAAACCCTTTTTGATTTACATTCAATGCGTTTAGATTTATTTTATTATTGTTTCTCGTGTCTAAATGCAAATGAATTCAAAAATACGCATTACAACTTTGATTTGTTAGGTTACATCGGTTTGGTTTGTTCGCTCTGCAGTTAGCACGCAGAACCCCACTCTAAGATTAACATTTAGATTTGTAAATAATTGTTACATATGGCTAAGTTTAATTAACTCTTGTGATTACGCACTGCTATGTGGTGTATATAGAATTGATCGCCCAAAAAAATATATATATGTATTTGTTTCGACTCGAATTTGTATATTCTCTCTGGAGTCTAGTCTAAACTCTAAACTCTAATAGAGTGTCATAGCTTAGTTATTGCCAAGTTTTTGGTTACGAGTTTGCCAATTTTCATCGATCATTGGTGAAGCCTTAAAAAGCCTATATACAAAATATTTTGTAAATATTTAAAAAGTCTATTAACTATAAGTAGTACGATTTCGGTATTAAAAATGTCGAATTCCAGGGTTAGGACATATGTATGGGGCTGCTATCTTCAGATCTCTTTATAAGTTAAAAGTAAGACAACCAAGATCTGGACTTAAAAGTTTGCTTTTTTTTTCTATGTTTGGTGAACTGATATGAATATAAATGATATTGATTAAGTTTCTCATTGACAAAGTGGCCTCTATTCTACGCGGTGATGCATTTAAAATGACAATAAAAGATTCAGTCCAATGGAAACGTTATGATATGAACATGTTCATATAGCACTTTAAGTTAATGCGAAAGATTCTGGGGAAGACCGGTCTCTAAAGTTCCCCCCTTTCCGCTTGGCAGTAGTTACTTTTCCTCTTCGAAAGCAGATCCAATTGTTTCCTTGCAGAAAAGTAGTTAAGTTACAGTGGGATTTTAAGTATTATTTTAACGCTTTAACTCTATTTATCAAGATATTGGTTATATTTGAAAGTACGCTCGCTCAGACCTGGCCCAATTGACTTGCAGTTGTTGCTGATGTCAAATAATAATGGTAATTAAACTCAAAACTTTTACGATAAATTCCATTTATTAGGCGTCAGATTAGTTCCGAGTGTTTGTTAAAATAATAATCATGTGTATGTACATAAGCAAGGGAAATTATAAATATGGTAAATACGTAAACATAAAATATCTTCAAACAGCTGTTCACTAAAGATAAATTCGAGTTTTTGATATAAATAAACATACGAGTGCTAACTGTCTTCCGTTCTGTATTCACTTAACAAAGAAAGCCTTTCGGACACACATTTTTTGGGATACAGGAAATCAAGAAAGGTATTGATTAGTTCGAGTTAAGCTTAATGCGCTTGTTAAATCTGAATATCGTATATCGAATATGTTGTATCGTAATCATATGTATTTAAGTTTTATGTTCTGTTTTCAGTTTCGAGTTTTCAGTTTCAAACCAAACTCGGCAGAGCCCTGCGATCGAGCAGGCGTCGGGCCTCATGATTATTCATAGATTAATTATAATTGTAATAAATATGTTATTCTGCTTAAGACTATAGGTTAATTCAATGTATTTTTGGAGCGCTCCGATCGTTGATCTTCTGGTTACGCTTTAAGGTGGCTCCGCGCTTGATTTGATCCATTAGCGACTCGTGACAGATGCGAGGATCCGGCTGAAATGGTTCACCAAACATAGGATTAAGAAAGAACTTTCATAGAAAGGTAAACCTTAAGTCTATCGTTAGATCGAGGAGCAGTTAATTGGCTGAACGAGGCACTGAGTGGATTAGCTGCCAGCTGGCTTAGTAGGCATCAAACGAACGAGAACGACTAGGAACGAACTAAATACCTTAGCACTCAGCGCACTTAGCACTGATCTTCGCAACTGGCATTGGTGGCTGTGCTGGTGTTGGGATAGGTGGGTGGTCTACGATATTGCGCACTGGGTCGCGATAGTTTTTGCGGATTTTGATACATCTAATAGCCATGATGGAGTCATGGCATAGAGCATAGAGCATATAGAGTGTTGGCTAATCGAGTGAGTTGCTGTCGAGGTGCACTACTTACCAGGGCCTTGCTATTGATGAGATTTCGCACGGCAAATGCTCGTCCAGACATTCCCTGCTTCGCCAATTTCGCGTTGAGATTCTCGAGGAATTCGGCCTTGGTCTTGGCCCGAATGCTTCCAGTCTTTTCGATATTTGTGCTTGTGGCATAGTCTATGGATATGCGTTGTCGTTACCGATACGGGTGCATAAAAGAAAATGGTAAGCAAACATGATCGATCAATGAGTGTCCATGAATGTGTGAGGTGTCAATTCAAATGGAAATGCAAAATAAAAGTCAACAATTGTTGGCAAAAGTTCGACTCGGTGATGATTGATGATTGGAAAAATTGAAATGAAAGTTGACTGCGGATCGAGCGGCTGCGGAAATTGCAATCCCATACGTTGATCCGCCAGTTTCCAGACGCACTTGACACAATCTCAATCAGGTTAATAGGCAACACTTTCCAAATGAAAACCAAAACGAAAAGGAAAACCAAAACTCAAATGGAACAAAAGCAAAACAATACAAGCAGCATGCGCCAAAGGAAAACTTAGGGCTAGCAACAAATCAAAATTAAATTCTTTCAAATTGAGAGAAATCGAAAATCAGCAAACATAACAAAAATATACAAATCAGCGCTCATTCCTTGCAACAAAATCATACGAAACGAAACGAAACGAAATCAAATCAATTCGAATCGAATCAAATCCAGCTCGCGCGCTTACTTGAATGATGTGCCTGGGAATGGGCATGGGCATTGTGGTTATAGTAGGCAGCGCCGCCATTGCTGTTGCTCCCGGCAACGTCGCGGTAGTAGTGTTGCTGCTGCACCTGAGCGTGCTGCAGCGGCTGCTGCTGGTGATGGTGGCCGCTGCGCGAAGTTGTGGCATAAATGCTGGCCAAGGACCCAGATCCAGATCCAGTTAAGGGAGTGGGCGAGGCCGAGGGCGAGTGAAACTTGACGGCCGTTGTCTGTATGAATGGATTCGTTGAGACGAATATCTTTTGCTGAACACTCGAGTGGCGTGAGGGTATGGGTGGCTGGCGTTGCTGGTGTTGCTGCTGCAGCTGATGTTGCTGCTGTTCTGCCAAGTGCTGCTGCTGTGCAGCCCGAAGCTTCTGCTGGGGCAGCGGCAACTGCGGACGCTGACCTAAGTGACCATTGCCCATGCCTGCCGGCTGTTGATATTGCTGCTGCTGCTGCTGCTGCTGTTGTTGCTGCAACCGTTGGTGTTGCTGCATTATGTTCTTAGGCAGCGTGGCCGTCGCCGAGGCTGCTGCATAGGCGCTTGGATGTTGCGCATTCTGGCCAGTGGGCGGGCGGGCCATCTTCTTGGGCATCGTGGCCGATGCACCGGCGGCGTAAATAGGCGGCGGTGGGGGATCCTCCAGAGGAGGCGGACAGGTGTAATGTTGCTGCGGCTGCTGGTGGTGCTGATGGGAATGGGCCTGTCGCATGTTCGACGATTGCGCAGCTGCTGGATTTTTGGTAAACGAACTTGAGTAGGTGGCAAAGTCTTTGCTGTTAGCAGCTGCTGCAGTCGGCGGCTGAGGTGGCTGATAATGCGAGTTGGCCGAGCCGGAGGCCGCTGCCGTTGTTGGTGGGGATGCGGATGAAGAGTTCGAGAATGAGCTGACTTTTGAGAGCAACGATGATGTGGATGAAGACAGGGGAAAGTGAGGCAAGACATTGAAAGAGGTGGTCGGTGTTAGAATGGACGGTTTAGTGCTGCTGTTGGCCACATGGGCCGATGACATTGCTGATGATGAGGTGCCAAAACTAGCGTAAATTCTATGCTGTTGCTGGTGCTGCAGCTGTATTTGCTCTGATTTACCGTCATAGTGTTGCTGCTGTTGCGGCTGCGACATGGACAAGCCACTCCGCATGTAGATGGACTCTCCTCCTGCTGATTGCTGGTTGCCGTAGATCCCCTCGACTTGCTGCTGCTGTTGCTGTTGCTGTTGCTGCTTGCCGCTGAGTCGTGCATTGAGCTGTGCAATTAGGTTCGGATTCGCCTTTGGCTGTGTCGGTGGCAGTGGGTGAGCGTGTCCGTTGGGACTGGGGCTGCTGGTGCGGAAGCTGGACATGCTGTTGACCAGTTTGGGCTGGGCGTAGATGCCGCCGCCACCCCCTCCGCTCGCGGCTGGTGATGAGGTGCGGAACGTCTGATGGTGAATGTGTGTCAGTGATAGTGGTGGAGTTGTGGCATGAGAAGAAACGAGAAAAAGACAGGCACAAATTAAAAATGTAGCCGAGGCACGACGAAAGCTAAGCGGTAGACTAATCTATGACTAGGTGGCATTACAACTAAGCTGGATGGAGGGCAGTCGTGTTAGGCTAGTAAGACACTCCCGAGGACGGCTGTTAGTTTTGGTTAGTGGCCACTCGGATTCCCTGATGGTCACTTACGGCATCGGCGGGCGGAGGAGCTTGGTAAACAGGCGGTTGCGTTGACTGATGTTGCTGCTGCAGATAGAAATTTTGCTGTTGCTGCTGCTGGTGGCTAAAGCGTTGCTGGTTGGCCATCTGCTGGCCCGCCGGCTGTTGGCCATTGGCCAAGGCCTGGGCATAGGCGTGCAGATCCAAATAGGAGTCGTAGTAGACGGTCAGGTCATCGTTCAGGGGGGAGTTGTGCACAGACTATGTGGGAGATGTGGGGTTTCGGTTCGACAGTGTGATAGTGGCAAAGCAAACATAAGTTGAAATGAAAATAAATCAAAAGTTATAGAAAAAGTTCTAAGAGTGCTGATGGGTCCATGCCTAGACGCGTGCACACACCTGCAATGCGGGTTGTTGTTGCTGCACGTGTTGCTGGTGTAGCTGTTGTTGTAGCTGTTGCATGCGTCTTAGCGACACAGGTGAGGCTGGCTGGTGCCGCATGGCTGCCAGGGCTCTTACCGTCTCAGATACCTTCAGCGCTGAACTGGGCATCTGGGGCATGGCGTCCAGCATGAATGCCGGCGGTGGCGGTAAGTGCTCGCTGGAGCTACTTAGTTGGTGATTTTGTTGCGGCAAATTTGCGTGCTGTGGTTGTTGTTGTTGTTGTTGCTGTAGCTGCGTTGCGTAATTAAATCATAAGTTAAAGAATAAAAGCAAAGAGGAAACCAAAGACTGTGTGACCCCGTGTTGAGCGGCTTAACAACTAACTTAGTTTAGTTTACTAACTTAACTAGGTGCGGATAATTGAAGGCTTAACTCACCCCGACCGAGACATTGGGACTGGGGGTCACCGACGAGCTGCGTCGCACTGGCGGCGGTGGCTTGGCCTGATTGATGGACGAACGGCGTGCAATGCGCGTGGAGCCACCGCCTGCTGCTCCTCCTGCGAATGGTCAAAGATCGCGGTCAGTAAGGTGGCATGTAATTCGAATTAGTCATTAATTAGATTGATCTTGTTATTCACAGTTATGTACAGTTATCAGTTTATACACTTGGCACACAAAACACAGGACACCATCTAATACCAGTAGTTAAGAGAGAGAGAGAGAGTCGCAGAGTTAGGAGCTGCTGAGATCGAGTAAGGTTATGAAAGATGCTCGGGAATCTTATCTGAAACTGGATGGATGGACCCCCAAGCTGGTGGAGAAGCGTTACAAGCAGTGATCACACTTTTGATAACAATTCATGAAGAAATGGAATTTCTCTCGATTTAAGCCATGACTTTTCCAAATATGCGAATTTCGTCTTAAGTTTATACTTAATTACAATCTGCCGATTCTGATTAGTGCTTAAGCATTTAGCAGTTAGTGACTGTATCGTGCGGTTTTTTTTTGGTTTGTCTGTTTTGATGTTTGTGGCATGATTCGAATGAGCTTAGTACTTAGTGCGAGAAACCAACTCCAATAGCAGAAAGGTTAAACTAACTTAAAGCAGAACGTGAAGGAAAGTTAAGCCAAACAAGAAGAAATCATAAACCAGATAGAAACTTAACTTCGGCTAGCCGATGTTCAGTTACGCTTGCAATAATGTCAGCTATTTAAAAAGCAGTTTATAAGATTATAAGATTATGATTTTAAGTTTGATCAATAGTTTATTCTTTTCAAACTTGGTTATTATTGTAAAATGAAGTTAAGAACAAGTTTTTTACTTTACTGGAAGTTAATAAATAAATGCTGATGCTGAAAGCCATTGCAAGCATAAAACAAACTAAAAATCAAGTAAGAAAAAGATCTCAAAATGAGGAAACTGGAACTGAAGAATCAAAAACCAATAACCAAAAGAACCCAAACAAATCAAAAATCAAATCGAAACGAACCCGACAACGAGGCCGGCCGGGGCGTAATGCACGGCTTGATATTGGCATTGACATTGGCAGTGGCAGTGGCATTGGTAATGCTATTGGCATGATGGGGATTGGCTGGGGCATTGGAGCACACATATGGATGGGCGGGTGGTCGGTCACTGGCGGGCAATATCGATGGCGGAGCATTTGATGGTGATGATATGGTGGCTGGTAATGGTAATGACGATAGCGATGACGATGATAATGGTTGATGGCTGCGAGGTGATGACGGTGACAATGCCATGATTACGGGCGTCTTGCACTGCTTATGATTGGATGTGGCTGTCTGATTTTGGTTTGGCATTCTATGATTTTGACTCGGGTACTGGTCAGTGGTTGCAGATGCGGATGCAGATGCAGATGCAGTAACATTGGCGGCTGTTTTATTAGTGACATTACAGTTTCTGGTTTGGGGCGACTGTGGTGAGTGTTGCTGTTCTTGTGGTGCTTGCTGCTGATGCTGCTGCTGCGGCGATTGTTGTTGCTGTTGCTGCTGCTGCTGCAACTGCTGTTTAACCTTCAGCTTTTGCCTGCGAATTTTCGCATCTAGATCGGCCTTAAAGTCCGACTTTCGCGGCACCAGAGGCCTATCGCCCGCACTGGGCGCAGGACCATTGAAAATGCTCAAGCTGGTGGGCTTGGGGGGCAGATGGCGCCTGGCAAGTTCTACTGGCTGGCTACTGCCTTCAATATCCTGATGCTGTGCCTGTGGGGAGTGCTGGTCCTGTGGCCTGCTCTGTACCGATTGCTCAGTGGATGCTTTACCTCTTTGCGGGCTGCCGCGTCCAAGGAGCTGCAACTGCTGCTCACTGGTGGCGCGAAACGAGGAGAGTCGCTGCTTGGCGGGCGCCACAGTTGCTGTCGGCGGCGCCTTGCCACCGGTTGAGTCCGGCGACGAATCCGGCGAACCGGCCAGATTGTCCGGCAACTGCTGCAGCTCGCGCATTTCGTGCAACTGCAGCGCATGAGGCTGCGGATCCTTGGTCCGCAGCACTACTATCTCCGAGTTCTGCTTCACGAACTCGATGTCCGGCGTGTTGGGTATCTGGTGGTCATAGATCACCACCACGGCACTGCCGCTGTCGCTGCAGGTGTCCACGTAGGCGTGGCGTGGCTGGCCGAGACAGACGCTGTCCGAGGCCAACGAAACTGCATCCTCCCGATTCGCATTGGCCACAAAGTGCGCGAAAGTGGGATTCTCGTAGCCGCCGGCCGTAAAGCCACCGGTCAGCGAACTCGTCTCGCTCACATAGCAGCGACTCAGCTCCGAATCGCTGGCGCCCAGCAGATCTCTATCCCGATCCCGCCGCCTGGCGTCCATATCATCGCCGGCCAGTTCGTCGGACGTGGTGTCCGATATGTCAGTTCCACAGCCGCTCGAATTCGTCTGATTGCTGATGGCGCAGGGCTCGATGTTGCTGGTGACCGGCAGATTGTTGTTGTCGCTGCTGCTATTGCTGCTGGTCGTGGTATTGTTGTTGTTGCTGTTGCTGTTGCTGTTGCTGTTGCTGCTGCTGATGATGCTGCTCATCGGCTTGCCCTTGCCCTCATCGATCTCGCGTTGAAACGAGTCTAGTTCGCCAATTAGATTATTTAGAGCTTGTATTGAATCTTCGAAAGACTTGTCTGTTAGATCATATTTGCATAGTTGTTGGTATTGATTTTGGAGATGGTGTTGTTGTTGTTGTTGTTGTTGTGCATTTGGTTCATTGTGAATAATAGTTTACAGATGAAAGAGATTTGGGTGGGGTGAACGAACATGGAGTCAAAAGTTGTTGTCGTTGCATTCGCACAACAAACCAAAAATTGTTGAGAAAACGGGGGAGGAAAAACGAAAAAGAAATTTCGGGGTTAAAAAATATTCACGATATCTTTGTCAATTATAAATAAAAGTGGGCGGTGGAGAGAAGTAAAGTGGGGTCGTGGGAATCTCATGTTCAAGGTGCTCTTTGGTGCTGGGTGGACATGGTGCAGGGATCGATTCGACACACTTCATCTTCAACGATCCGGCCACGGTCGATGATTTCACTTACCCATTTCCTGTTGCTCCGCCTCGGATCGTCGTCCTCCGCCTGCCAAAGCCGGAGATGCTGCTGATGGTACCTGATTGGGAGCTGGTGGCGAGACCGCTGCCGCTGCTGCCGCCTTTTCGAACATGGAGGCCTTCTGTAAAACAGAAGCCCGCGACCGCTCATCCATCTCCTCTTCCTCGCCGTTTGTCGGTCCATGATCTTGCCCAGCTGCCGCCTGTTCGGTGATCTTCAGCACTTCGCTGGATGGAGGCGTCGGTGAGCTGACCTGGTAGACAAATCCCAGTGCGGATCCTTGACCTAGACTGCTGCCACTAGGAGTACCTGCGGCGGTGGACGTTGGGGAGTTGGTTAGCAGGGGCGAGTAATGGTTCTGTGGCGTAGAACTGCCACTGGACGGCGAGGTGGTGTTCGTGTTGGTGCTGGTGCTATGGTTTGTCTGGCCCACCAGCGAGCCGCAAGCGACGGTGGAGTCGATCGACGGATGCGAGTGCAGTGACGAGGCCGTCGAGGATATGGAATGGGAGCGTGTGGCAGTGGCTGAGTGATGATTCTGGTGCGATTGATGCTGCTGCTGCTGCTGCTGCTGGAGGAGCTGATGCGAGCCGGTGGAGTCGTTGGAATGCTGAGAGCTGGTCGAATCGATGGAGCTCTGCTGCTGCAGAGGCGGTGGAGAGGGCTTCTGCTGCTGCTGGTTGGTCAGCTTCAAGGCCGCCATGGTGGCCAGCTCGGACATGTTCACATAGGTGGGCGGCGTCTGGGGCTGCTGGTTCTGTTGCTGCTGCTGCTGCTGCTGCTGTGCATGATGCGCTGCGGACAGCTCTGTGTGCGTATGATGTTAGCAGGGACATGCGGGTGGACACGGTCATTAGTAAGACTGATGGGATTAGCCAGGGGCAAGCGTGCACACAAATACACGGAGACAAGCTGCACAAGTGCCGGACGAGGGGGGCCACTTACCTTTCGTGATATGAGCTGGAATCGGAGAGGGGCACTGGCGCTGCAGCAGGTTGCTTCCGCTTCCCTGACGGTGGTTACTTTGGGCCGAGAGCGGTCGCTCCAGCGACGAGCAGCGCTGAAAGTTGAATTTAAGCCATAGATTAGTGACCTCCGAGAGTTAAGAAATTTTGGGTTTTATGATGAGGCGACTTAAGGAACCTAGTTGTCAGTGGTCTAGCGGGGCGCATGCAGATGAGCGCGCTTTTGGATCTACGAATGGTGGGGCTCTGACTCTGGGATACTCACCACGTGGGCTGGCTTCTATGGCGAGTGTCATGGCCAACAGAACGAGAGAGACAACTTAATAACGTGTAAAAAAGGCAATAGACGGTGGTCCGACTATGGCTAACAACGATTTTCTTAAAGCCCTCTTAGAAGGCTTTTATAAGTTTAAGTTAGTTTTCACCTTAAATTTCTTGAAGTTTTTTACTTAAATCAAACTGATTGGAGTCTATATAAACTGCTGATCAGTAAAGTCTATATAGTGATTATCAAATTGATTAGTTTTAACCCTTTCTTTTTGTTACTTTAACAAGAACTGTCGTTTTCTTAACAATATCTGCCTTACGTTTAAGGCTTTTGCCTTCTAATAATAATTCTGTTCAAAGATTCAAACCTACTACCTCTGATCTGGCTATATAACCCAACCATACTTACAACTGGCAAGGGTGGCCGACTTAGTGAGGCAGCCGGAGACTTCTGGGTGGCCGGTGTGGCTTGTCCCGATGCAGGCTGTCCATTTGGAACGGCGGTTCCATTGTTTAGGCAACTGCCCGATTCGTGAATAGTCTCCGGGTTCTGGAACGTGTAGACGGTCAGTGGCGGACGCTGATGGCCCTTCTCGTAGGCCGTGGAAATCGTGTGCGGACGGTCGGCGGTCGGTGGCAGGGCGTCCACAGCGTCCTGGGAATGTGGGGGCCAGGTGGATACATTCGCCGTCTGATTCGTTGCATTCGAAGCCTATCGGGTGAACAAAACCAAAATGTTAGTACCGAAAAGGAAGTCTAAGAACCATACAAAAAGTGTTTGTAATTTGGTAAATTGAAACGGAAGAAAAAGAAATGAAAACCTGTGTTGTTAGAGCTGGCGATGAGCAAAAGCCACTATCACTGGATTCACCAGGTTTCAAGCGAATTGCGGGCGTTACAAACTAAAGAAACGAAATCGAAACACAAAAAAAACATTGATGAAAACCAAGAAATGAGCGGACGCCACAGTGCCGAATGCGGGTTTGATGGTGGGCAAGGAGGAAACCCTCCAAGGTGACGCACCTGCGACAGGGAGCGTGGGTAATGGTGATGGCCCGGCGAATTGCTAGAGCCGCTGCTGTTCATGCTGCTGATGGAGCAGACGGAGCTTTTTCGAGAGCCCAGCGAGTTGGAGCAGCCGCCACCCTGCGAGCCGGAACCTCCGCCCGGGGATTCGGGATACAGATTAATGCTGGCCTTGGTGTCATGGATAAGCTCCTCGGAGGCCTGGGGAAGGACGCTGGGCTCCTTGGTTACCAGGGCAATCGACTGCATGGCTTCCTGTAAAAGCATAAGTTTTAAAGTCATCAAAATTATATGGCAAACACCACTCTACGCACCTGAAGATGACCCAACTCTGACATCACCTCGCACTCCTCGTGCACCACTGGCTGGAGCATGTGGACGAAACTGCAGTAGCGCAGCCGCTCCTCCACCATGGCCGCTCTCAAGGACTTCTTCTCGACCTCCTCCAGTTCGGCCCTACGCTGTGTAACATCCTGCATGTGCGAGTCCATCAGTGACTGGAGCCCGTCCGTCTGGCCCTTGCGCGCCTTTTTCTGGAGGCGCAGCGTGTCGCTGGAGCGCTTCTTCAGCTCGCTGCGACAGCGCTTGTACTCTTTGGCATGGTCTTTATCGATGGTGGCCACCGTTCGCTTCCAGTCCTCGATCCTCTCTTGCAGCGGTTGCACTAGGCAATCCATGATGGCGCTGGTGAAGGTCTTTAGACGCGTCTCCACCGCCTTGTGGCGCAGGCAGACGCGGGTCAGGGCGGTTCCAATCTCCTTGGAGGCGCCTGCAATAGGAGGAATGTGAATTAGTAAGGCGGTCAAGAATATAAACGATCTTAGAAAGGTGGGTCAAGTGATAAAGTGGCTTTAAACAGATTTGGCTAAGCATTCTCATAACAAATCGCATCCCTTTACTTTATCATTGCCCAGATCTTGTATAATTCGGATTCCAAGTTTAATTGCAGTTATAAAACCGTCGGGCGATTCTGTTTAAACAAGTAAGCATGCAATATTAAACAGTTGCCAAATTAAATTACTGAAGGGGAACATCCAGCCATGAGAGGTTGGGGATTGGGGCATAAAGCTGGCAGCGGAAATGTTTAGAGCATGCAGCAACAATCGCACGCCATGGGCTGTCGTTTCGATTTGGAGGCGCAGCAGACATTGCATGCGACACGACTCGGGACTCCACTCCTTCAGTCATCGGTCCCGAGTCCCGTGTGTGCCCATTATGCCATGCCAGAGATAGATTCAAAGTCGGATCCGGGAAAACTGGTCAGGTTAACTGCTACTGCCACTGCCACTGCCACTGCTCCTGCTCCAGCTCCTACTTCTGTTTCTGCTTCTGCATATCACCAGCAAATGACAGGCGGCCCGATTATCTCGGACTGCCTTAGACTCAAACTGTGACTGTTGCCATCCTCGTTTAATATGTAATTATCTGCCAAATAGGCAGCAGCTTATTGATTCCGCTTTGACTTGCCGGCCGGGGCTCTCTCGGAGCCACTTGCTCCAAATCCCACTTAATTGAATGGGCACTCCGCACAGAAAAAAGCACCACCACCTTAAAGGATTCATGATGGCCATGTGTCAAGAGTGTGAATCTAGAGCCGAGACTCGAGTTGGGTTCCACCCTCGTTCTGGGGTGGCAAAGGCAAAAAAGGAGACCTGACACTTCTGCCGATGCTTGACCGAACTAAGCCAAGTAACCACTAAGGCTAATGAAACCATTTAGCAAGTGCAAACGGCCAGGCCAGCAGGGGTGGCTAACTAATGGCAGGAATTACGAGGATATGCACTTAGTACCAGCCAAATAAAAAAGCCAGAAAGGGTGCACATGGCTGGGGCGGATCAATATATGCTAATATGCTAGCTCTCTATAGAGATGATTGAAAAGTTAAGTCTTCCAAGCCCGACATCAGCCGTTTGAAATTGGAATTCGGAAGCTTAACTGAATAAAGCAGGTTTTACCGCAGCTATATCTGAAGATTTATCAATCAACTATGTATAAACCACAATCTTTATTGTTATTACCCGCAAAAAAGACGAAGGAATTCAGCTATGGATAGTTTAGTTTCTGCATTTTTACTAAATATTCATAAGGAATAAATCAATCCAGTCTTACACTAGCTAATGAACTATCAAAACAAGGAATTATGCACGGAAGCTTAAGAGTAAAATATCTATTAAATGCAGTTACAAAATAATAAGTGGAATCCATCAGTTGCATGTTTAGTAAGTACTTTCAAATTGCATGTCTAACTAACTAATTATTTCATTAACGAACTTTTGTTATTGCGGAATAAAAATTAAAACTTAAAACATATTATTACTTCATTATCGCAGCACCTTTGTATTTACTTAAATAATTTCTTAAATTTTGTTTAAATTTGTTTAAATTTGTTTAAAACCCAAGAGCTTAGATTGACTAGACCTAGATTTGTTAGTCAAAAGAATGCAACTAACTAGCTGGCAAAACAAAAAAACAAAAAAAAAAACTGTCAACAACAATAAGCTTGTGCTAGATTCAAGCTGCTTTGAATGAGTTTCCCTGAGGGGCGACATATAACACATCATGATCAAAGCTCTCCCATCTGCTAATTTTCGCATTTCCCGTCCTGGTCGAGGTGGGCTGTAAGAATCGGACATTGAACGTCGGACGTTGCATAATCCGGTGCTCGATGAGTGCGACGCATAGCAGCCAATAAATAAATATAAATAGCAAGACCAGCGAAATGCGTGAGTTGAAACAGAACGCCCGGCCACATACTCGTGGGGCACATTCAACGATACTCGCATATAAACATCGAAAGCGTGAATGTGTAAAAAAAAAAAAATCAGATCGATGACCGCTGCCGACTGTGAGCAGACGCATGAATAATGAGCCGGGGAAAGAGATACAGTACATCATTGGGGGGAGATCCCCCGGTCCCATTAATATGATGGGGGGCAGCCAGCCAGCCAGCCAGCCCAGACTAATACACAATTTGAACTTACCTCTTGAATTGGTCGCCGCATCGGCTATCTTTTGGAAGGCATCCAAATAGGCGGCGATTGCCTGGATGGCGGCCCTGCGAACAGAAAAGAGCAAAGAATAACATCATTATTATTATTATTATTGTGGGCCCAAGCAGCCGCCAGCCAACTAGATTTAATAAACATCTTCTCCAATTGCCCGTGGGCGACATTTCAATTAGGCGACATCTTGAAAAGAACTAAAGAGATACTCTAAAAGAAGATGGACTATCTGAGGTTGACGAACATTGGAATACCCTTTCAGATTAGCTGATTCCTGATTGGTTTTCTCTTAACTTGTTTGGTTTGAGTTAGTATTAATATAATTAACAACACAATCTTGTCTTATTTAACTCTTAAGTGACCCATCTACCGATTAATCAACTACCGTTGATAGAACTGGTTCCAGCAATTCACAATCAGAGATGATGAGATACCCATCATCTCTAGGGTATGGAAAGAGGGCACCCAACTGCGGGTCTCGATCCGCTCAAGTGGCTGGCGAGCGTCCTCACCTCGCAGAGATGCGGTCAAGATGTGTGTCAAGCGCAGTGGGCAAACACTCAGAGCAAGTTTTGGCAAGCTCGGCGATATCAACTCGGACAACAGGATTTTGGGGTAATGATTAATGCAACCGCTATTCGGCGGCTATATACTTATGCCCAGACACTACTGGGGGTGGGGAAGACCCTCGTCCGAAGGCGAAATTGGGCCAAGTCTGAGCATAAAAAAAAAAAAACAACAAAAAAAAAACAAAACAAACAGAAACCCAAAGACTGTGTCGGTGGTCCCCGCCCAACAGCAATAAACAAATTTAGCAACAGCAGAAAAAACACAAAAATAATCATAGACACATTATGTGTGTGTTTGCATTTGTGTGGGAAAGTGGAAGTGGAAAGCATAAAACAAATTGAGGTAAACGGAAAATTTGTTTATTCACTAGCCTGTTCTCGTTCTAAAGTTTTGCAATTGCAGTTGTTATTTCCAAGCTGTTGAAATCTCAATAAAAATCTCAAAAAAAAAATAAAGAAAACTCAAACTTACCTCAGACATGTGTGCAGTTTTCCGGCCTTAGCCACAAAGTCCTCCCACAGCGGCGATGTGTTCTGCAATAGAGGAAGAGAATAAATTAGTTGAATAAGTTGGCCAACAGACGGTGTGCGTAGCCCAAAGCCAATGAAATATTTACTTCTTAAGTTAACTTGCCACATCAAATCTTACGTAAGCCAAAAGTTGACCATACCCTAACAAAGGGAAATCCCAAGGAAAATCAATAAACGAATGTGGAGAGTAAAGGAATGCAATAAACCAACTTCTCATCTAGGAAGAAATTACTTTCGGATGACAAATAAAAGGACAAATGTTGCGTACGTGTTACATAAAATTGGTTTCCTTTTTTTTTTCTATTAAGGTTTCTTCCTTGAGTTGGCTGATAGAAAGAATCATACACAGCTCTCCTTCAAAGTTCGAAACTTTTTTTCATTCTTTTTTTATTAAAGAGAGAATCGTACTATATTTCCTAGCCCAAAAGTTCAAAGTTCATTTCGTCACCGTTCATTTTTGCTGGCTTTAATCTAATTGAGTTTGACTTTTGTTGTCTGCGCATTTCATTAAATCCGAATAAAGCACAAAATATTGCAAATTCAACGAGTAAATAACCCGACATGACATGAATGGATACGCAAACTGAGAGACACGTTTAATGTAATCAAAGTGGGTGAGATCCATATGGCTCGATTGGATTCAGTATCGACCAAGCCCCTTGGGGATTTAAGTTTAATTAAATTTGCTCAGTGGTAATATGGATTCATTAAATTTGCATCTCAATATGGCTGATGAGTGATAGCTGATCATAAAAGTCGAAAAAGTACAAACGAAAGCAAAGCAAAGAAGATTGGCCAGACTTTCATCCATAATCCATAATCCATTCCCCAGCATTTCTCCCCTTAATCAAGTCAAGTTAATAAGCTAAGCTCATTTGGGAGCGGATATTTGGCCAACAAGCTGAAATAGCAGCTCCCACATGGGTTTTTCTCACATAATCCTGTCCAGCGGACTTATTTGGCAAAGACCACAAAGTCTTGCCGCTGGCTTCTGGCCAAGTATCAGTGTCACGTTGGCCGTACGGCAGCCGATTGTTAAGAGACGGCCGTAAAAGGCAGCTAAAGATTTTATGTATGCTTCTTTTTTAAAAAAGATAAAAAAAAAAACAAGAAATAATAGCAAATAAAGAAGCGCAAATGGTCAATAAAAGCGAAAACGAGTTTCTCATTTTGTTTTGGTACGGGGTTCGGTTTTGGCCATAATAATGTTTCAATTACACAACAAATGACATTGAAAGCAAAAGCCAGAAGAGCGGCCACTGATTCGAAACAGCGGGAGGCGCCTTAATAAAGACATAAGGTGTTCCAATTTACTGACCAACTCACCCAATCCAAGCCAGCCAAAGAGGGAAATTCATTCGTTCCAAATGCCAACTGCAAATCCATTTCACTTTTCGATTTTTCCGTTTTTGCACAACCAAACAAAACGAAACAGAAAAAAACTCATCGAAATGTCAGTTGGAAAATCGATTCGAATGCAAAATGGCCAAAAGAAGCCGGGTCTGGGCCAGGGCAATTGCATTGCATAAACAACTCGGCTCAAAGGTAAACGAACGTGACAATAGCAGCGGCAAATGCCGGGAAAATGCACAAATAAATACAACACGGCAAGGCAGAAACTAAAAAGTTGAACGGAAATCGATTTTTGGCTATTTTGTGCAGGCCTTTTGTCTTTTTATTTTTGCCCATGCAACCGCTGAGTGCCACAAAAACCCTTAACAAATGCCAGCCCCCACATAAATGGTTTCCAATGTGGCATAACGACTTTGTACCCCTTTCGAAAACCAATATGCAAAATAAAATAAATGGAAATCATGGAAACTGAGTTCAGAAATAGTAAGATTTAACCATTACTAAAATTCAATTTAAATTTAACTTTTTTCTCAAAATGATTTCATCATTTAAAATCTTCCAAAAAATTCAATAAATTCCCTATGTGGGCTGTTAAAGAATTCAAAGAATTATTGATTTTCTTTGACCAAAATACTTAACAGAATGAATTCCAATGGACCAAAAAAAGATCAAAATTTTCATAAGTTGGTAAGCTGATTTTCTCATTGATTGAGCCACGTTTCCATGACGCGGCCCACATGCAAATTATTATTGTTTATTCGTTGCAAAACCATTTTTTGTGTGACAACCAACCGCCAGCGACAGCTTGATAAGCGGTTCTTGCCTCGATTGCGTGGGCAGCGGCTTGTCGGCATTTTGTGAATGAACATTTTGTAGTCTCTGAGCGTTGCCACCAAGCCAGCTAACCACTCGCGGGCCAAAACACGCAAAGCTGTCATTACATTGACCAGGCCCAAACCGTTCGCGTTGGCGTGGAAGTTGTATTTTGAGCTGGCGTTGTTTGGGAGAGAGCTCAGCTGGTCCTAATCTCAGTGCGGGTATCGCCTTATGAATGGGCGAGAAAAGTTGAGGTGCAGAGAAGTTAGTCGGGTTTATTATCGTCCAAGAAAGACAAGCTCACAGATTTTGCTCGGTAACGTAACCAATCGTGTATAAAACTCTTTTTCCAAGACAACCGCTTAAATTGAGTTCAAAGAGATACAAAATTATACAAAATATGCATTAGAAATACCCAATTTTATCCACCTTTTTGTCATAAAGCTTACTTTTACTAATAATTCAGTGCTCGTGTACCACTTCTTGAGTTAAGAGATCCAGAGCTTGATCCCGAAACCACAATCGTTCCCGCCAGCACCTAGTTGTATTCAAAACACTTTCCAGTTTCTGGCAGACATCGAAATCGAGTCTGTGCACAGAGGAAGCCAGCGAGTGCAATGTACATCCATGTACCACACCACAAATACCCGGCCACCGAGCGTCTCCATGTGTATCCATCTATCTTGGCAAACTGACTCTCAGCCAGTGAGCTAGACACCTAAAAACCCACAATTTATGCCACTCTGAGCAGCGGCAACTCTCGGCAAACTGGAAAAGTTCACACAACCACGGGAAGACCCACACCCATGCACACAGTACATAGTACATAGCACATAGCACATAGCAGATAGCACATAGTACACAGCACAGAGCACAGAGCACAGCGAACGTGTGGCTGGCATTATAAACTCTTGATCTTTCCAATAGCCTACAAAGGCGGCCCACACGAAGCGACTCCTCAGCTGGTTCACAGCCCCATTCATGCTGCAATTTTGTTGCTGCTGCTCGATAATGCCCCCAAAGATTCCCAGCAGCAGCTAGAAAGAGGCGGAGATAGCCAAAATAAAAACGGGTTCAGAGCCATCCCGTCGCCGCGTCCTACATTGGCAAACATTTTGGGTTGGCGAACAAAGCCAGAGCCTCCAGAAAGAGCCGTTTCTTATGCTAAATCCAAGAGCCAACAGCCAAGAGCCAAGAGCCTGCGAAGCAGAAGTCCGCACTGATTGATTTTCTATGAGATCCAGCGTACTCTATACGACTATATGACTGCCCGCGGCCATAATTTTGGTTTTGGCCAGATGTTGACTTTGGCGGATAGCTCGGAGGGGAGGCAGCCAAATCGTGCGCTGCTAATTTGCACCTAAAGACGGCTTTTGTTTCGGGCATTTTCAGTTTAGAAAGTAGAAAATTATTCATCGGGAATATGAAATGAAAGTGTTCCGAGGGTGTCCCTCCCGCTCGAAAGTTTTTGCAAATCTCCAAAGAAACATTTTCTGTGAATTGGCAAGTACACGCAGAGAGCATGGCAAATTGGGGAATCGATTGGGTCAATTTGAATCGATCGGAACTTATGCCAATCATCATCGGGTAATTCAATAGCCGATAGTTTCTTGTATTTGCATATTTTCCATCTAACAATGCAATTCGTGACCCCAAAAAGAAAATCCAACTGACTCTGGGTGCCCAACCGCTCCCTTACTTCCATCATTCTACCCGTCGTTACCCAAGAAGTTACTTGCAACACGCGGCCACCCGATATGGAAACCGCAACATGAACTCAAGTTGCTGTCAACGCGTGCCACCAACCACAAAACAAAACGGATCGAGGCAAAAAGTAGCAGAACAATACAGATGGAAGGTAGGTAGTTCAGTTTAAAACCTTTCAGTTGGGTAAATTTACTAAAACGTCATATATTTATATTTATAATCAAAGCATTGGTTCTAATTAAAATTTAAGCTGTATACAAGCAAGTATACTCCACCAAGTATTACAACTTAACAAGTTCTCCTATGATCTCTACGCAAATAGGATTCGGACGCGGTACGTTCCTCTCATCGAGTGCATGGAGGACAATCACCATTTTGTGACGCCCTCGAAGAGTTGGACCCCGAACATTGTCAATCTTAAGCCTTATGTCGAAAGGCTCGTGTACCAAAACGGTCTGGAAACGTTAAGAGGTAATGAAACTTTGGAAAAGTTAAAGAAAAGCGGAAAGCCCCGCTATATGCAGAAGTAAGAAAGACAATACAAAAAGCCGTGAACTGCACTTACGCCAGGCGCTTTGAGGCACTTCTTTTCCACTTCGTGGCGATTGGTAATGAAGCCTGTCCAGTACTTGTACCAGTACTGGGTTTGGTCGTACATGATGGCGCAAAAGTCTTGGGTGGACATGCTAAATACAGTGGGCTCCCAAGTCCCGCGGTTGAAGTGTAAAAAGTCAAGCCTTGCCTGCAGAATTAAGTATGGGGCTACACTTAAGGATTAATTTAATGCCAAAGGGTTTACTGTGATGCGATCGGTGGGCTGGACATCCCACGTGAGAGTGGCGTTCCCAGAAAGGTGGATTGTATCAGAATCCTGTTCGATCGTAACGTCATCGAAATTTACTGCCTGACGGGCGTTGATGGACCCGGGAGGACCATCTGTGCACGGCGATAGTACGTCCGGATCCTCGAGCAGCAGTTCGTAATCGGCGGCCCAGGAACTGGTCACGGCAAAAATGAGCACCATGAGAGTTCTCATGATGATTGTAGCACCAAAAATGTGGGATCAGACCGCTTTATAGCCAACTGCCGAATCGTGTGGGAATTTTTTCAATCTACTATGCCAAAAAAAACATGATCCCTTCTCATATCACTGACATCGTAAATCCACTCCACATGCAACAAGTTTACAACAATCTTGTTTTTACACATTGTTAGACTTTGTCAGACATTGTCAGTCATTGTCAGCCATTGACATTGAATTTGGGAAGTCAATGTCAAACCGATTAAAAGCTTCGAAAACCACTAACATGAGATTCCCCCATAGCTAAAAACTGAAAACCCATAGCAAATTGGACTGCTGCCTGACAAAAACTCCATATCCAGGTTCATGAGCTTGAAATCAAAACTATGTTTAGGAAAACTATCAGACTCCTAAGCCAAAAATGCAGACTAAGTCTTAATGAGAGGCAATCGTTTAGAGATAATACAGATTTTTATTAAGGGTAATCTGTGAGGAATAAAATTATCTCTTTGAAAAGTACAAACATAATGCTCGACTTGTTTTAATTTCGACCATCACTGTATCTTCTCGGCATCTCCCCTGATTTCGAAGCATATGGTATTTTTTCGGGGCACATCCTTCTCGTCGACAGCTTCGAAGGTGATCACAGCCTTGTAACGGCCCTGCAAAGAGGCACCACGAACGTCAGTCAGACGTAACCTCAGATCGAATGGGTCGTGACTCAGAACGGTCTGAAAAGAAAAGCCATGTTGAAAGGAGCTCAGCACCGGAAGATGCCTATCTCAAAAATGCATGGTCAACTCACACCACGAGTTTTAAAGCATTTTTCTTTAATTTCCTCGCGGTTGGAAATATATTTTGTCCAGTACTTGAACCATGACTGATTCTCATCAAACATTGCGGCGCAAAAGTCCGGCGTGGCCATGCTGAATAAGGTCGGTTCCCAGTTTCCGCGGTCGAAGTGCATCACCGTAAACCTGGCCTTTAACGTGCAATGGCTTTGTAAGCAGTAAATCTAGTTATTGGGAGATTTACGTATTTACGGAAATGCGATCGGTGGGCTCCACATCATCCCAGGTTGATGTCACATTCTCGGAGATGTGAATGATGTCGCTATCCTGGTCGAGTCTTAGATCATCTATATTGAATGCATCAAGGAATCCAATCGATCCAGGTGGAGGTTCCGTGCAGGGCGAGAACACATCGAGATCCTCCAGTATTAGTTCGTAGTCCGCTGCCCAGCAACTGGCCATGCCAAAAACCAGCAGTATCAGAGTTTTCATGATGATTACAGCCCGAAAATGTAGGATCAGCCTTTTTATAGCTGCTTTTGATTCATGGATATTTCATTTTAATCCACCACATGCAACTTATTAACACTGATCTTGATTAGTTTTGTTAACATTGCAATTGAAAAGACAATATCATTCCGTTTAAGAGCTTTCAAAACAACTACAATCTGAGCTATGGAAATCTGTTGCGAAATAAAAGCAATTTCCGATGGAAACAAAACTAACAAAACTAATATATGTAGGTTCAATGGCAGGAAAAACCACTTGGGAATCATAGCAATGTGAATAGCTATAAGCTGATAAAGTCTTTTGTGGATGGCATTAGGCTCAGCTTGAGTTTCAAATAGTAGGAAGAAAAGCTATTAGGCAAAAAATGTAAGTTTATTTTTAAAATAAGGAGTTATTGGACGCTAACTGTTATCCCTATTATGAAACAAAGGTATTTCTTTGTCAGCATAAACTGAATGTAGGAAAAAGAGAACGTTGGGCTACACATCCTAGATGGCGGTGATATAACCGAAGATATATCATCCTTAACAAATTGCTTACGTCATAAGCCTTATGGAATGTCCGGAAGTGAAAAATGTACATGCTTTTTGTTACAAAAACTTAATATTATTTCGTGTTTGATATGGCAACAGTACCGTCACAATTTAGAAGGCAATTACAAGTTGCCATAACTTAAGGTTACAAAATATAATTCACTTTCACAATTAAAACCAGAGCTCTCAAACTTATCGAAAGATAGTGAAGATAACTATCTTAATTTATGATTTATTCCACAAAATATTCAAGGTAAGAAATAAACTTGGAAAAGCCTACAATACTTTGTGAGGGCAGACCATTTTAATGCGTGTTAATATACCAAAATCTCATTTAGAATCTGTTCCAATTCGAACCTTGTATCAAAAAAAAAAAAAAAGCTATACCTTGAATTTTATATTTCACTATTTTGCATAATTGGGCGCGACAACGGCCAACGACACACCCACCAGCAATAACCAGCCAAACGGACACACATGCCCCTATTAAATCACAGCTTGTGAATCACAATTGCAGTTTCATATTCATTAAAATTAATTGCCCTTTGATTGCTGTTGTAGTTGAAATTAACATGCAGCTCAGTTCAAACCACCACGTGTCAAGTCCAACGAAGCCAGCTTGCCACATCAGTCATTCCACATTAGCAGAGGAAACAACAGCATCAGGAATTGTTCCCGCAAAGTTATTTACGGAATAATGCAAAGTAATTAATACAACTCAGACGATGAGTCCCAAGCTAACCAATTGTTTGTGAAGCGCTCGAAGGAGAAATGCATTTCGCATTCTTGGCCCATCTCAGATTTCGGTGTCTGCGAGTGGGTGGAGACAGAGAGATGAAACGAAATGCAATAGTGACCTACGTCATTATCAGATTGGCCTCAGCTCTTAACATCTGTAATTGAATCTAAGCTGGGAAGCTAAATTGTGGAATTTATTATTACATTTTCAACTTCAACATTAAATTTTCTTTCGGTTGTTCTATGATAAGAGAACATAAGTCGTTATTGCTGTATTTTCTTAAGTTTTACAATATACCATATATACATGACTTTTATTCAGTTCAAACAGACTTGCATACATTACTTGGCCTGGTTAACTGATCAAGTATAAACTTAATACGTTTCCATTTACACACATATATCCCTATGCATAGTTCACAAAGCGTAAGGACCTTGCACCAGATATCAAATGCCTCATGGCATCCTGTCCACATCCTGTTCGGTGCACACTCTTAAATAGATAGAGCTAGAGTGCACTGTGAACTGCCATTTCCAGTTGAGATTCAGCCTTGAAAATGGCTTTCAGACTTTTCAAATGCGCAAACAATAGAGGCGGGAGAAAAGGAAAAACCGCGAGACATTGTCATAGAAATGGAAACAGCTGCGAGTGCTGCCATAAATAAAAACTCATTAGGTCTTGTCGATGGTATTTGGCTATATAGTGTCTGTCTATAAATACGCAAAACATGAAATTTGACTTTCGTCTTTCAGCTTTTAGCCCACACAATCACAGCACGAGGGCAAATCAAACGCTTAACAGCAATGCCAAAGTTCGCAAAAAAACCAATTAGAGAACATTTTTAAAAAGGAGTGCTGAAAATAAAAGCAAATACAAAAAAATTGTTTCGCCCAACGTGGGGCTCGAACCCACGACCCTGAGATTAAGAGTCTCATGCTCTACCGACTGAGCTAGCCGGGCACTTGTGACGACAGCCGTCATTAGGATCTCACATTTTTGTGCTGCGACTTAAGAACCTCACCTTAATAAACGATATGATACAAATCAGACAGAAATAAGATATTATCTGTTGAATAAGAAAAAAAACTTATGTACACATTTTCAATGACTCCCACAACTTAATGCAAAAAAAAACAAATCATAGTATAAAGTTATATAAAGTATATATCAACTGTGATGTTTTATAATATTATGTTAATAAGGAACTAAAACATTTAGATTCGCTCACTTTAATGATTGTGTTTAAGTTTCTGATTGCCTTGAGCTTTTACAAATAAGGTATTTTTGTTTCTTTTAAGATCCAATACTGAATTGTCTACTTTCCATAAAAGTATGCATAAATGTATCACAGCTATTTATTAAAAACAAAAAACGCATGTCTTGAGTCAATATAGAATATAATTGGCAGACTTAGCTATATAACTATCAGATGGAAAATCAAAGGGCTTTATAATACCCCACCTAGATGTGTATATAGTTTTAACTTATGCAAGCCGATCAATAGTCTTGTTAAAAATGGTAAACTAATATTATTTGTCAACACTGCTCCCGATGCGTTTGAGCAGTACTAGGAAAAACTGGTTTTGTGCTTCAAAATTAATTAGGTGTTAGCCTCATTTTAGGCAAATTAATCGGAAAAAACTGTATTAATTTTGTTTTAATTTGAATGATAAAAAAATGAAACGCCCAACGTGGGGCTCGAACCCACGACCCTGAGATTAAGAGTCTCATGCTCTACCGACTGAGCTAGCCGGGCATGTGGTTCAGATCATTGGCTGTCAAAATTCGAAAAGCCGAAAAGTCAGGACTATTCCGATATAGTTTTGGCCTAAATATAGATTGCTCCTAAGAGAATGGCTGCAATTTCATCTCCTAAAACTTCTAAAACTAAAGTTCTTGTGGTCTTGTTCCTAGTGAGTTAAAAATAAATAAATATTTCTGAATTTTGAAAAAGTATTACCAAAAGTGTGTTCTGATTCCTATTTTAACACTACACAAAAATTATGACCGATCACCGGTCACGTAATGCCTGTGATATAACAGTAATTAATTACTAACTAATTAGCCACCCAAAGTAGATACGCCCATATGTGGTTTTGAAAAGCAGAGATATTATCAAATTTGATCGTGAGTGAAATTAGAATCATTGCTAAACAACACACAGGTGTATATATAGGGAAGAGTTTGGGTATTTCCTCATATGGAAAACCTTGTTAAAATGAGGGCCGCGTCAAAGATCTTGGTACTCCAAATGGTTGTCTGTTTGGCTGGTGCTATCGAATACCAGTTGAACCTGGACAAGGATGGTGTCTTCGCCCCATGCGAGGACCAGCCTGAAAATCCTGCCAATTTCGATAGCCTTCTGGACATGTCCTCCGTTAAAGTCAACAATGTGGTGTCCAAAGTTGAAATTGAAGGAGAACAAGTCATCATCTGGAAAGATGTCCAGCCTGGGGACACAGTTAAGGTAAGACCTCCCAAATGCAATTATTTTCTAATAACTATTTTTGTATGCCTCAGCTGCTTGGGCAAGTTTATCGTCTGGATAAGGACACTTGGCAGAAGACAATGTTTTCCGCCTCCAGCAACAACTTTTGCAAGAACATGTTTGAAAAGAATCAGTATTGGTATCAGTTTTGGACTGGTCATATAATGAATGACGATGAGATCAAGAGCAAGTGTCTTACCACACCAGGGGTAAAATTATATAGTACTAAATAATCCTAGAAAATCCTCCATTAATTGAGTCCCTTTCGTTCTTAGGCCGTCATAAAATATAAACCTTACGAACTGGAACTGAAGGCCAATCTGAATGTTCCCAATTTGGAGGGGCGCTACAAGCTGGTACTAAAGATCGAAGCCTTCGATAAGCGCAATGTGAAGCGTCCAGTGTCCATTTGCACGGAGTTCCGCGGCACAGCAGTAAAACTATAGTCAACGCAATTATATATGCATGCTGAAATTACAGCAAAAGACCATTAAAGCTAATAATCAAGCACATCACACAGATTATTAATTAATACGAACATTGGAAGCCTTTGGGGTGTCCTCTGGGTACATTCGAGGAACTTCTGTTCAGTTCATCATGAAGACCCAAAGCAGTCGGCCAAAGGAACAGGATGCCACTGTTGACTGGGCAGCGGAGCTGTGCCAGGAATCTGCAATCCATGGCATGCCCTATGTGTCTCGCAGAGATCTCCACTGGACCGAACGCCTCTTCTGGGTAGCCATAATCCTGGCCTCGGCTTACTATGCCATTAGCAGTTGCCTCAGCCAGTGGAATCGGTTCCGGGACAATCCGATTGTCTATCAATACGAGTACCTCTTTGGGCTCCGGAAGTTCTCCCTCCTTGGGATTACTCTTTGCACCTCTTACGAGGATCAGGAGCACGTGAATCAGGTCATAAATGAGTAAGGGGTTGCTTAAATCAAAAATTTTTGATCACTATATTTCTTTAAAATTCCATTTAATTCAAGAACTTGGGGTTTGGGACCGTCGAATGAAAAGACACCCTACTACGAGAAGTTCCTGTTCGTTCTTAACCGCCTTCAGTACAACAAACTTGATACGCTGACGCCCTACGAGAACGATTCTACTCTGAACAACTTGAATTACGTGGGAATGCTGATGAAACTCCAGGAGAAGGCTCTAACGAAGGATGCTGAACTTGGACTGGCGCCGGTCATAACGGAAGATGGTTTGTGCCAAACTAATAGCCAGCTAAACCGGTACGGCAATCCTTATGGCAAAATGTGAGTCTTTGGATAACGTGGCTGCTGAGACAACCTTAAGCTGCGTTGACATCTTGAGGTTATAACTGCAACAACTTTCTAGCTCTAATAGTTCTTGAGTTTGCCTTATTTGCACTTTTTCTCGGATTGTAGGGCATGTCGCTTATCAAAATCACTAATACTTTACATTTATAATTGTTTTTGTATCTTAGAGAGAACATGAATGTGAAGGCATTGATAGAGTGCGGTGTCTTCACCGATTGCTTTATGACAGGAAAGCCATTCAACAGCATTAACACCCATTTAAATGTGGTGAGCAAAAACCACCATTCATCTATCATAAATGCTATGTACTTATATAATATTAAATATTTCAGTACTTGCATGATGTCAACGAATTTATGTTACCCGACGATCTTAAAACTATCTTTTATGATGCTAAAATCCTAAGTTCCTTTACCTTTGAACTTCTCGTAAACCCGATATTGTCGGGAAACGATGTTCGAAACCTACCGTTGGCATATCGGAAGTGTCGCTACAAAGACGAAAACAATCTCGAGTACTACAGTGTGAGTTTAAGGTGAACAAGTTCGGACGAAAAGTCCCCTAATAGATTTACTTTTCCCTACAGCCGTATTACCAAAGTCTCTGCCGCCTAGAGTGCCGAATAAAATGGGCCCTGAGCCTGTGCAACTGCAAGCCCTTTTTCTATGTAGCAGCTGTAGAGGCTCCAGTGTGCAACATAAGAGGAATGTTGTGCCTGCATCGCTCCAATTGGCTGGAAAAACCCTGTGAATGCCTTCCACCGTGCATAGAGAACACCTATGCCATTATTTCCGTTCAGGAGCAGAAGGGGGTTCGTATGTTCTCGCCCTAAAATACCCAATCACCCTTGTATACCCATTCTGCAGGGAGATGACAACTACACAGGCGAGAGTTTCGAACGAACCCTGATCGTCAAAATGTTTCTTCCCAAGATGGGCATGAAGCGGCGGGTTGTATTCAGTACGGATCAGTTGATAATGTCATTCGGCGGAGGCATTGGCCTGTTCCTCGGGGCCAGTTTTATGACCATATATGGCTTGGTGTACCTTTTTTTCACTTTTTTATTTCATAAATGCAAAAACTGCATATATAAAAACAAATCCTAAAATTTATATGAACCTTTTTATGGAAAATTTAAACAAAAATATAAAACTAATTATCCGCCCTTCAAGATATTAATATAATTAATTTATTTGTAATCAAAATATTCTTTATTAAATAACAGAACTCAAGTGGACTTTTTATAATTTTTTGTAAACATATATTAAGTTAAAACTTATGTGAAAATAAAGGACCAAGTGGGGTCTTGTGGTATTCCCACTAACCAAACTCTCAGACTTTCTTTTCTACTAATCACTAGTCTAGTAATCCTTGCAAAAAGAATCACAGAGTTAAGGCGGGTATATAGATATACTAAACAGAACTCAGAGTACTAATTAGCCACCCAAGTAAATTTGAATCTTTGCCAAACAGCAACAAGATAGTATATATAGGGAAGGCCTGCCGAGCTAGTGCTTTCGATTGCCAGTTAAGCATGGAAAAGGATGGTTTCCTTGCCACATGCAAGGATCAGCCTTTAGGAAATGTTCTCTATTAAAGTAACCAATGCGGTAACCAAAAGTGGAATTGATGGGTAACACGCAAGAAAGCATTCCAAACTAAACTACTTTCAGTTTATAGTTTTCCGTCAACAGCAGCAAGCTTTTACAAGAACATATTTAAAAAGAATCAGTATTCGTATCCGTTTTGGACTGGTCATGTAATCAATATTTATGAAATCAAAAGTAAGTGTTTGACTCCACCGGGGGTAAACTTATATAGTACTGTCTAACCCTAGGAGATCTCCCATTGAGTCCTTTTCAAGCTTAATATGTAAGCCTTTCGAAATGAAACTGATGGCCAATCTAAATTGTCACAATGTAGAGGGCCCACTGTAAAGCATTCAATGTCCATTTGCACGTGTCTCCGCGGCACCTCAGTGAAACTATAGTAAGTAGTAACCCCAATTATATATGCATGCTGAACTTACAGCAAAACACCATTAAAGCTTATAATGGAGCACATCATCCAGATTACTACGAACATTGGGTGGCATTACATGGGTCTTGGCGTACATGTCAGCGGCTTCTATTCAGTTCATCATGAAGACCCAAAGCAGTAGCCCAAAGGAACCGGATGACACTGTTGATTGGGCAGCGGAGCTGTGCCAGGAATCTGCAATCCATGGCATGCCCTATGTGTCTCGCAGGGATCTCCACTGGACCGAACGCCTCTTCTGGGTATCCATAGTCCTGTTGTCGGCTTACTATGCCATTAGCAGTTGCCTCAGCCAGTGGAATCGGTTCCGGGACAATCCAATTGTCTTTCAATACGAGTACCTCTTTGGGCTTCGGAAATTACCCGCTGTCGGAGTGACACTTTGCACGACATACGAGGATCAGGAGCATGTGAATCAGGTCATAAATGAGTAAGTTACTTAGAATCAAATTTTTGTATTACTACATGTGCTTAAAATTCCATTTAATTCAAGAACTTGGGGTTTGGGGCCGTCAAATGAGAAGACAGCCTACTACGAGAAGTTCCTGTTCGTGCTCAACCGCCTTCAGTACAACAAACTTGATACTTTAACGCCCTACGAGAACGATTCTACTCTGGACAACTTGAATTACGTGGGCATGCTGATGAAACTCCAGGAGAAGGTTCTAATGAAAGATGATGAACTTATAGTGGCGCCGGTCATAACGGAAGTTGGTTTGTGCCAAACTACTAGCCAGCTAAACCGCTACGGCAATCCCTATGGCAAAATGTAAGTCTTTATTTATTCGTTGAAATGTACGTAACGTTTCGAACCCAAGAAATATATATTCTTTATCAGAACTAACGGTTGAATCGATAAAGGCTTGTTCGTTTTGTCCGTTTGTCTGTCCGTTGGGACTAAAGGATTAAACTTACATTTTCTAGAGATGCTCCGCCCACTCTCACGCTCAAAAGCCACCACAAGATGTGGCATCCATAATATTACAATTTATGTTTTCTTTTGGCCGTGTATAATTTTTGTCAGTTTAATTTTGTAAGTGGTTATCAAGATGGTCAATATTTTAATATATGTTTTATAAATTTTGTGTATTTTTTTCAGAGAAAACATGACTGTTGTGAATGTGATAGAGTGCGAATTTAACTCTAATTGCAGGCTGCAGGGAAAACCCTTCAACGGCCTTAATACCACTTTGAAGCTGGTGAGCAAAAACCATCCTTTCTCTTTCTTAAATGCTATGAAATTATATAATAATAAATGCTTTAGTACTTTCACGATGTCAATGAATTCATGTTACCCCATGATCTTAAAACTCTCCATCATAATGCCAAAACCGATATTTCATTTACCTTTGAATTTCTCGTAAACTCGATATCGGCGGAGAACGATGTGCGAAACCTTCCGTTGGCTTATCGGAAGTGTCGCTACAAAGACGAAGACAATCTCGAGTACTACAGTGTGAGTTTAAGGTGTCGTACAAATTCGAACGAAAAGTCCCCATGTAGATTTACTCTCCCCACAGCCGTATTACCAAAGTCTCTGCCGCCTAGAGTGCCGAGTTAAGTGGGCCCTGAGCCTATGCAACTGCAAACCCTTTTTCTATGTAGCAGCTGTAGAGGCTCCAGTGTGCAACATAAGAGGAATGTTGTGCCTGCATCGCTCCAACTGGCTGGAAAAACCCTGTGAATGCCTTCCCCCGTGCATAGAGAACACCTATGCCATTTTTTCCGTTCAGGAGCAAAAGGCGGTTCGTATGTCCTAGTCCTAAAATACCAAATCATTTTTGTATTTCCATCCTGTAGGGAAATTTCGAAGCAGCAAAAACCTTCGAACGAACCCTGATTTTTAAGATGGATCTTCCCAAGATGGGCATGAAGCGGCGGGTTGTGTTCAGTACGGATCAGTTGATAATGTCATTCGGAGGAGCCATTGGCCTGTTCCTCGGAGCCAGCTTTATGACCATATATGGCTTGGTGTACCTTTTTCTCTGTTTTTTTGTTCATAAATGCAAACAGGTCATACAAAAAAGGTTTTTAAAGAAAAATCTTAGCAGTGCTAATATCAACGCTTTTAAGTAATCACTTTAATATTTCTTATACGAATGTTTTTTCCCAATGTAACATTTTTAATGAAACATTTTTTGTCAAACATTTTTATTAACTGAAAGGACTTAATGGTTTTCTGATACTAAACATTTTAAGAGTTATTTAGGTAATGTCTTGTTCAAGATTTATTTTAAGGTTTAATAATCTTTTAATGTTGTTGTTAGCCCTATTTTAATATTAGCCCAACGCTTGTAATAATTACTTAAAATTATGAAAAACTCAGCTTTGAGCAGCCGCTTTTATAAAGAACATAAAAAACGCCAGAATATCAAGTTACACCAGTTTTCTTTTTCTGAATTCACATTAACTTGCTAAATAAAAGCACAAAGCTAATGAAATTGTTTGAAACTTAACGACATCCAAGTGGCTTGATGGCCCGGGCGAACATCTTAGGCAAATTGAAGCCGCGGCAATTGTTGCAGGGCCACAATGTGGAAGCCACAAAAGTGGCAGCTTGGCGAGCGGTGAAGAAAGCGACACGTTCGGTTCAGCTGGGTTCAGAGAGCAGAAAAATTTCACTTTTGCGGAAAACTCATAACGAAAACTGCAGTGCGTTTTCCATCCGTTTTCGGTTACTCCATCGCAGATTTCCTATTGTCAAATGTGACAATTTGTCGGCTTATCCGGCGCGATTGCTCGACGTTTGGGTTCGGTTTACTTGGGTGCCTTTATCTCCCGCACTTGCCACACCACCACCTGGCCCAAAGCGCAGCCAACGGAACGAAACGGTTGGGTAAAGTTAACAACCTTTAAGTTTGCTTAATTTTTGGCTTTTCGAATCGTTTTCGTCTTGTGGGTATGTACGTATGTGTCTCTCTTGCGTGGATAGACTTCGGACCGACCAAACCAATCGAGAATTAGCCGCATTTAATTGCCATCCCGTTAGGAAAAACTATTTCACCAATGAAATTAGCAAGTAATGTAAGGCGGAAAAATTCTGTTTCGACTTTACGCTTATTGAAGTTGCTTGGCGGCGGCAGCCTCTAAGAAGTTTCTGTTTCTGCCTTGGCATGGGCATAAATTTGTTCTGGTCTGTTGCCAAAAAAATGAAAATGGTAGAAAAAAAAAGCCCAAAGTCAGACGGAACGGCAGCCAAGCAATTAAAACGAAACTAATTTTAGTGCCTCGGCTATACTCTCCGCCACACAGCCTTCCCCCCTCTGCCTTTCGGCCTAACCTTTTGGTAAGTTCCAAGAGGAACATGCTCTGTACTCTCTCCTCCGGCGGCCCATTTGCATCTTCTGCAACTTTGTGACATTTGCAATGGCATTTGCCGGCTTTGCATAAGTTGGCCAGCAGATCTGCCCACAAAACAGCAACGCCGGCAATCTTTTGCCATGAATCAGGCCAAAACCAGAGCAAAGCAAGGCAGCAAGAATTACCTGGTAAGGTGATCCAAACACAGCCGTACGTAGCCATTCATATTGCACATGCTCTGCCAGCACGAGTATGTATGTGTTTCTGCTCTAGTTCACACTCAGGTTGGAAAAAAAAAGAGCCAGCAACTTCTGCACAATTGCGTGCCGAACAATTTCCAAATTTCATAAATACAAAATGCACTCGCCCGCATCTGACAGCCGTCTTCTGCCTCCAGAGTTTGGGTTCACACTCCCCCAGGGAAGTCGCCGCCAACGCCGCCACCGTGCCCTCTCTCCTATTAATAGTAAACAGCGGGCGAGTCTCTCGGCGCGATTCAACTCCCATCTTTCCCATCTTTCCCGCCGCTAGTTTATTTCGGTACCAGCCAGCCAGCCCGCCGACAGACCCAACACCTGTCCACGAGGCAATGGTGAGCTGCTGGCGGGAGAACTGCAATCACAATGTGCTGAAAAGGTAATTTTCCTCAGCATAGCAAATGAAGCAGAGACGACGGGAGATTCTTGAAATCCCAAACTGTAAAGAGAAAATATTTCTCGACACAAATTTCTTAAGAGTTTCCAAGTGATAACCTATTAAACCATAAATATGTTAAGGTCACTTCCTATAGTTTTAACTACATTATATAATAAATCTCCCTTTTAAGATATATGAAAACAAAATCCAATATGCTCTACACGGCAGAATAGCAAATGTTAAAGTTCACATTAAAAATAGAATGTAAGGCAGAATGTGGGAAATAGTGGAGATACATGTGAGCGAAGCAAAGTGGAGTGGAACGCAGAGGGAAGTTAATGTATTACCTGCTTTAAATTCGTGCCATTAAGTCACTAATCATTGGCAGCTGTCAGTTGTCCGTCCGAGGGCATGCCATCATATCATAATGTATACCGGGAGCCCGTCCCATTGATTCCCTCCCAAGAGGCTTAGCCTGCGATAAAGATTTGCCCACTCCAAGACACCATAGCACCCGGCGTTAATTTACGCTTGTTAAATAAAATTGCCTGGCCCGACGTTATATAAGCGTAGTAAACATTTTTTTTTTATGAAAGTAAGTTGCCACAAATGGCGTCATGAGTGCCATAAATTATTGATAGCACACAATGACCAGATAGCAATGAAATCAATTAATGATAAAAACAAAATCAACAAAAAGTTTGCCAAGTAAAGTTTCGTGTTTCGCCGCAAGCTTTAGATAAATGCGAAAAATGTGGAGAATTTTTTGTTTGGCGACTCTGTTAGATACGATTTTGCAATTTTATTTCTTGCCATTAAATCAATTAGAAGACAAATGAAAAAACCAAACAGTTTCATCATCAAATTAGACGGAACATATAGTCTTTTCTGTTATTTTTCTGTATAGAAAACATTTCTGCATTCATTTATAGCTTTGTATCAGAGAACTTAATTGCTTCGGCTGGTCTTTTGTCTGTTTGCTCTGACCTTGGCTGATGATATTTGTTTATCATTATTTGCTTGAAGCTTTTTTGTTTACACACGAGAGACTTTCAGACCAATTCTGGGAGTTCTTGACACACTGACAAACAATCGTGGCAGCGGCAAGTCGGTCGGTTCATATTGTCGGAACAGTTTCAGCAAAATGAAAATCATTTCTTTTTCTGTTATTTGAGCGGGGTCATAATTATGTACATACGTTTCACCAAAAATATTCAAAAGTTCCAAGAACCCGAAAACGGAACATTCACCCGAAGCGTTCGTGTTTAAAATTACATTGAATTTCCGCGGAAACTAAAGAATAACAAGTGGGAAACTCACCTTCATGTCATTGATAATCTGCTGGAAGAGACTACCCAGCGCGGAGCTATCGCGTTCCAGACTTAGATCCATGTTTTCCTAGTATTGAGCTGACTTTATTGGAGATATCGATTGGTTTTCGTTCGTCGTTCAATTTATTCGGTTACAGTTAGTTTATTTGGTTGATTTATAATTTTGATTATTTATTTTGCTCCATTTTGATTGGAAAAAACAAGCAAATTCAACATTTCCTTGTGCTGCATGTCAGGGAGATCTGAAAGAAAGGGAAACAACATTAAAATACAATAATTTATAAATAACTGCGCTCTACAAACAGATTAACAAACACTTCCGATCGAAATCTCTGTCTCATCCCCGCCATAAATCTCAGAAATTCGTCGCTGACGGGGCTGAACCAAAAGATATCTCGTAAATAATCAGAAATGTAAACTAGAGTCTTTCCAAACAAGAAATTATGCTTAATTAGGCTTATTAATATACGACATAGCATTGTAGACTGAGGGGAAGTTCCCCTCCGAATGGCGTAGGCGCAGTATAAAACTTTATTTGGGGATCGTTGACCCAAATTGAGAGTGCTTTAAGTGCGTGAGTATGGGGCTCCTGCTGATATGAGACTTTTGATTTATTAGCCATGTAGCTGGGCTAATTGTTAATTATTAATTGATAATTGATATATCTTGGAGCGACGTACAGGAAGTTGCATACACCATGCCAACTCCGGACCTGAGGCCCATGCAAACGACGCCTCGTCGAGGAAGTGCAATAGTTTTGACCCATTTGTGGGTTCGCCATACGTGACTAATTCTGTGCCGCTTTCCGTGGCTTTCGAAAGTGCAGATAAGCCGAGAAAACTAACGCGACTCCGTACGCCAGCGAACCTTGGAAGCAATTAGAGAGGCGTCAAATTTACAGGTACACATTACCCGAGCAATAACCTTCGACCAGGAGGTACTGTCCTAAGCCCAACATGGATTTAAAGAGTACTCTTGAGGCCATGTCTCTTCAGTTCCATGCCTTTTCGGGCTGATTATGACATTGACGGCAGCTCCGAGTGAAGTTCTCCGGCCACAAGTGCTCGTCTGTATGCGTCTCTGCAACGCGGCTGCATTCAGAAAGCGTTCACAATGGACACTCAAGCGTGGAGGAAGCAAAAGCCCACAAGTGATAAACAGCCGCAACAACGAGAGCTGATTGCCTAGACTGCGTATCTTTCGTCTATGTGTGCGTGGTGGCGCAGAAGAAAGCATCCGAGAACAAGTTGGGGAAAATGAAGAAAAACCATTGCGATAGTGAAGAGATTTTCGACTATGATGTTACCAGTACTGAGATTTTTGTAGTAACTAGACGTTTAGAGTTTATAGTTTAGAAACCAAACAGAATTCATAGATGTTCCCGTCTTTAATGATTTTTAAAAGGTTTAATTCAGAACTAAAACACAAATACTGAATCTTTAGTTAAGCTTTTGTATTAAAAACCTAATTTGACTCCACTTCGAATGTCAACATAGCCTAAAATAAAGTGAAAATAACTCTGAAGTCAAGTGCTGCAATTAAGAGTTTTCCGATCCTCCCCGCCATGTTGCAAATATGATATAATCTTAACCCGAATAAGAATAAACCAATATGCATTCAGATTGTTGATACAGACATACCCTTTACTTAAAGGGTATCAAGGCACAAGCACAACAAACTTGCGGGAAGCGACAGACGCACATTCAGACACATTATGTGGAAGTACAAGTAGACTTTCTGCTGTCTCGCTTTTTGTTCGCTCTCTTCTTTTTAGCTGAATAGTGTAAATGACCTCTCAAGATAAAATTGTGGCCACAAAGCCGACGATGACAGACCCGCTTTGTTGTTATTGTTAATGTTGTTGTTGTTGTTGTTGCTGTTGTTGCTGCCACAGAGTTGCAATTTCCTTTGCAGTGCGGAAATAGGTTTTTGTTGTTTTTGGCAATTGACTGCGGAGAATCTGGTTTAAGAGGCATACTGTGGGGCATATACACGAAACATTGACCCAGTTAACTGGTTGCATTTAAATCATAAGCCTCAAAACTGGTTGAGCAAGTAGTGTACGTTCATATATTAGGTCTATGCTGCTTATCCATATCACTTATACAGCGGAAATAAGAGTTTTTCTCAGCAGAGAGATGAACTCGCGATTGCTGGCTTGGGAACTTCGCAGAGAGCATGAGGCCACTAAAAAGCCAACCTAAGGTCAGGTCTGCAGATCGTGATGGGATCGGGGGAACTATTTCGGCAGTAGCCAAAGTCCAAATTACCAAATCGTGCTATAAAAACAAAAGCAGGAAAACAACAATTTCACAAAGTAGCCTCAGAAGAAGAGCAAATACCTTTTTCCCGTCCAGAAACTTAGTATATAGTATATAATGTAAGTTGAACTGACTGGATAATGGGAACTGGGAATCTTAACTGCTCCGAAGTCAACCCGCATCAAAACTCGCTCAAATGTCAAGATGACGATGATGATGCTGTGGTGTTACTCCTGCTGCGTCTGATGATTATGCTGGATGCGTTTTAATTTCAACTACGCATAATTTTCCGCCCTATTTACTGTCGTTCTCGTTGCGGCTTTATATCTGCGGTTTCTCTGAGACTTCTGTTGAAACAAACGGATGCAGCTTTGCTCGAGATGAAGAGGAAATTGGAGGGCTCCAATGAGGGAATCCCAAATGTAATGGAAACAGAAGGGTTCAATATAATAGGGCAGAAAACCAGATTGTTATGGTATATATGAAAACTCAACTTTTAAGCCCAAATCGAATTAGAAGCAGGAATATTATTTACTATTTATATTAGCTTGTTACTTAAAGGTCAAGCTAAAGGTATACCAACTTATCGACAAACATCATTAAATGATAATTGATAAAGTCATAAAAGCATATGCTTTCGGGCTTGTACTTTCCTTATCATTACTATTAAGCCACTAGATACTTTGAACACCAGCTTAATAACAAAAGTTAGTTAGCAAGGTCATCTATTAAGCTTCATATATACATTTTTTAACGAAACAAATAATCAGTCTGCTCTATTGCCCTGACCGCATCTGTACATGCTTACAATGTACAATGTACATCTTCGTGCTGTGTTGCATGTTGCCTGTGTTTCTATTGCAGGAAGTGACTTGACTGGCGGAAAACAGGAGAGGGGCAAGTGTGGCAGACACTTTTGTCAAGGGCGACACACAGACAGGCAGACGGAGTTGCTGCCGTTAATTGCTTACCAAAAGATGTGAGCACACGCACCGCCATATCTGTCCCATTTGGCCTCCCCCTTCGTTCATTGCGTTGTTATGCGTAAATGCAGATGGGCCACACATTAGGGTGGACCAACGACGTGTCGCAGCAATAACTCAGGGGCTTTTTGTGTTTATAAGTCTTATGAGCGAACCCAGCGCATAATGACTAACTGAAACTTCAGTACTTTTTCTTTGCAATCCACTTCCTGCTCATCTAAAAATACTTTCTGATAACTCAAACACAAAGGGGTCATAAAAACAATAAACGATATTGAGAACAATTTTGGAATTCCCTAATGGTACTGAAAGTTGAATTTTCAAATCTTTGGAGAGAAATTTAAGTTTAAAAAAGAAACGGAAATTCGCTTATCTCAGTGTTGATAGAATCGTCAACTCTTTAAAAAAATATTTATCAAAAACAAAGTTATTTCTTTTGCGACGTCAGAGAAATTCCCGGTCTCTAGATTAGATAAAAAAAAAAACATGTTCCTTGTTAACATTGACTTTTTAAGATAGTTCTGATATTGATTTAATTTCCAAAATTCCGAAAAGTCAACGAACTGAAAATAGATCTGTAAGTTCTAATTTCCAGCCCACAACTTTAATGCACTGCTGCAGACTTTCATATCCAGTCCGACAAGAAAATGTTCTGTTTTTCTTGGGCTCTGTTTCTGCTGTTTTGTCCCATAAGTTCTCAGTGGGATTTGGTTAAACAAATAATTTTACAGCTGCTTTGGAGGAGATTTGTGTACTTGGAAAAATGGAGAGCGGGTGCGGGCGAAGATCTCCAATGTCAGGTTGGCTCCTAGCAGATTTGTGTGGCCAGTTGTAAGGTAAGCGATACCTTGTTGCTGGCAAATTGTGCATCCGCAGCGGCGGACCGTCATGACTTTACACTTTCACCAACAACTACGAGTATCAACAACTTGAACCAACTATGGCCATCTGTGGTCAGCCGAGTGTCGAGATGTCTCGGCCCTTGGTCTGATCTTGGTCTTTCGGTCTTGGGGTCTGGGGACTGGGGTCTTGAAGTATGAGGTCTGGTCTTTCTGATCCGGAGTTAGGAAAGCGTCGATCATCAAATGCCGAGGGTCGAGTGGTCGCTCGATGAAAAGAAAAGCGAAAAGAACGCATAAAACGATGATAATCAAAAGATCAAGTTTTTATATGAACGGAATCGACAACGTCACCAGCACAATCTCACACATGTGCTCAAACATTCATGTTTATCTATGGTTTTCTATCTTTAGCGTCATCTGTGCTTTGCATTGCATTTTCTATTTGATGTTTCTGGGATTTGTGAGGGCATCTGCTTTGGCTCTCCACCGCCCACCTCCCCCTGACACACCCACCGACGCGTATGGCACGTCATTAACCCAAATTTTCTATGAATAAAATATAGCAAAAAGGAAAACACTCAGTGTTTATGCTTGCTAGCGAGCATGCGTTGGGAAATCTCTCTATTCAGCTTTTTTGTGGCCGTTTTGATTTGAATTTAATTGAATAATTCGCAGGCAGAGCTCATTCGACACATTGTAAAATAGGCCAATTCATTGATAATTGAAGCATTGATAGGCATCTCACTTTGATAAGTTGCACTATCTAATCAGTGCCAGCAGCGGATTGTAAACACTCTGTTCTTTTGGCCACACATAGTCATTTGGAAATCGATGAGTATAGATCGGAAGTTATCAGGCAACTGAAACTCACCGAAAAATAAACTGAGAACCGAGAAAAGTGGAACACGAAACACATTTCGCAACGCGAACGCCCACAAATCTGTAAACACCAACTCGAGTGTTCTTCCATGCTGCCCGCTGGAAATAAACTTTCGGCATTTAGCGGCGTTTAATCGATTTGTGCATAAAATTATAAGTTTACACATGGCAAGACAGCCGAAACCAAAATAACATCGAGATACACATCGTGACCCATAGGCGGTCTTTTCTGCGTGGAATTGTTTTCCCAGCATATTTCAGAGATTTTCCCCACCAGAAAAAGCGATATGATTACTCATTCAAAATCATATATGTTTTTATATGGCTTTGATTTCGTATTCAGCCTAAATTCTTATATAATAATAAATAAAATAAAAATGTTTGTTTTCTCTTGCCTGAAAGCTGTTAAAACTCTCGTTTTCCCTCCACAAATCATATTTAAAAGTTTTCAAGACATTTGATGAGATCATGAGTGAGATAAATAGATGCAATTATTCTCGGCTGGCGCACAAGTCATTAGAGTATAAAAAACATTTGACGGGCCAATGTTAAGGTGGGTAAATTTGCATTCACTAATTCTAACAAAAAAAAAAAATGGCCCGTAGATTTTCTATTATTAACAATAGAACCAGACCCGCTCTCTTGCCACTTTCCTACGCGTTTTGGCCATGGCAAATGGTTATTAATGATTAACCAGAGTGCCGTTAGCCGGCACATGTTACCCAGTACTTTGTCATGTTTGTTATGTTCTTGTTTGCTGGTTCCATCAGCACGTTTTGTTCTGCTTCTTCTTGACAGCTTTGTGGCCATCAGGAAATGTGAATTTTCACCGTCTTTTCTAGCCTTTCCAGTCTCGTTAACGTGAAATCTTTTGCCCAGCTTTTGTTTTTCTTTCATAAGAAAATGGCAGCTGGTTAAAAGGCTAGGGAATTTTGCTAATTTGCCAGCAACGCCATAACTAATGCCCGCAGAATGGAAACGAGAATGGAAGGAAATCCGTTTTAGTGTCGCTTCTGGTGAACGCTGAACTCTTGACATTTGCCCAAGGCGACGATAAAGTTTAGACCGATTTTTAATGAGCTCTACGTACGCGGGAAAAGGCGACACGCAACCCACCCCAAGTGAAAAGCGCTCGAGGCGACTCTTGGCTTAGATTAGACACGATTTTCATTAGGACAAGCCCCAAAAAATCGAAAGTGGTTACGAAAGATTCCATTCCGAAAAGCAGGCGTTTGAGTGGGCGGCCAAACAGTCTCAGAGACTCAGATTCACGGCTCTGCCAGATTCATTCAGGAAAACAACAAGAAACGCCCATGCAGTTCACCAATCGAACGAAACCGAAAATCTTTTTTTCGAGTGGGCAGCAGAAATCATACAAAAAAACTTCAGTTGCAGCAACAACATGCTAAACAAATGCAGCCATTCAAGCTAAGTGGCACTAAAGTTTTACAAGTTTTCAGCCGTTTTTTCTTGTTTACCAATTAAAAACAGTTGTTGGATACGAGGAAAATCGGTCAAGAGGAGCTAAAGGCACGTATCAATGAATTACGTTAAAAAAAAATACTAGGACAAATTCCATTTGGCCCAACTCTTATCGCTTCTAAGAACCATTTACGTAGACAGATTATCAGACGAGTTGTAAATCATATACTAAACACAGACTCGTAAATCTTGAAACTGTAAATAATAATTAACAGTCCTAACTATATGAATTTCTTGAATAAACAATAAAAATATTATTTGTTTAGGGTCCAGAGAGTTGATATTTTTAATATACTATTACCAAAAATAATGTATAGTTAAAAACGTTTAAGCCGACCACTAAAACCAAAACTACGATTAAAAAAGAACAAAAATAATAGCAGCAATTGAGAATGGGAAGCGGAGCCAAAGCAAATTTGCACGCCAAACAGTTTACGTGTTTTCTTTGTTTTGGCCATATTCTGTGTTTGACAGAGAACAGGGCCGCATAGTGTGGTTCCTATGCAACGGGGGTGGGTCAGGTGGAAGCGGCCTTTCTCCATAAAGATACAATTATTTATATTCGCCGGTATTTGTTTTTCTCCTTTTGTGCAGTTTTGTTTGCATTTTATTAAGACGCAAGTTGCTGGTTTTTGTTTACGTAGCGTGGCAAACTCACCGAAAGAAATAATTCCTTTTACGACCAGAAATGTTTGTCCTGTTTATAGGATTCTTTTTATGGTTATAAACAAAATAAAATCTAAAAAATTGAATTCAAACATTACTATAATGTTCCCTTTTGCGTAACTACTTGCAAAGTTGCTTTCTATTCTTTTTATTTCCTAGTTCATTATAATAAAAATCACTAAAACAGCACTTATTAAAAGAGCATGACTAAACAATTTTTCTAATTTTGGTACACTTTAAGTCCACTTTCCACCAAAAATTATAAGATTATAAGATTAGTACCGAAATACTCGTGTTTTTCTCTGTGCAGATGAAAACTGTTTTTTCCAATGGCCGACAGCTGTTTGCGGTTAATTTTATCTTTCTTTATATGCCCCTTTGCTGCTTTTGTTGTTGTCGAGTTCTCTCGTTTTTGGCAATTGCACAGGTGCGCCAGTTGGATGGTTTTCGGATTGGGTTACTCTCTATGCGAATCAGATAACCCAAGGCAGCCACTTTTTGGCCAAGGCATCCCAGGCTGACTTTCGAATTTGAGCATTATTACTTGTCTAGGCGATATATCGTATACTACATATGCATAGCTGTATATATATAGCAAATGCACCGGCAGACATTCCTGGCATATCGTGGCATTGTGGCGAGAATGTGAAACAACAAAGACAAGCGTCTTTGTTGGAAAAAGTTCTGCAACATTTGTTTAGACAAATGTGCGAAGAAATAATCTCGGAGCGTAAACAAAATCCCGGCATAATATTTCAATAATTACGCTTATCTGCTCCATTTGACGGCGGGCACAAAAGTCGCTTGAAAGGTATGCAAAGAGAACGAAAAACATGCGATAAGGGAGACGGGAATGAGTATGGAAATGGGAACGGGAATGGGAAAATTTAGCTTTTAAGCATTTTGTCAGCACCATGGGTGTCAACGTGCTGCTCCGGTTCCTGTTGCGATTATACACTCAATAGAAAAGGAAACGCAGAGCCACCCCACAAAAAAGACGACCCAGAATTATATAAAAAAAATTACCTCTTTTCAGATAAACCAAATTCAGGTAACAATCACAAAGAGAAGTCCCTGCACTTGCGCAATTAGCGCGCAACTTCAAATGGGGAGTTGTGCACATAGAGAAAAGCTTAAATTAATTGTTAATTAAAATCAAATTCCCATCCTTCAGGGAAATAAATTTTTAACTACATAAAACAAATATTTACAAACAAAAAGCTGTTTTCCCTTAGGCTCCATTTTTACTTTGAATTAAATTGATATTCTTAAATTAAAGGAAAAAAGAAATTAAACAGAAAAAAACTAAAACTGTTCTCGGTTGAGAGTAACTAAATACCAAAAAAAAAATGTTTTCTTTTTTTAAGCGTGTATAAAGAATCCTGTTTGGATGGCCGTGAAAGGAGTTTTTGGTTCTCACGACCGCCTGGAATTGGCACTGGAAGTCCTTGGATCTGATTCCCACTGGAATGGAAACGGTCCAAACTTGTTGTTGCCTGTGAACTGTAGCATCTTTCGTTTCTTCCTCACCGCCCCTTTCCAATCCCGTCTCCAAACCCTCTCACAACCCTAATAATTGGCATTATTAGCTCACTCCCCACTCGATTCCTGTATCTCCTTGATGTTTTTTTTTTTGTTTTTGTTCGACGAGCACCCTCGAAGGATACTTACGGTGCACTTTCGACTGGAAAATATCCCAGGGCGTCTTAAATGCAATCGTTTGTTTGATTTTTTCGGCCAACGATGCTGCAGACAATTAAGCGTTGTTGTTGTTGCTCTTGTTTCCTTCCCTGCTTTCCATCGTTCGCTTTTGATGTTGCTTTTGTTGTTGTTCTAGCATTGCATTTCCAGGCGGCAAAAGCGCACACAAAGGAGAGGAGCGGGTGTGTGTGTTTGCTTGTATGTGGGGTGTATTCTCCCGTTATCCCCCCCTGTATTCGCTCTCTATCTCTTTCTATCACTCCTGCTTTCGTGGGCTTTGCTTTTGCTTTGCTTTGTTCAAACTCAAACAAACTACCCTGAAGAACCGTTGATCCTGACTGCCTTGTTGTTGTTGTTGCTGTTGTTTTGTTTTCTGTTATGTTATACACTCACAGACACGCACACGCACACACATGCACACAGCGGGCTGGCAGGGCAGACAGACGCTTTATTTTCCGTTTTCCTCGGGAAATTGCATAAATTTATTCGCGGATTTTCGCACCGAATTCGACACTTTTACCGCTCGTATTTCGACAATTACAATTGTGTTGCGCCCGTTATTTTATCCCGGCTAGAAAACAATTAGAAGATTGGCGCTGCAACCGCTTTTTTGATTCGAATCTACGACTTATTTTCCGAGCGCATTTTTCTTCGGTTCTTTCGTTTCGAGAGGGCTTTTCTTATGGTCAAACAAAAAACCGAAAAACAACCGCGACCGATTCGTTCGAGAGTGTCTGGGTCAGTGTGGCCATTTCTCGGAGCTCGAAAATGGCAGTTGTTCGGTGTGACCGAACGGTAATGGTATTTTTAACAGACTGTTAATCGACAGAAATGTTAAAAAGTTAAGTTCGAGAAATGTACATATTAAAAAAAAAAAATAATTTAGTTTTATGGCCATAAACTTACAATATGAATGAGAAATAATAATAAGACTATATTAGATATTAAATTATTTATTTTTAAATAAAACTGTTATTTGTTGTAAATGTAATGTTTTGATAAAATCGTTAACAATTTATCAAAGTTTTTAATGTTTTTTTAAATGTTTTTGTTACTTTCTATAAAAGGTGTGGGGCTGGACAGTTTAGTAAGAAAAAGATGTTATTTTAATAGAACCGATATTACATATAAGCAGATTTAGAAGAAAATTTACTTAAAACTTAGAACTTCCCCATATTTTGGATGGCATTCACACAAACTGGCTTAAATATTTACTGGCAAGCTAAGATTTTACTGTAAAATTTAGATTTTATTTGGGCCATTAAACAGGAAGGAGGCAACTAAGGAATTGAAATAAAAAAGGTCCAAACGTCAAAGTATCATATAACAATTAAGGTATTTATTTGTTCACGTTGTTGAGCTTGGTGCAGTAGATTATAAAGTCATCGTCAGCATTATCACACAAGTCCACAGCTTAAGGAAATCAACGAAAAAAGTGCATATACAAATATAAAAACAACGCTTTGTACAGTAAAGCAATACCAAAGCAATCAATACAAAATATGTGGTACTCTATCAGGGAGCACCTCTAAAGCTATTCCACCCGTTCCACACTGAGCTTAATGTCCGATTTGGGCATTAGAAGCAGCCTCCGGTTGTCGTACTCCACAGGAATGGTGGTCTCCACACAAGGAGCATATCTGTGGTTCTTCAACAGAGCCACGAGACCCACTAGTAGCTGCTGCTCTGCGAAGCGAGCGGCGATGCATCCTCGCAAGCCATCGCCGAAGGGCAGGAAGGCAGCTGGCGGACGGGATCGTTTGGTCTCCTCCTCGAACCGATTTGGATCGAACCGCTCGGGATCCGGATATATCTCTGGATCTCTGTGTATAGCTGCCGTGGGAATCAGTACATTGTTGCCCCTGGCGATGACAAACACGGATCCGGGCAGCTCGAATTCTTTGGTAGCACGGCGCAGCAGGAAGGGATGTGGCGTGTGCAAACGAAGCGTTTCTATAACGGATTTAAACTGTTTAGTTTGCGGTTTGGGGAGTTTGGGGAGAACATTGAAGATATTTTTTTTACTCTTGATCATAAAAAAAGCAAGAAAGTTTAATACCCTTGCATAAATATGTAAGAAATGATTTATATGCAAGGGTATTAAAATGTATTTTCTCATTTTTATTATTTAGCACAACGACCTTTTAAATATAAAGCTAGATGTAGGATTTGCAGAATGCAGATATAAGTAGTTGAAACTTTTTAAATTACTTACCATTTAGGACCTGCTTCGTAAACCTCAGCTCCCTTAGGAACTCCGGCGTCACTAGGTCGCCGTGCTGCTCCAGCGTCTTTTTAATCTCGAGCCTTGTTCGATCCTGCAACTCTGGATGGCGGGCCAACTCATAGAGACAGAATCCCAGTGTAGCATTTAGAGGGCCTAAGCCGGCCTGCAGAAAGCCAAATGCCTGGGCCGCAACCTTGTCATCTCCAAGCGGATGGGCTGCGTTGCAATAAAGCTGCAAGAACGACTGCAAAGGCTGGCGATCTCTCCTTCGGTTCTCTTGTATCTGAGCCAGAGCTACCTTTTGAAAGTAAGCCGTAGCTGGCTCCGCGTAGCTTTTGTATTGCAGAAGCCGAGCGATAAACGGAAACTCTAGCGCCAAGTAAGCTCTCCACAGCCTAAAGTCCGCCCAGTAATTGCGCGTCCACTTGGCAAACTCCTGGTGATGCTGGCCACCCAATCCAAAGGCCATTGAGGCCATTACGTCTGTGTTGTAGGCGCCAACCAATTCGCTAATGTTGCAGGATTGCAGGTTTGCCTTGTCCAAGTCACTTTGAATTCTGGTGGAGATTTGCGCCAGCCTTGGTAATAGCTTCTGCATGTTAGCCGGTGTGAAAACCTCTGCCGATTTGGCGTGCAGTGAGCGCCATTTATGACCATCCAGTTGAAGGAGATTAGCCGACAACGGCTCTCCGCTGGGATTACTGTAGAGACCACGTGAAGTAAAGTGTCCTGCATCGGTGAAGATAATTTGGTGCACAAGCTTCAGGTCAAGCACCAAGATGAAGGGCTTTAGGCAGGCGTAAAAGCCTACAAAGGGAGCTTTGCCTTTGTATTCGGTATAGATGGTCTGCAAGGCGTCCTGGGCATGCCGCTTTCCGCTCACCACGCCCTTTATGTTGCCCCAAAAGAACTTGGGTTTTTCGTGCAGGATCCCCCGTCGCTTCCAGTAGCCTAGGCTGATTTTAACCACGGCGTAGAACACAGACAATGCACCAAATGCTGTGAGCAGTGCGCGGTGCATCAGGTCCATCATGAACCAGTTGGCTTTAGGGCCTTCCTTACGATTTATTTGAACTATTTGTTATGTTAAACAGCTGGTAGTAGCTGCTCGTCGAGGTTTTTTGGCTTAGTGCCGTAGGCTTATCAGCGCCATTATCGGTTGGTTCGATTTAATAATTGATAAGGTCCATTGAGCAGCGGTTGCTAAAATGGAAGAAAAACGTGTCAATAAGGCAACATGCAATACGTAAGCGTAATCAATGTGTTCAGATGGTTTTATTGCTAAAATAAGTACTAAGAGTTGCATCTACGGCTGCAAAATGAGGCACAGGTTGTACGTGCTAGCGGGAAACTCGTCGACAGGCATCCAGCGGATGTAGCCCTGATCGATTAACTGCTGCCGCGAGCTGGGCACACCTGAGAAATGCGGATCCTAAATAGGAAGAGAAGCGATGAGTTCACCAAATTATAAAATGAAGTAATCAGCTGACTCACCACCACCTGCAAGAAGATGCGACCTTCTGCACTACGATGGTAGCCTGTAATAGCCTTGGAGGCGGTGTCACTTAGTCCTCCCATAGCGATAAAACCTTGGTACTCCTCAAAATATTTACTAATCTGACCGAGGATTTCCGGCGAGTTGAGCTCTTTAGCATGCAAAATCTTGCAGGGTAGCTCGAGAAGCACATCAATCACGTAGAACTCCTCGAGGGTCCCGATCCAGTCGTGGGAATCTATAAAGTCCGGACCCTTATCACCGAGAGCCACCAAGATCTTCTGGATCTCCTGAATGGAGGGCACATGCTTAATATTGCCCCGTCGTTGGTAAACCCAGGAAATGGCCGATTGCAGAGTACGGTAGCCGCAGCCCCAGCCCGCATCCTGGTGGCCATCGCATCCGTAGTGAAAGTAAGTAAAGCCACCGCGGATAGCGAGCGTCTGACCGTCCTCAGTGGGCAAGGCCAGCGGGGCTTGCGGATTATCCAGGAGCGGATAGGAATACACCTTCGGGACAAGTTTAAAGGACTTCGTCTCGGAGTCCCCATAATCCGAAGCAGTTTCATCCGATCCCATTGTAATTTTTTGTTCAACTGAGAAACTCGATAACCTACACCTATGGCACCTGTTCCTTTGTTGTTTATTTACCTTGCGCAGCGCAGCCTTAATTTGTTTTGTGAAAGTGAAATCGCAGCAGAGAAATTGGAATGTTTTTGGCCCTGGCTAGAGATGGTACACAGAAAAATGTCATGCAACAATAACAATGTCAACAAGGGTAAAATTGAAAAAAAATTGTATATGTTATTTAACAATTCAAATAAATAATAATAAATGCAATAGTTATAGCTTATTAGTCTTAAAACAGTTTAAATTTTAAATATTCGAGATTTTAATTTTATGGTTTCATCAATAGTCCATCTCTAACCCCTCCATTAAAATATCGATAACAGAGTTTTGGCGCCTTCGAGCAAAGAATTCAAACATCTCAAATTGGTTTTCTCTTATTTCTCATGCAGTTCAAATTTTATTTGAATTATTAAATGTACATTATTGTGTTTAGAATGTATAAATAATTTTTTCCGGTGTACGTGTGTATGTGGGTGTTTCAACGCTTTATATATATTAACACCATTTCTCTTGAATTGTGCTCATTTAATTTATAGTTTTTGGTGACCAAACAGTACATCGTATTTAATAATTGGTAAAATTTGTAGCACTCTATGACTACGGTTTGTAAAATTTGCATATTTTCAATATTGAGTTTCAACTATTTTCGGATTGCTGATTGTTACTGAGTTGCAGTTTTGTTAATGTTTAAAAGTTAGCTTAAAAATGCATTGGATAACTTCGCTGAGTTTTACAATAAATAGATGGTGTTTGCAATGCGTGTCTGTGCATCAATTAAAATACCTAAATTACATTGTGCGCTTAAATGATTTTCGTTTATCGTTTCGTTTTTTGGTGTGTGCCAACAACGGTTTAAAAGGGTCAATTAAAAATTATAAGTACAATACATAAAATACATTTATTAAATATATTTAGCGATATCACCACGATTTGTTGTTATTGTGCTCTTAAAAATCATGTAACAGAAAAGATTATAATGCTAAATTATTAATATAATTTATTTATACGTATATGTTATGTATATTATAAATATTTATACGATTTGTTTTCCTCCCTCCGCTTGGTCGGGCTTTCCTCATAAATGCAATCAAAATACGCTTGCGTCTAAAAAATACATTCCGCTCTTCTCGTGTTCGAGTGTTAAATGTGCTTATGTTTTGCATCCGAACATCCGTCTTAGCAATCTACAGTCAAGTCTACATCTGAATCGTTGCTCTATGCTCTATGGTGAAAACTACTATTTTCTCCGGTTTAGAGTGTGTTTGTGTATGGATAAGGGTGGGCTGATTCTTTAAAAACATCGAGTTACAGGAGCAACAAGTTATCTTTGGCAACTTTGGCTAATACAACATTGGTTTTGAATCTCTGAAGTGTTGGTATTTTTACAATTCAATAAATATTTTCTAGTGACCTACGAACATTGTGAATAAAAATTGGTAAATATAATAAAGCCGTTGTCGACTCGCAGTATCTTTCTGAAAACAGCAAAGCATTGTCCAAAGATACATGTTCGCCCCTAAACTCTTCATGTTTTCTTGCAACCATACAAATCGACCCATCCAACTGTGAGGCATCCTGCGGTGCTGGGTTAAATGCAATGCCACGCCCCCGATTCCCTTACAAGGTGCAGTATTCGGTGAGAATGGGTATAGACTTCAACAGCTCGTTAATGTTGTGCTGCTCCAGATGCACCACCAGCTGTTCGGAAGACTTCAGCAGGTTGACGCAGTTCTGTAGGTTCTCGACGATCTCCTTTGTCATGGTGTCCGACGACTTGCTGATGAGCTCAGCCAGCTTTTTTCCCACCTCGCATTTAACCAGCTCATCCTGCAGTCGTTGCGCCTGCCCTGCCTCACTCGCCTGCGACAAGTAAACCACGGACAGTATGCAGAGGGCAATCAGCGCTTCGTTTTGCATCACCAGATGCTGGGCCGTTAACATGCTGACCATGGCCTCTACGGTTCCCTCGTTGGCGAGAAATTCGGTTAAGCTGCTGCGATCGTAGTCCTGAGTGAGAGGAATCCGGTCAGCAATTTGTTCGGCGGGGGCATCGCCCTTGCGCGGCAGTGCATAAGCGATCTTGCTGAGGTAGGCGTGCTTGATTAGCCAGGCCATGAGACGCAGGGACTCCCCGGTGACACCCGCATAGTCTGAAGATTTGCTCCAGTGCACCAGCTGCTCGATCAACGCCTTATTCTTAAGTAGCTCCAAAGCAAGTTTTTCTGAAAAAACAGATGTTGCTAGAGATGCGGATCGCGTGCTGTCTTTGCCCCTACTCACCCTGTCCATCGACCGTCATGCGAAGCGTGCCCAGCAGTTTAAAGACAACTGGTGGCTGATGGATTTCCAGCATCGGCAGAATGGTTTGCACCAGGCCTGCCTGGATCACCGCGTTCTTGTTTGGCTTCGGGATGACCAAGTTGCGCAGCGCAGAGAGTAAAGCATGTTGCAGACGCACATCGTCCTTGACGCCGTTGTTCTTGGCCAACACCTCGAGCAGCTTGTTCATGGTCTGTTGCTCCACAAAGTAGATGCAGTGGCTATCGGTGCGCGCAAAGTTGCCCAGGGCCAGCACACCAGTGGTAAGCAGATCAATGTCCGACGAGTCCAGCCAGTCGACCATGTTCTTCAGCAGCGGTGTGGTGTACAGATAGTTCATTGATTCATCTGCGAGATTATGCAAAATTAGTTGATTCTTTTTTATAACTACCTCTGCAGACTGAATTTAAAAAGGTCCAAAGTTAATATGGACACTTAATTAAGCCCTTATTACAGACATAAACTTAGTTAAACTTACCTCCAGTCAGGATTAATACGATAAGTTCGCAGGCGAGCTTCATCAGCGCCCTAGCCTCACTTGTGCTGGCCAGAGTCTTGTACTTCTCCAGCAGGTTGTATATGGTTTCACAAAGACCGTCCTTGGCCAGAATCAGCTTAACCTCGTCGCTCTCCGCCTGGTAATGGAGAAGTTCCAGGCACATCTCAGCCAGATCGGGATTCGTGGAAGCAGCTAGGATACGCGAAAGCTGGATATTCAGGGAAGATTCAAAGTTCAGATCCGCCACGTTCTCAGTGAGTATACTAAGCAGTGGAAGTGTGTTAAGCAGCAAATCCTCGTGCTGTTCCACATTGGTGGCACCAGTTTCGATTATGCCCTGTATCTTCTTCATCACGCCCAGCTCCATGGCCCTCTTGGCCAGGCCCTCGCCGCCAAGCAAATAGTTTGACAGCAGGCCACCCCGCACTTTGATAAACTGAGCCGCATTGGTAACATCCTCGATGGTGGCGATATCCAGCAGACGCAGCAGAACCGCATCGCCCTCCAGCTCCAGAATAAGATCTCTGGCTTCGTCGTTCAAGTAGCAAATGTTCCCCAGAGCCCGGCATATCTGTATGGGCAACTCCATGCTGCCATCGGTCGTCGGCACATGACGCAGACACTCGAGAAAGGCGGCTATTATGTCCTTCTTGGTGAACTTCTTGCGCTGCACCTCTGATTTAGTGATCTCAGCAATGCACTTAGCCGCCTCCTTGCGCACATTTGTATCTTCGCACTTTGTGAGTCCCAGGAAGCAGTCCGCCAGCTCGTGCTTGTCAAATAGTTTGGGATCCTTAGTGGCCGAGATCTCGCAGAGGAGGGTCGTCGTGTTCGCCGGACTAACACTGGTCGTCTTTAGCTTCTCGATGAGCTCGTCCATTTCAGCTGGAGAAGACAATAATAAAATAGTGATTACTAAGTGCTATTGATTTATGTTTTAAGAATGCAATTTGGCGATAATAAAATACTAGTAGAGCAAAATTATATCCTCTTAGTTAGTGGAGTTCAGCACTTCTTCAGCTAAAAGAAGATTTTGAAGTGTTTACATGCTTTTAGTTCATTACAACGACGAAAAAAAAGATTCGTTCAAACGGAATTTAAACTTATTAAGAACCCCAGAAACAATTTAGCATTAAGTCCAGACTAAATGAAATTTTCTTTTTGGGAAAATGTTCTCTTAGAAATGGGCTACCTATACATTTATTTATGTATTCTAAAACGTTCCGTTTCGAGGAGCAAGCCATCCACCTTCCTTTCTCTCCACTGTCATTGTTGAGCACCGCAAAATTGATTGCCAATTTCGATTATCGTCGTTGGCTGGACGGAGTCAAGACAAATGGTCTCAAAGCAAGTTATGGTTTGAGTCGGAGAAAGAAAAAACTTTCTTTATTTCGAGAATAGAAAGGTTTCTTGTGTTTTTTTTTGCATTTCTAGTTCGAGCCATCAGAAGCTTCTGAAATGGTGAAGAAAATTTGAGAAACGTGTGCCACATTAAAGGTTCATTTTGGCTCACAAACAGATGGCCAGGATTATAAAAGGACCCAAGATGGGCGACGATTTGCATAAGTCTTGGCCACGGACAAATAAGCAGAAAAACGGAAAAACAATCGGGATTTAATGTATGGTAATGATGGGAGTTTAGGAGGCAGCAAAAAACATAAGATGGTAGATATTTTTTTATTTATTGAATATATACAGAGTGTTACTAATATATTCGGCATAAAATTAGTTTATGATTTATTTGTTCTCTATAAAAAAGTTTAGTATCTGTATATTGAGTCTCAAAAACTCCAATAAAGCATACATTAAGCTTAATCTTATAACTCCATTCAAATGCAAACAACTTCTTTCGTTCCTCTCCCATAACTTGAATGAAATTTAAATTTTTGATTTTGTGTTTTAAGCCAGGGACCTAGAGAGTCCCGTATTATGGCCAACATTATCACAATATTATTATTTCAGTCCGGACCTTTTTTTCGTCAAGCACACATGTTGAAAAATACATTCCGATAAGGCACTTCACAGCAGGAGGAAGGACGAAGGGCAAGGGCCAGACTCGGGCAACACTCGACAACTGGCGACAGTTGGTGGCAGCAGCGGCATTGAGTGGACTGGGGTTGGCCATTCAACAAACTTTGTGGAGCATAAATAATGAATAAGTGAAACAAAAGCAAAAAGAGAACCCTTCAACTGGGCGGGAACCATCGTCATCATCATCCACATCATCAACGGCGACAGCATCCACGATTTGGCATAGAAACAGCAACAAAGGATGCAACAGCAGCAGCAGCCAAAGCAACCTCCACAACAGCAGTTACAACAACAAACAACAGCAAACTAACTCGCAGACAAGTTGCACTTAGAAATGTAACCCCAACTCTAGAGAATACAAGTTGAAGAGTTGCCATCGGTGTGTTTCGACTTTCCGATGCTCTACCTCAACGGGTTTGTATCCTCTACTTTTGATAGTTAAACGTCTTATGATTAGTAAGTTCTATTTTAAGTTTGTACTTAAGTTCCTGTTAACCATATTCTTACTTTATTGTAGGGTATATGCTATTTTATGAGCTCTTATATTTGAGATATAAAACGACTTATACTCTGTAAAATTTATGTTCTATTTAAAGAACCCAATATACCCTTAAAATGGAAAGGTTGCCTGTGCAAATGCATATGGGATGCATCTGCATATTCAGGTATAGGGGAATTGTTGCATTTGTTTGTCCCGCCGCAGCTGACTGAATGCAATTGGACAGGTGGCAGAGTAGCGTCGCCCATCGAAGTGGCAGGTTGACGAGGGTGAGACTGTTTGCTTTGGTAACTGGTACTCGTTGGTATTCAGAGTATGCTATTCGTCCATCCATCCATCCATCCATCCATCCATCCATCCATCGTGTTCCGTGGCAAGTTCGTTAGCTTCTGGTTGCGGAAGCAAGCTTCGTTCGAGGTATTTATTCGCTTGAATTTCTGGGGCAATTGCTTTATTTTATTTTCGTATTTTTCCTACATTTTTTCGGTGGGCATGGTCGGGGACTTTGGCCTGCGTTTTATTTCCAGTTCGCTGTGGTATTTTGTTTTCTCCATTAAACGAATCACTGACTTTGGCCACATACAAAAATAGCAAACGCCACAAAAATAAGAAAAACTAGTGCAAACTTATTGTTGTTGCATGTTTAATTCATGTGCAACTCGGTCGGTTTCTGTTGAATGGTTGCCTTTCGGGCCTGCTGTTGCCACCCAAAAATGTTTTGGAAATCTGGGTTAAGTAAGAGGCAGAGACAGAGGCTTGGCACCGAAAATGGGAGTCATGGGAACCGTAGACATCAACGTAATGATTACTTTTGCATGGATAAAACTAGGTGATGTAAGGAAACTGTCGTAAATATTGAATGTGGGTCAGGTATTAAATCAAATTTATGCAATAAGATATTGAGAACTTTTAATGATCACTTAGAATTTCGATGAGCATTATGTATTTATGTTAAACTGAGTATAATAAGTGCAGGAAAGTACAGAAACTTACTAAGATTACCACTTCTCTCTACATATTAAAAATGAAAACTGAAACTAAAACAACCTTTGACATGTTCACAGACTATTTATTTCCACGTTAAACTAAACCTAACTCTTAGTACAGATGTAAAAAAAAGCTTTACACATAATCCATCGCCCTAGTCCTCCTGAAAATGTGGTTCTCCCATAGACCGATTCTCCAACAGCAGCGGATTGTGACGAGACTTTCCCAGGTTAAGGAGTGCCTGGCAAGCAGGGAGTGGGCATCTGGCTAACATGTTGGAGGAACTTCTGATTGTTCCCTTGCCTTGCCCTAAGAAGCAATGTTTCCCCTGAAAGGAGAAGTAATTTTAAATCCCTAGTAGTCGTTAGAGTTTCGCCCAAACTCACGCAAACTTCGCTCTTGCTTGCAGTTCTGCTTGAGATCCGAGACGTAAACCTCCTCGATCTCTATTTCCAGCTTATTTAGCTGCTGCTCTGTGTATTTCCCCAGACTCTGCGGGTTCATATAGTAGGCTATATGTTTCATCTGAGTGACGCGACGGACACTGTGGGTTCTGGAGAAGGTTTTGGATTGGTATGCGGTAGCGTCGACACCCTAGAGAGCATGGAACTCACCTGGTTTGCGTGAAACTGTAATCAGGCGTGGCTGCTATGTAATGCATGATGACAAAGAGAAAAACCAGAGCAGCCACCACTCCGATAACGAGTTGCTCAGTCTGGAAAAGTGCCTGGCGCTGGGGCATCCGCTGATTAGCCGACTGATAAGGTCGTCGACGAGTGTTTCTCAGATAAGATTGATCTTCTTCATTGATTCCTTCAGGGTTATCCTCGAACACCGATGGCTGCTGGTCACGACAATCTCCCACTGCGGTGGATATATTATACTCGATTCTCTTCTGGCAATCCGTGAGGCAGTCGGCCGCCTCACTAATCCGACGAAAGGCCTGCTCTGCCCCTGGCGACCTGTTCTTATCCGGATGAAGGCGCAGGGCTAACTTGTGGTAGGCCCGTTTCACCTCCGAGTAGGTGGCGTGATGCGAGACGCGCAACACCTCATAGTGGTTACGACACTTAAGCACCTTCTGCACCACGTCCAGCATCTCGAGTGTGAATCCGTGTGGCAGGGCATCAGACTGGCGGGTAGGTCCAATTATCCGCTGGGCCTCGCTTTTCAGACGGAGTCTCACAATGATGGTCTTTAGCTCCAGCAGGGCCATAACCTGCTCGTGGTCCTGTAAGCCTTCCAGGCCCAGGTTGATCCGCAACATCGCCTGATCATAGTCTCCCAGACACAGGTCACTCACCACTTCGTCGACGCAAAGTTTCCTTCGCATTGTGGAGCTGTCTGATTCCTGCTCCGGTTTCCTCTTCCCTCCTTCCCAGCAGCGTGCGTAGACAAAAAGTATTCGTTTTTCTTTGTTCGTTTGTAAACTTTAAATTTTGGTTGGTTTTTGGGACAATACTGATTAAAGCTAACCCAGGGTGTCAGTGTTAACCAGAAGGGGTATAAAACTCAGATGGTTGTATGTAAGTGTGTGCTAGGACAGGCCCAATTTTTGTTTTCCATTGATTTTAACTCTTTTAACCAAATATTTATGAAAAGTTCGGAAAAGTCAACTAGTTTTAAATGACATTTATATCGAAATGAAACGTTATTTTTATTCCATAGCTACTATGATTCTTAGTTAATATTCCCACAAAGATTTATAAAAACAGAAGAAAATTAAAACCAAACTAATATTTAAACTTTATGGTATAGTTTACTGCATTTAAAGCATATTTAAATCAGATAAACTTTAAGATTCCACAAAAGTTGTTCAGTTCAGCAGCCACTCAAAGTTCAAATGCTGTGTCAATGGGGATTCCCCCAAGATGACAGCCCCAAAAAGTATGCTTCACAACTTGTCATGGGGACATATAACCTTCTCAAAGATACTCGAAAGTTAATTGAAATTAATTTCTGTGCCAATTTGAATAGGGCACGAACTCAATTAAAACAGAGCTTGCCACCCCCTCAGTTTCATTTTCTCGTTGCCCTCCTCCATTCCTTCCGTTCATTCTCAAGGCCATTAGGAGGGCCAAAATCTTATTAGCAGTAAAAAGAATAAAGCGAGTGGAAGGCAAGGGCAGGGACAGGGGCAAGCTACTGGAATAGAATTCACAAGTCACCCAGCTAGATGAGGCAAATGAAGCAACGTCGTCAGAATACGCAAAAAGGAGGTGGAAAAGGGCAATAAATTTCTTTCGGGGTAAACTACAATAACAGCCAGCTAATCTGGGTAAGCTTCGTGGAACGAATGAGGAAAACCCAAAATAATAATAATAACAATAAAGAGGCAGCAGCTCCAGAAGCTGCCTGTTCTGGGCACTGATATCGGCCTTATCAGAATCTGAGCTTTGGGGTTGATTGAAGCCACAGCCGCCAGGACGGCAGTCAAATTGTGTCGAAGATGCCGAGCGAAAGCGTCGACAAACTGCAGTCACAAAGGACCAATTAAAGTCCAAAGTGACTAAACCATGGGGAGGACGGAGCAAACATCCCGCAGCTGGGATCTCCAGAGAGAGAAAATACTTACAGGACTTAAAGAATCTTTGTCAATTTGACCTTGACAGATAATTGTTAGTGTCGATTTTTCGTAAAACTTCCAGAGTACAAATATTGGCCTTACTCGAAACAGACTATTTTCTATATTTATAGATTGAACAATTGATATTGAGTAAATAATTGATATAAATACCAAATTATTTTCAAGTATTGCATACTTTTAGCTATAATTATTTCTTTACCAAAGAATCTTTGACTAGATAGACAAAACAAACTCATTTACAGTTTTTAAAACCCATTCCGTTCAAGCTTGTAATACATACTAATAAGGTACCGATTACTTTCAGTGTGGCAAAAGGTCTCGCAACGTTGAGCACAGCTGGTGGGTTACGTGGACAAGTGATGAAGGGAGTGGCATGGGGTTTGGGATGCACCACCGCTCCTGAAAAAGGGGGAAGTTTCTAAGGCCGGGATTGCCGGCACGTTCAAGTGCTGTTCGCTGTCGTTCTGCACAGGTTCCCCTCGGGAAAGGGTATACAAACAGTACAGTCTGTGAGCAGAGTGTTTGTATGTTTGTGTGTTGACTCTATACAGGGACAGTTGAAAACTAAGAAGTTCAGAGGCTTGTTTACATTTAGCTATTCTCATCGGTGAATGACCTAAATATACATCACGTTTGAGCAAATGTATTTAAACATAAAATGGTTTAAATTAAACAATAAACAAATACTTATGGCATTTTGTTAGAACTTAATAGAAGGAGAAAATAAAGTTAGGATAGCCAAATATGTTTCAGTTTGTTTTGCTGATAACTTTTTTAAACAAACATTTTTCATTTTAAAAACTCTTGTTTAAAGAGTGAGAGAACATAAACTTCTCAGAAACACCAGGAGCCAGATTTCATGACTATATTTATTACCTACATTTTTTTACCACTTATGTATGTAGGTTCATCTTTGTATTTTGGATGATGCTTATTAATACTTACGGGAAATATGATTAAAAGTTTTTTATTTTTCTCTCCCTTTTTAAATATGTATTTATATATGTAGTTTCTGTTGTTTTGCTAAATATCCTGATAAGTTGAAAAAGTTAAAAACTTTTAAAATTGAATCACTTTTATGACTACTAACTAATGTTCTTTGATAAAAAAAAGGGGCAACTCACATAACAGTCTAGCCACAACTCTTTATTTAATTTAAATTCTTAAGTAAAATGAAATAAATTTAATTTTAAAAAATCTCAAATTCCGGTTTCAGTGCATGATTTTTGCGTTTTGTTTGTTATATCACCCCCCGGGGGGATAAAACGAATTGTGAGGACTGTGGGGAGAGTGTTGAGACACGCCGGTAAACCTGGCACCTCGCAGGAGGCATATTCTCATTTATTAATGCGTCGTCACTGCTGTTCCCAGTGCCCTTTCCCCGCTGCCGCACAAAAATCCTGCGGTGGAGTGGGTAGCTTGGGTGGGTGGATGGTTTGTGCAGAAACGGTGGTGGCCAATGTCTCAACCACACTTAATTCCCGCCAGAATTGCCGGGGCCATTAAAGGATAAAAAGTGGGATTTCTGATTGGGAAGTGGTGACCCTGCCCCGCTGGCCATGGTGATAAGTGGGTGCAGCCGGCAGCAGCAGGGCATCTGCCTAATCCGATCGGCCCACTGTGCAAGAGAGAAGCGTAAATATTGATTTTTCTCACATGTCTCCGGCAAACACACACATCTCGTCTAGGGAGCCGAACGGCCCCCAACCCCGGAACAACTCCCCCCGACATTTTCGAGCACCTGGCAGCGATTTAGAAGTCTTCGCAGCTCGTAAATGCTGCACTGCATCCATAAAAAGAACGATGCACATGAATGTTGCACACACACAATGACTCGCATGAGTTGCATTTGTTTATAAGACGGAAAAGGAATCCGGAGTCTGTTGTATGTGATATTCGGGTGCTTCATAGAGCGAACAAATGCCGTGATATTTATTACTCACTCGCCATGTTTGCCGCCTTTGTTGATTATTTCGCTGCTGCTTCTTCTTCCGTTCCAGTCACTGTTTTTTTTTTTTTTGTTTGTTCTGCGGTTGCGATTTCAGGCACGATGTATCACTTGTTAACTGGTAAACACTTCTGATGGGCTAATAACTGCTGCTCGCAAGAACTGAACACATTTCACGGCTTTGCCCTTCCTGTCGCGTCTCCGTTTAATTTCCGTAATATCCGTATTTTCCGAGTCGCGTTCACACGTTCACCCGCACCAAAAACTACAATTCTAGTGGTACCATATCGCCAGAGATGGGAGATACAGCGATGGGAAATAATATATCGGTCTTTCTTATCGATGTTAAGCACTCAGAAAAATTTCGAAAATTTCTTAGATTCCAGACCGAAGCTCATGCAGACCCCAAAAAAAATTAAAGTCTTACGAGTATCAAATGAGATTAAGATACGAAACGATGTCTAGCAAAACCTATCTCAGCTTGAAAATTTATATTTGAAACTGGCGATATAATTGTTATTTTTTATTGCACACAATTATTATTAAATTAAGGAGACATTTTTAATGGATATATGTAAATTTGTCAACATATGACATTATTATAAAAGTTCTAAGTTACTGTAAAAAACAATTTATATCTGCAAATTTTCCCTTATTGCGTAACATAACTGTGACCAAAATAAAAGTTGTCTGCAGAGATTTAACTTTAAGAAATATTCGATTTTTCGATATAAGCGGGAATGCTTGACCCAGCCCTGGCTATTTAATCCCAACAATCGATAGGTGGCAACACTGGTCGGCACTTCCCAACAAATTGTTTACCACAAAAAACCGTGCTGATTTTGACAAAAAACCAAGTGCAGCACGCCACCAAGCATTTGCAGTGATTCTAAAGACGCCCGCAAAGAGATTACCAGAGCGGAGTCCACCTGATTCCCCGCACATTTCCAAAAGCTCATCATTCCATTTGGGGAACACCTCAAACAGTCGCAATTCGATTGCCCGGTCGTCCACAAACGCTTATAAAATTGGCAAGATAACTAAACAGAGCACAAAGATGCCGCCAGCATCAGCGGTGAACAACAGCAACGCAGCCGCCCAGGCGGCGAAGGCCGAGAGGGCAGAGAAGCTACGTGGAGCACTGAAGGGCTTCATAGTGGCGGACCGACAAAGGCGTCAGGAAGAGTTTGAGGCCCAGTGCGAGGAGCAACGCTTGCGGCAAGAGCGTGAGGAGGTGGAGCGCCAGAATCAGGTAGCCCTAGACGACACAAGAGGGCAGATCACACGACTGGACGAACAGCTGGCGGACCTGCACAGCCAAAAGCACCAGCTCACCGTCCAGCTGAAAAAGGTGCTCAACGAAGATGAAACACGGAAGAAGCTGGCCAAGGAGAACGAGTTGTTCGCTATCCAGCAGGCGGCCAGTGGGCCGGTCTTTTTGCCGCCCCTGCGTCTCCAGCACCAGCACCACCCGCTGATGCAAAAGGTCTGAGCTCAGTTATTATGTGGGGTCATTACACCCTTGGGGACTTTTTATTCAGTCGTCTGATTCTACGCATAAAACTAGGGTCATGATCACGTATTTATTTTTAGTTTCTGCTTTATCTGCAAAGATAAATGGACTTCGGCGTTCCGAAGTGAATTTCCATTCTTGTATTCTAATGGTTTTTTTCCTTTCCACAGCCCCCTCCCAGCGGACAGCCAGGAAAACGCGGCAGGAGTCCTTCGCCGCCAAGTCAGCAGCAGGCTTACTACAAGACCGCCGCCAGCTACGCCCAGCAGAGTAAGCCAGGACGAGGTCGACTATTTGGCCCATGGGCCTCCAAAACCGTGAAGGCCTCCTAGGGCAGACAATCTTTAACTAAAGCAATGGCTCCGATTAAAGTTGGATTAGTAATTTGACTCTTGTTCATCAGTTGACAATTTAAAATGTTTTACCAGCTGGTGGGACCTCTGCGGTTCCCGCATTTATTTGTTATTTGAGTGATTAATCAGGGCTTGAAAGGTTGGTGATGAATGTTTTATTGTTACTGCCATAAAAAAAACAATGCTATGTAGCTGAAAGCCCTTTATAAACTTCTATATTCGTTTATATTTTTGTATATTTGAAGCCCGAAGGAGACTTAGAATAGAGCGTACTTTTAGTCTGTTTAGTCATGGTTTTTTTGTATTCAAAATAGTTCTCATGCAGTACGCCGAGGCCATTTATATTGGCATTCACAGAATTAACAATTTAATTAGTCAAAGGTATTTTGTAAACTTGCAATATGAAATTCACTACATAAGTAGTTCTATGACCTTAATACAAAAATTGTGTTCGTGCTAAGTTTTTATACATTTTAACATGAAAGCATAAGCAGTAAAAAAGAGTGAAACCTATTTAAAAAGAATAGTGATTCAAGCCCTGATTAGTATCATCATTTAACATTTCGTTTATCACTTTAAGTTATTAAAATCCAACGTTTAATCTGGTATATATAATGTCATGCCATTGCCGATTGATCTGCTTTTCGGAGGCTTCACTGTACTTGATTAACTGCTCGCTAACACCCCGTCCCGCTCATGAGAAACTCATTCAACTGCGCACACTAACCTCTAACAACACAGGCACACAACTTATGTTCATTTCGTTATTTGTTTACGATCGATTCGCAGAACACGATGACTACCGTCGTGCCGCGGACTATGCTAGATTATCATGGAACAGTAAGCACCTCACTCGCAATTCCAAATCCGAGATCCTTCGCCGGAACGATCGCCTCCATGATTCCCCAATGAACCCCCACTTTCCCTCTCTTCCAGAGACCCCGGCACAATACCCAGGCACGGGCACGGTCTTCTACCAGACGGTCGCTCCCCCGCCGACGACTCAGCACCAAGCGGACGCCCGTCTACAGTCCATCTACAACTACAACCTTCCCTTGCGCCAGGCCTACCACGTCGATCTGCCCAGTGCCACAATCAGCAAGCCACCGGACTCGCAGTCACCCAAGGCAGCACCTCAAACACAGCCAATGCAGGTGCTCCACATCAACCTCGATCAGCCGGCCATCTCCCAGGCAGACCTGGTGGCCCAAGCCGGTGGCAGCATTTCGGTCAAGGCCTCCCAGCCGCAAGTAACCATGGAGAAGCTGCCCGACCGTTACCACATCGAGGTGAAGCACGACGGCCAGCCGCCGAGCCACGTCCTACCCCCGCCGCACCTGCTGTCGGAGGGCGTCATCTACAAGCCGCTGCTCAGCGAACTCTCTATGCATACCAATGTGCTGCAGATAAGCAGCAGCCAGGTGGGTCTCATCGGTTAAGTTAGTTATGAGAATAGCAGCTCAATGTATCTTAGTACTCTGTTCCAAACAAATTTCATCGAAAGTCAAACCTATAAGAACTGATTGAAAAACCTAGTAATTTTACACGAAACCCATTTAATCGTTTCAGTTTATTGAATCTTTTAATTGATAAAGTTATTATTTTTTTAAATATACTAAGAAAATCTGATAAACCAGTTAGTCTATGTCTAAGATAATAAGTTTCATCAAAAGTCTTATAATTCTGACTAGAACATAGTAATCTGACTAACATCTGACCAGTTTCCTCCACAGAATCCGAAGGCGGCGGGAAGCATCACGCAGGGCTATGCCCCTGGACGAGGTGGATCGGCCCACGAACAGCAGCTGGCACGGCAACAGTTAACAATGCTGCCTGGACAGCCAGGAGCTCCGTCTGGGCCAGTTTCAGGGTCCGCTCAACCGGCTCCTGGCCAGCAGATGCACTACACGCGGCGATTGTACTAGCCCCTGCCGAGGGTTTAGCCCCGATGTCGCTACGGAACTCACTCACTGATATACTTACGATTTTAAATGGACATTATACTGACTACGCTTCCCACGTGGAGTTCGGTACACGAAATAAAGCACACAACTATGGCGTCCCTATTTTCCAATCGATAATACACTATTGAGATTTGATATGGACTGGCGTTGGCATAATCTGTGGTTGGTTAGTTTGGGTAGTATAATACGAAAACGTGGGGATCGCTTTCAATTCCATTACTCGTCGAATTATATTTCATGGAAAGACGGGTCAAGTACATATATCTGATCCCGAAACAGCCTTATCTATTTTGCAATTTATTTACAACCAACAAGATTATTCATATTTATTTAAAAGCGAAAAACCCTTCTAGGCATGTATTACTTTCTGTGTAGCAATAAGTTTAATTAAAAAATCCCAATACCATTACCCTTCTTAAATGATAAGGTAATATGGTAATATAATCCCTTTCAATCTTATCTAGTAAGAAAAGCTGCAATTTGCTTAGCCCCTCTTAAGAATGAATTTCTTTGGATGAATGCCTGGAACTGTTTAGCTTTCACTAAAGACATTTTGTTTAATCAGCTGCAAAGACGACAGGCAGAATAAAACTTTTCAAATTACAAAAAAATTTTTTTAAATGAATTAATTCAAGTTTGCCTTGAAAACCGAATTAAAATATACCCTTTTAAAGAGTTAATACTCACAAATTTTAAATAATATTTTCTACATTTAAGGAATAGTTTTCCTTGCTCTGTAGATGATAATCCGATCGCCACCATGGGAATCATGGGAAAGGTTTTACCGCAAGCTTTGTGCCTCGCTTATTTACGAAATTGCTCGGCTGTGACGCAGTTGCTCTATCAATCTCGACAATGCCCTCAAGATTTTCCTTGCTGATAATTGCCTTCCCCTTGGGAGACAATCGTACTTATGTAATTCTCTATTTAAGCGTAATTCGACATTTACAGAAACATATTGGCTGCTGAGGAAGCTAACCACAAATGCAAACAAATGATTCATAATTGATTCTGTTCTGCCGATAATTGGGAACACAACACAGGGGAAAATATTTTCTTATGATCTTTAAACTACTCTCAAGCTGTATTTATGGAGTAATAAATAATACAGTAAAGGTGGAAGTTACAAAACCAATCAGTAAATGCATTTATTAACTGCGTGCTTACATATGCCGAAACATCTGAGAATGCTTTAATGCCAAAATGTTGATAGAAAATCTAGCTAAATCATAATTGTTGACTAATATCATTGATATGATAAAAACATCGTGATGTTTTCGGTTTGTTGATATGTGCAGATATGTATAAAGATATTTCTCTTGGTGTGCTGGAAATACATTTAAAATACGGAACAACGTGAGGTTAATTGTACGGAGCACACTAGTTAATTAGGAATGCCAGCGGGTGCGACAGTTGGCGTTCTCAGCTCGAAATCCACGAAAAATAATGCTTTCGAAGCCACGTTTTCATTGGATTACGTAAGCTGTAAACCAGTTTAGCTATGGTTGTTGTTGTTGTTATTGTGGTGAGTGTGTCAAGGAAAAGCTAGAGACAATTACAACGCCCTTCTGTCTGGTAATTTAGAAACGGAAGCCATGCCCGAAGCCATAGTAACAGGGTGGCCACCGAAACCTGCATTACTTCCAGCCAACTACCAAACTGGTTCTGTGTTGGCTAAATCCCAATGCAACTTTCGTGGAAAATCCGCCCACGTCAGACCGAAAACCGCAAAACCCGTTCGAGACTGGAAATCGCATCGAAAGTTTTTGCGGTTCAATAACGTAACAGTCAAGCTTCTGTTGCTGGAAATTTGAGAACATTTTATTAATTACGCTGAACAAATACGTACATAAATATGTAAATATATTTCTTAATTAAATAGGAAAATAATTTAATATGTATTTCAAGTATACTTCTATGGCCAAAACCTCTTTTAAAACTTATAATTAAGTTTTACAAATGTATTATAATGATTAAAAATTTTGTATCTTACTTTGCAATTTTATATCCTTTAAGCTAGAATTAAAAAAAAAAGTAAATGAGAGTTTTAAAATAACTTCGATAAGTTAATAAATACTCCTTGTTTGTCAACTAAAAAATCACGCAATTAAACCAATTTTAAAAATAAAGGTTACCTTAACCTTTACAATTTGAAAATGTAGTATTATATATTAACTTAATTATATATTCCATTAGTACGGCCAAAAGCTTAATTTTTTACTATTTGCATTTCCAATCTCAGATTCAGGTAAAAAACAAATACCAAGCGTAGTTAATTTGCATAAATAAAAAAATAAACAAAGGGTTTAGTGAGTGCGATTGGTAACAGAGAGCGGAAAACAAGTTGTTGCGATTACCGTTGGAGGGAGGGGGATGGCGAAACCAAAACAAAACGTAGCACTTGTTGTGTGCAAGTGTGAGTGCGAAGTAACAGGCAGTTGAGGGTGCCAAACGTATAGGTATGTGTACGTGCATGTGTAGCATGGCTACATCGCAGCTTTTGACCCATCTTGCTGTTCATTTATAGAGGTGGAGAAACATCAATGTTCACGGACATCGATGTTTACGATGTTTTTGGCGAAAACATCGATGAAACATCGATGTTTTAAATAAAAAAAAATGTGCAGTTATTTTAATGTATTTGAACTTTATTTTAATTTGTAATGTTTAAAAATTAAAAGTCAAATTTTCAACAAAAAATATCCAATTTATTAATCACTTATTAAATAAAAACGAAAAGAAAAACAAATTAAAATAAAACTGTTCATGATATTCATGTTCTACTTCTTTGGTATATTGTCATATTCTTAGTTTGTAAATAACAAAAAAAAAAACAAATTTTATATCAATGTTTCAATATATACATACATGATCCAAAGAAAATAATAGTTTTTTTGGATAATGTGATATTCCTACTATACTTACTATTCCGAACTCTACTATATATGTATATTTATACATATACATATACACATACACACATATACACATATACATATGTATCTGTGTATTTATTTACATCTTTGTTTTTGTATAAAAAGAGGAGCTTATCGACAACGGTCGATGATAGCCGCGTGCGACGTTCACTTATAAGTTGTCCAGCTTTACTGAAAACTCTTTCAGATTCGCACGAAGATGCCGGATCGCAGAAGTATTATTAAGCTAACGTTTTATAAGCGTAGCCATTAAATTAAGTTATATATGTACTTACAATTCGCCAATCAATCAATGTGCCTTAGAAAAGAAAAAACATCGATGTTCCTCCGGTAAACATCGATGTTGCCGATGTTTCGAAAACATCGATGTCATCGATGTTCGCATCGATGTTTCTCCACCTCTATTCATTTAGCATTGCCAACTACTCACGAACGGTTCGTTACGCGGAGCGCGCGTAAATTCATTCAGCAAGCAAACAGAAAAAGCGGAATATTCAAGGTGTGTGAGTGTGTGTGGGTTTGTTTTCAAACTGCGTGTGCTTGTGTTAGTGAGAGTCAGACAGAGAGTGAGAGAGTAGGCAGTGTTGGAAAACACGAAAAGTGCGATCTGGCACACTGGTTTTCCTGCTCGCACTTACCGAAAGCAAATGTCAAAGTCTGTTCAGAAAAACAGAATTGCAGCCGAGAAAAGGCAGAATCAGCGACAAAATTAGAAATTATCTCGTTTTTACATATAGATTAGGCCAACGAAACGACATAACGCCTCCGTGTGGTAAAGTGAGATCAGCCAGTGCAGGAGTATAAACCGAAAAATCCTAACCAGCCAACAATTTCCAGTTTTCCAATGGAGTCGGCGAAGGATTTTGCGCGATCGAAGTACCAGGACTTATGTAACTTCCTGGAGCGGGACACTCGCGGGAGCGAACTGGTCATCTACGGCACCTCGGCCCTTTTGCTGGCTGTGGCCTACGTGAAGAGGAAGCCGGCCTACCTGGTGCGCCAGTTTAAGCAGCCCTCGCACATCCCGGAGCGCTTGATCAGCGAGCGTGTGATGCACACTGGCCGAATTGCTGGAGTAAAGCAGCAGGAGCAAGACACCCTGTTGATGATCCAGCACCGACCATTGATTCCTATCTTCACCAGCAGAAGCCGTCTTCTGCCCGTGAAGCTGCCGGGTGTTCGTGTGAATGCCAACGGCTACTCCTGGCTGCAGCAGTGCCTCATTGGCCGCGAGGCCACCTTCCTGCCCCTGAAACAGGCCAAGGGCCAGGACTTTGTCGTCTGCCAGCTGTGTCTTGTCCATCCACCTAAGGGCAACCGTCTACTGGACGTCTCGGAGACCCTGCTTAAGCTCCGCTTCGCCAAATTTGCCCAGGACGCCGCCTCCGCGGTGAAAAAGAATGGGAAATACTACCAGCATTTGAAGAAGGTGGAGCAAACCACCGCCGAAAAGGAGGCCTGGCTGACCTGGGCATCCGGCTATCCCTATATCTGGCGCCGCTACAACGAACTGAAGCAGCGTCTGCTGCCCAAGGAGAAGCTCCTCCCGGAGTTGGTGCGCTGATGCTGATCTCCAACCTCTGCCTTACACTTAGTTAGAGGGCTAGCTCCCTACCATTAACTTAGTTCTACGGCTAGCTTATCATAACCTTATGTGCTCTTTTCACTGGCTTGTACATTGTGGTAGCCCAACGGCTACTGAAATTGAGAGACAGCTGTAGCCAAGCCCTCGAGCACAAACACACAACGCAGTGTAAATAGTACATTAGTTATAGGATTAGCTAGCGACTTACCAAACGAAACAAACGATAATCGATGCCCAGGCGGTACGTGATCGTGTGCTAATTTCCACACCCAGTAAAGCCGCAGCGCTAGCATTTTATTTTTTCAAATGTTCAAACAAACAAAATTTTGTTTTTACCATCGGTGACATCAGTGCGTGTGCCTGTGTGTGTACGTGTGCGTGCATGTTCCCAAATAAATCGAGAAAATACTTAAATTTGTACGTTTATATCTGAATATCTTAATTCCATTCTTTCTTCGCCGATCTTTCTCCGACGATCAGTTGCAATTCTTCCTCCACCTTCACCAGCAATCTCCCACAAATCTCGACCAAAATGAGCTGCGGAATCTCCATGGTTAAATATATCCTATTTATATTCAATTTGCTCTGTTCGGTGAGTAATACACATCTAGATTATATCATTTTCCAGCGTCATTAGCCAAGCTCAGTTCACTTTTCTCAGTGCTTTAGGCTCGCAATGAAATCATAACATTGGTACGGTTTAAACTGGTTTTCCTTTAAATTCGGTTTTTTGAGTATTTTCTGAGAGTCGCGGCCTACAAACTGGCTGAAGAGTTCGTTTCAAAATTGTAAAAGGGGCTCGTTTATTAAGTTCGTTACGTTAAATATCTAATAATTCTAATACAATCTTAAATGATTTGTGAAAGATTATTAAAAGCGGAATATGTCAGACTGGAAAAAAGAAAAGCTTTCTTCTTTAGGCAAATATGGTCAGTCGTTAGAAAACTACGCATTTATCATTTATGTAATGAGGTAGACCTTAAAAATTAGTTGGTAAATTATAATTTTCATATATTTTTCCATTACCACTTTGGTTATTATTGTTTTTCGGTTACGAAACGCACTGTACATCACAGAGCCTGAGATCATCAGTATGCCAAACCTGTTATTAAAATTGGGCTACCTTTGTGACGTAGCGGTTCCCAAATAATTCTGTATAAATATGTGTATACTAAGCGTTTTGTTTATTTTGGCGTCTGAAAACGAGTTTGGATTGGTTTGGTCCAACAGAGCTCCCCACATCCAAACCACAGAAACATGCATCCCATTTGTTGGCATCCACTCGAGGTTAACTGGTTCCAAACAGCAACCAAACAGTCGTTGAAACGCCAGGCGTCAGTGGCATTTCGATTTGGTTTTGCAACTTCTAACTAACTGCCCCAAAGTCGCTGCACCACCACCGAGTGGAACTGTACTTCGGCCAACCAGTTTGGGGCCCTGATTTGCAGGTGTGACCGGACAGTGCCAGAGGCCCAGCATTATGAGTATTCCCGTCACGCCAACATGGATGTCATTCTCTACAGGGAGAAAAATCTAATACATTTTTGTAGGACAGTAAATTGCAGTAGGAAACAAATACTATAGTTTTGAATATAGTTGCTTATATTAACTCTGATAGCCCAGTGGTTTAATAGTAAAACTAAGAGAGTTACAAGAATATATTGTCTCTCGGATAAAAGCCACTCCCACTCCGTCTGGCCCAAAGCTCAATGAAAAGTTGAGTAATTTCAACGGAGAGGAGGGGGCTCACCCAAAAATAGTTGACTTAATTAAATATGAACTTGATCCCATTGAGAGTCGAGCCAAAACTCGGAAACAAAAACATCATCCACACACGCACGTTGGCAGCACACTTGAACTCAATTTTCCATGGATGGGTGGGGAGGCTGTCGTAGAGATCTAGAAAAGCCAGACGGGTGGGTGGATTGAATATTAATATAATTAGACTTGTGGCGCAATTTTGCTCTCTTCTGATCTGAACTGATCCAATGAACTGCTGAACTCAGTGTCTTAGTCATGCTGCAATTTCATGAGTTCTTGTTAATTATAGTTTAATTTCACGGATCTAATCTGATAAGTAGCGGTTGACGTAGGACGATAAAAAATCAAAGCCAAAGTAAATTTGTTCTGGATAGTTATCGTATATTGCCTGGTGCTGTGATGTGTAATCTCAATTAACCAAAACATTCGGATTGATAAGAGATAAGCCTTTGATAGGCATGCAAATTGGCCTACCTGTAACTCTGATAGTAATAATCACAAGATAAATTAGAAGTATCAGGAAGGTAATTGCACTTTTTACAGGTGATATTTTGTTCTAATCCAAGGTCAGGGAACGTGTTTCCATGGGATACTTTAGATTTTCTCGCAGTGCATTTTGTTCTAATAAAAGTCGTGAGCTTTTTATCGCTTGAAAGCTTTTTAGAGACAATAAAAAGCTTAGGGATATCCCAATAAACATTTTTTAAGAGTTCTGTGGTTATTACCTAACTTAATTTACTAAAGTTTAACGTTTTAGTTCGTATAACCTTCCTAATGTAGTTTTTATAAGTGGCTAAATGGCGCTTTACTTTAATATACATTTTAAACTGACATTTTTCCGTTTCCAAGATATGCGGCATCCTACTGATCGTTTTTGGAGCTCTGCTCTTCAGCAAAGTTCACAACTTCGATGACTTCGCGGAGGCTCTACGTACCCAGCAGGTGCCGGTGACAATGATAGTCCTGGGCACCATTATCCTGCTGATCTCCTGGTTTGGATGCTGCGGAGCCATTCGCGAGTCCTACTGCATGTCCATGACGGTGGAGTACTTTGATCGTATATTGTTATTCCATACTTATATTGTCCTATTTATTACAGTATTCTATTCTACTGTTTGTTCTAATGATTGGTCAACTGGCCCTGGTCATCTACATGTGGGTGCAGAAGGATAAGTATCTGCAAATCATGGGCGAAGCAGTGGAGAAGGCCTGGGACAATCGTACACGTCGCTCCGACTACATGGATGCCCTTCAGATCAGCGTAAGTTTTCCTTATATCAGGGTTATTTAATCTTTAACTTACTTTATGACCTCTCAGATGAAATGTTGTGGACGCAATGGCTTCTCCGACTACTCCTTCCAAGGCAAGTTCCCTCCGTCTTGCTGCAGCGACACCAATAACTGCCGCATGGAAACCGTCTATCAGAGAGGATGCAAAGCCACCTTCATCGATTTCTGGGACAGGAATAGCGACATCATTAAATATGCTGGCCTGGTTATTGCAGGAATCGAAGTAAGTAACTAAATCCATATATTAATTTATATATATAATGCATAATACTTATTGAAACATTCATTTTCTTCCAGTTTGTTGGCTTTGTGTTTGCCTGTTGCCTGGCGAACAGCATTCGGAACTATCGCCGCCGCGCGGAGTATTAATCGCTGAGAAGAGAGCCTTTTACTAATTTTAAATGGAACCGAAAGTACGAATTATGTTGCCCAATTTTACGAATATATATCACCTGACACAGATGGCCATTGAAATTTACATAATCTCAAGTTATAGCAGAGAATCCCACGATGAATTCGAAATGATCCCTTTTTGTAAGATCGTTGATTGAGAGTTTTAATGATTGTGCTAATATTTTTAACTGTACAAAATAATTTATACTCCTAGAGATTGCAATAAACTGAAAAAATTTATTATAAATTTTAAAGATTTCTTGTTACTTTTTAAATAAAGGTTTAAAAATTACAAATTTTACCTTATTTTAAAGCACTTTCTATGTTTGGTTGGGTTAAAGAATTTTAACTTTAATTTCTTAGCGGTAGTAAAAGCCGGTAAACATTTTATTAGATTGCTGAACTTATCAATCATTGCTTCTATTGACATATTTCCATAGAACTAATCTATCACAAGATTATATTTAGTTAGCTTTGCTGGGCTTACATGAAATCTTATCTATCATGATAAGGGCATTTTAATTGTAAAGGAAATTTGGACATTTAGCCATTTCAAAGGGAAATTTGTCTTACCTGAAAACCCCAATAACTATCAAGAATCTAAATCTGGTTTAAAAGTTCCTCTTGGAGTGCACTCGGAAAAAGTTTATTACTGGATTGATAGTGTATAAATTTAGGCGATAAGATCGGGGACTCACGATTCCCCAGCAACGTAGGTAGTGAGTCAGCGTACAAACCAACGTTTCCCTCTTGATAAGAAAAAGGTGTGAAATTCAGGAGTAGCCAACGGATAGTCAAATGATTCATCTAACTAGATGTCCAACGCCCCCAAGATTGAATTAAATAAAAAATAGATCATAGAATAATAGACCGCCCCTCGAATGCTTGGATCAACACAAGTGACTCATGGAATCTGCTAGGCAAGTAACTTCCTGGGTTCGGACAACCTCGATGGCCTAGTATCTACGTGGGTGCAAAGTGATCCCATGAATGATTTTGTCAAGTACATAGGGAAGAGAGCTTCCAGTGCAAGTACATAGGGTACTTTATGGCCCCGATAAGAACGTACCCGGCCAGATAAGATGAGGACTGGGAATGTGCTTTAATAGCCGAGTTCTGCCAGAAAGCCAATTCAGTTTGACGAAAATCGTCGCTTCGAACGAACGGATTATCCAGCGAACACCCAACGAGAAACCCAAAACTCCAGCACCATGAATTGTCTATCCGCGATGTTCAAGTACCTGCTGTACTTGCTTAACTTGGTCTTTGTTGCCGGTGGCATCCTGCTGATCGTGGTGGGCTCCATCATGCTTTCTACGATGGGTAATTTCACCGCCTTCGAGGGAGCAGTTAACACCCAAACCATCCCGATCTGCATCATCGTCATAGGCTGTGTAACCTTCGTGGTGGCCTTCTTTGGATGCTGCGGTACCATTCGGGAGAACGCCTGCTGCACCACCATTGTAAGTTCTTGGACTGACTTTGACATTGACTTGATCCGTAAGACTGACTATATTATCAATCTTTTTTCAGTACGCCATCTGCATGCTGATTCTCTTTGGCCTGCAACTGGCCTTGTCCATTTGGATCTTCGCGGCAAACGACAAGTTCCTGACCAGCATGGGCAAGGTGGTGGACAAGGCATTCGATGAGAACGATGCTGCCCAGGGCTATCCTATGGATGCCCTCCAACTTGCCGTAAGTTCAAAGAAATTAAGCTTTAGTCTACAAGGTCTGTAATAACACTTTACCCCTTATTTTTACAGTTCAAGTGCTGCGGCAACACGGGATACCAGCAGTACACCACTGTCCCAGCCTCGTGCTGCGGATACACGGATCGCAGTAGGACATGTGAGGCCGAGATCTACACCCTGCGTCCTGCTTGCCAGACTGAGTTTGTCGACTTCTGGGCTTCCAACACGGACCTCATCCGATGGAGCAGTCTGATCATAGCCCTCTTCGAGCTGGGCATCTTCATCATGTCGTGCTGCCTGGCCAGCGCGATGAGGAAGCGCTAGAATTGTAGTCTGACATAGCGTACTTAGCGTACCATAGATCCCAAAGAAAAAACAAGTTCATCACTCACCGTAAATAAAACGAAATAGGTTAAGCCCAATAAAATATTATTGCTTATTCGCTGTCTATCTTTGGCCACTGTCTGGGTATCTTATCAAGACAAGTTGATGTTTTCCAAAAACTATGTCCTTATCAGCCAGTAAGCCCATGGCCACGTTTGTGAGATCAATTGCCCTCAGAAATGAATCACTTCCATATGCCGAATGTTATCGATTTACCCACCATTCAGGCCCCATTATCTATTCTTCCTTTGGGCCATGATTACGATATCTGGTAGCGGCGTATCTTTTCGATATCGCATAAGTCAGCCTGTTGGGCAATTTAAAAACGGTAGCCCATCTGGGAGTCCAGTCCAATCGAACGACAGTAAACGACGCGAGTACGCGATAAAATCAAACCAAATCACGACTCCTCTTGGATACCAATATTGGACTATTATTATTCTACTGATTAAAAAGGAGTTTAAAGAGTTTTAAAATGGGTTGCCTATCGGGAATAGTCAACTTTATTTTGTACATTGTTAACATTGTGTTTTTGGTAAGATAATTAATATCTTAATAATTGAAAGACCAACATCTTTGGATATAAAATAGATTATTTTGTGTGCTTGGTAAATATTAAATATAAAGAGCTTAGTAATATCCCTGAAACAAAAATTGTACTTTTAAATCGGTGATGATTGAAACTGTTTTCAAATCTTATTATGAATTAATTTAAAAAAACTTAAGACTTGGTTCTGTAACCAACTGTTGTTCCTTATAGAAAAATCAAGTTCAAAAAATACTATTTAAAATGTAAAATACTTGCATACTTGGCGATAGTCCAGAGTTTAGGTGATCAATAGAATGAGTTCTAAAGTTAAGCAGAGATTACTAAAATATTCAAAGTGGGAATTCCGAAACCCGGATAGTCAAAAATTACGCATCAATTGCGGTTTGTTTTGTCACAAGGTTTATCACTGTTATTCATAGGAATGTGTTGGCAAAGTTAAAAATATCTATCCAGAACTGTAATGCCAATGGACATTCACGAAGTTTATCAGCTAATTGACATTATCTTTGTTTTGTAACATAAATAATGGGCAACATATTAAGACAAATGGGTGAACACACGCGAATACATATCAAGAGCTAGACAAATTTTGTATTTCGAGAAAATTCAGAATATGAAATGTAAAAGCGCGTGAAAAATCAAATTAACAGCTATGAAAGTTGTATCTATTAGTTTAGATTCTCGTAAATCATAACTTTAAGAAATCACATTTTTAAGCTAATCATCTAGATCTATTATGATTACTTTATGTTTGGTATTAAATTTTCATAATATTCGATTTTTGGGTTTGCCTATATGCCCAACTTGACTTGACTAAACTCCCCTTTAACGAGGGAAGATAATGTGTCTAAAATTTGTTTATTTAATGTTATCGCCGTCAATTAGGTTTCTTATTAATTTCAAACATTTATTAATATATATTTAAAAAGCATCAGATAATTTAAGTCTTCGGTCTTAGTCAAATATTTAAAAAAGAAAAAAATCCCATATCTAGCATATATTTTTGTGGAAAATATCAGTAAATTATTTTGTAAAAAAAATGAACAAAAACTTGTTGTGAGTCATTTTTTTTATCGGACACGAAAATCAATCAGCGCTTCTTTCAATTTTGTGAACTATAAAAATGATCACATAATTCTGTGATAAATGATATCACCAAAGATATGCCAGTTACACTTTTTATATATATTTTATAATTAGTTTTTGTATTATAATTATTATTTTTATTATTATTTAATAAATTTGATCTTTTTTCCACAGATCGTTGGCATCCTTCTGATCGTGCTGGGCTCGATTATGTTATCCGATCTAAGTCACTTCGATGCTTCCGAGGGAACGAACACCAATACCATTCCCATCTGCATCACCGTTCTGGGTGGTTTGATCTTCGTGGTGTCCTTCTTCGGATGCTATGGCATTTTCAGGCAGAGTGCCTGCATGACAGGAGCGGTAAGTACTACCAAAAATAATTAACTATAGGAACTCCAAGCTAATAATGTATCTTAAACAGTACACCAGCATGGTCTTTATCCTCTTCATCCTACAACTGGTGCTCACCTGTTGGGTCTTCGTGAACCGATCCGCATTCCTGGGGGACATGTCTAATCTGGTTAACCTGCTCTGGAACTCACAGGACTACAATGCAATGGGCGTACTGGAGGAAACCTTCGGGTGCTGTGGCGATACCAGCTACATGAACTACAATAACAGTGGACTTCAGGTGCCCGGAACCTGCTGTGGGTACTTGGATCGCCAGACCGCATGTCCCACCCAATCGGTCTACGAATCAAGGCCCGGCTGTAATGCCAAGTTCGAGGAGTTCTGGAACGACAACATGGACATCATTCGCTGGTCCGGTCTGGGCCTCTGCATTTTCGACCTCATCGTCTTCTTGATCGCCGGCGCCCTGACCAACTGTATGCGCAACCAGAGTGCCGGCCGACAGGGGTATGCCTAGAGTTCGAGGGATTTCGAGCTTATTAAATTATTTCCTTTAACTTATAATAAACACATTAACGATCCTTAGCCATGCTTCAGTAAACTTATGTTACTTATATATATATTTGTTCGTTATAAAGGTTTCAGTGATTCCAACTGATGACGTATTAAAGGGTGAATTTCCATTTCTCTGCATTGACAGTCCATCAGTAAATTAGAAGAACCAACCTTGTCTTCCATGATCAGACGGATTTCAAGGGAACTTCACGCCCTGGGCCTACTTTAGGTGTTATTTATTCATTTTGTTATTGTTCCGATTTACGATTGTACCTTATATCTATCATTAAAAATACGTTATATATGTAACAATAAATATATTTTATATATTAAAAAAACATAACACACTCTCCCAGCTTGTGGGCGCTAGAGTGGATGTGGCCGATTCCAGAAGTAAAATTGTGCTGTGCAAGCTTCTCTAGAATTTACTTACTTAATCCCAACATTCTAGTTTTTATAGTTGCTAAGATCTCAGATTACATCCGTATGAAGGGACAAAAAGATATTCGTATCGGTGGAGAAGCCGGCATGTCTAGATGTACTGCGAAGAACGCAAATTCGAAAATGTACCATTGCCACTGGGTTACCTATCATCGGCATCGCCCATTAGTATGCCATGCAATTTTTAACTACTCCTGCACACCAAAGGCTGGTCATAACTAAACGTAAACTACTACTATTATTTTTAAATGCAGTTAAATATCTCTAGATCCGGTTTAAATTTAAGTCGCTTTAGTTTAATTGCTTGTTTTTAAGTTTTTAACAAACATATTAGTTTTGTCTACATGCTTAGATTTTTATAACCTGTAAAATACGATTGGATCCCATATTCCCGTAACTTGTCAAATTGACTTTAAGTTATATTTCTCAATTAAACTACAGAAGTAACAATTAGAATTAGCGGTAAGTGAATTTTATATTCATATTTTAATTTAATAACACATTTTTGAAATTAAAGAAATTTTAAATAGTTTCGACAATCATCAGGATGAAATTCCTTGTTCATACCGCAGCTTTTTCATTTTATAGTAATTTCTTTCCAAATAAGTTATTCAGAACATCTCTTTAGCTTACTTAATAATTTCATATAAATTTGTATAATACCGAACTACGACCTAATTTTAGCTTTTAGCTGGGAACATATGAAAAACTCCAATTTTGAATGCTTATATAATATATACGACAATACTACGAACCAGAATATTTATGAATGGAATTCTGCGATAGCAAACAATCTGATAAACTTCTAAAAACTTAATTGAATGTCTAATAAGAATAACTGGAATGTTCAGAACCTTAATCTTTGAACACAGTCAAGTAAATTTCCATAAATTTCAGTAATGTTGATAAGAATAAATAAAATTACTTGAACAAATCCAAAAAAAGAAAGAATGAAACGATTTCAAAATAAATATGTCAGCAAAACCTCAAGCAAGTTAAAGAACTTACGGTGATTTCTCTGCCCATGTGAGGGTTGATATTTTAAACTTTTGATAAACCAAAAAATCAAAAAACTTATAAGCGGAAATAATTCACTAAAATTTTAAAAGGTTCGAATATTTAACAAATCACTCCAAAAAAAACTTCAAACTTAAATTAATAAGAAGTGTATTGATTAATTTTTAATATTAAATAAGTTTATTTTTAATAAAAAAAATAAATATATATTTTAGAGGAATGCTTTGACTGGAATAAATAAATATGCTGAAAGGAAAAGACTGTGTTTAATGTAAAGTAATGTGTAAGTAAAATGTAAAATTTAACCAACATTATTTACATTAGGCCATATAACCAAAAATTCTTGATAACTTTTAAAATAACGGTCTGATTTGAAAATTGTTTGATATTAATACATTCCAGCTTTTACAGTTCCTAAGATCTTAGCACATAAAGGGAAGACGGAGAAAAGGCGACTTAGAAATGGCTAGATCGACTCGGCTAGTTATCCTGATTAATTCCTTTTTCACATTATTTTTTCGGCTATCAACTTTTCAAGAAATTATGTTAAGTGAATTTAAATGCTGATGTGTCTTTCTGTCACCGACAACTTGACTTAAATTTAGTGTGACTGAGTCTAAGTTGATTAACTCCACACTCCTTCATTATAAGCACGAATAAGAAGACGTTTATTCGGAAAATAATTGTTCCCACTAAAAACCTTAAGGAACCTATATTGGCATTTAAGTAAGTTTTTAAAAATTTATTCATATGTCTACTTTATGTTTTTAGGTAGGTCAGGAGATAACATTATTACTATGTGTAATATTAAAAGATGCCTCAGCATTAGTAGTTCTGGCGTCTCTGGGAGTTACGAGTCTGGTTGGCCAAGCAGCAAGCGAAGATGAAGGCCACAAGCTAAGGAAAATTTTACCAATTAGTAAGGGAATTTGGAAGGATTCTCGTTTAAGTTACCTCCACAGCAGTCACTCCCAGACCGGCGTACTTGATGATATTCACGTTGGTGTCCCAGAACGAATCAACGGCCTTAAGGCAACTGGACCGAGTCATGACTTGGGTTATTCCGCAGGTTCCGTTTGAGGGAGAGTCGCAGCAGGAAGCGGGATATGTGACACCGTAATCAGCGAAGCCATTCAAGCCGCAGCACTTGAACTGTAATCAGAGAAATATTCAAAGTTATCAAAGTTGTTATCTAAAACAATCAAAGCAACATCTACCAAAAACTAGAAATCTCTTTTAGAACATTTTTCAAAGATATTTAACAAGGAAAAATACAGATAATGAAACCGTGGTTATGCAATGTCAAAGATAAATATTAAAGAAGTAAAAGTAAATAGGTAACATTTAGCTCATTAGAGCTTGCTTATTTATATAAGTAAATACTCACCGAACGTTGCAGAGTGTCCATGAGTAGAGCATCGGTTTTGCGCTGATCCCAAATGGTTTGAACGATCTTCTCCAGGGACTGCTGTATCTGGACGTGGTCCACCCAGACGTAGATGATGAGGGCCAGTTGACTGATCAGCAGCACCAGCATGACAACAGAATACTAAAAAAAATCAAAGAAATTAAAATCAACTTCAAGGTTTTCGATCCAAAGAACTCACCGAGGTCAGGGCACAGGAATTCTCGCGAATGGCACCGCAGCAGCCCATGAAGGCCACCAAGAAGATAATGCAGCCGAGGGCCAAGATGATGATGGCCACGCTGTTGGCTGTGAAGGTTTCGCCGACACCCGAGAAATCCTTTATGGTGGACACCATAATGGAGCCGAAGGTGATAAGCAAAATTCCGCATATCTGTAATGGAAAGCCGCAAATTATGTTAGTCAAAAGTTGCGATAACAGCCATTTTGGTGGTGATTCAAGCAAACTGACTAATGGTTACCACCAAGCAAGTTGTTTTCAAGAAAACGGGGATCGTCTTTCTGATTCAGATATATTGGAAATGTGCAAAATGGATGTTGAGTAATAGATACTACAAGTACATTTTAGTGTTAGTTTGATGCGATAACAAAGCTTTTAATTTGTGAGTTGTTTTTCCGACGCACCGCTTAGAAGCTCTGGAATATGTCAAACAATTTCATCATAGATACTATATAGTCGCTAGATCAATGGGGGTGAGATGTCTCTAGGGTCTCTATATTGTACGATCGTATTACTCATGCTGTTATCTTTCCCGAGTACAATAAGTTTTCCGACAACTGTTTCAGCTCATTAGCCGTAATTACGTTTGCCATCGGCATGCAATGATTTATTTAGGGAATGCTACGTTTTTTTCTATTTTTTTACCCGTTTTTCCCTGAATTTTTCGATAAGATAACTTTTAAAAGCAGTATCCAGGGCGCTTTGGTCGGAAATCTTGAGCCTCGAGAGTTTGTTTGTCATTATTTTGCAGATAAGATACCGCTGAGGCGAGTGGATATTATTTTCAAACCGCTCCCATGTTGAATAATCGAGATATTTGTGTCTCTTGGGCAACTATCCTTACCACAAACAATATGTTGAATATAAAGAGCACATATTTCACAAATACTCCGCCGCAATCCATTGCAAAATTATATTTTATTTAACTCGGTTTCGAAAGAAAACTTAAATTATTCGATGCGTTTCGTTTCGTTCTCAGGCAGTAACTGAAAAAGTTCGATACGTATCAACTCTTTATGAGTAGGTTTCTTATATTCAAAAGCTTTGCTGAACTTCAACAATTCTATATACTCGTATGTAGATAAGGAAAAGCGTTGATTGATATTGGCAAACTGAAACCTAAAAGTATGTGGCATTTTCAGAATATTAACTGCTGGCATGGCATTCAGGTGCAAATATACATATAATAGTTATATTAAGTTATGACTTCTAAGCCTCATATTTTTGGCATTTCGAATAATTCATTATGATAAACAACCTTTTATAATAACACAATTCATTATTTTTTACTATTAAAAATATATTACGTATCCAAAACACCAAAGCCAACAAAATACAAATAACTTCAGGTAAGAATTTTTGAAGCACACAAAAAATTAGAGTGGATATGCACATTTACATATTCTAAAAGACTTTTAGTAGAAGGTAAAAATTCAAATTTTCAAGCCCAACAACTTTTGACTGGACTAAAATAAGAATGATTGAACAGGATAATTCGTATATCAATATCATTAGTTTGAGATGTTGATTGATTAAATAAAACAATTATCAATCCCCAAAGTGGCTAATTTATTTCCTTTTACTTACTAAAGGGAAACAGCATTCTCAACAAAAAGTAAACCATAAAAATGCAAACAAATGTGATTTGATTAAGTCATGATCATTTACGACCATAGTGCTGAAAGTATTACGATTCCTTCAAAATCGATTTTCTAGATATGGCACCTTTCTATTCTACAAAAATAGATGATTATATACAAGATGATTATACAAAGTTACGAACACCAACCCTATATGTAAAATAATAAAAGATGTGGTTAAGTCAGAGCAATGCATCCTAACATTCGTTAAGTTTAGACTGGTTTGAGACAGTGATAAATGTCAAAGATCTGTTAAATGACGAAATTCCACGGCTTCCGTCTTCTACAAAAAAAACTCCCACTAATATAATCAATGTTGGATCAAGCCACGAATTTTATGTACATTTTAATCCTTTGACGGTTCTGAGGAAACTTATCTCCAAAACTGACGTGATTTCGTTGGGCTACATGGGTTTAAGTCAGTGGTAACTTTTCAAAGGCATAGCAAAGTTAATGTTCTGGGTTATTGTATCCGCTGACAATTTAAGGCATATATAGGAAATTATTTTCACAGTATGGGCTTCCGATGGCATATAAGAGTGGCACTGCAACGGTCACACTGATTTAAAAAAAGTTGTTTGACTTGAACGGAGGCGCATTTCGTCGGAATTTAATTTGGAAATAAACTTAAAGGCGAAGGTAATGATGCGTGTCCAGACGGGATAAATTATATACTGTGTGATTCCCGGAACTGCAATTGATTGCAAGCTAAAGAAAAAAAAAAAACGGAAATTAGTGATTTTTGTGCCTTCGCTCCTTGCGGTAGGACAAAAACAAAAGCAGATGCTGTTGGCCAGAAAAGTGGTTGAAGAAGGAGAAGGAGGAGACATGAAAACAAAAGACTGCGTAGTACGAGAAAATAAGTGTGGAGAGCAAACGAAAATAGGGAAGCTGCTGCTTCTTTTTTCTCCTTGACAGAGAGCAGTGAACTTTTCACAATTTCCACACTTGAATCTCCGTTGTTATTGTTGTGGGAAAGTGAAGAGATTACATTCTGTCTGCGCCTTTTGTGGTGTTGCCTTTGTTGCCGGGCAACGCATTCGGAAGGACGCTTAAAGAAAGCGTTTGATAATGAATAATGCCCTATCGCCACTGGCCGCTTTTAATAGCATCTTGAAAAGCACACACATATGCTCATACATACATATATGTATGTATATACTTCCCGGTATTTATTTGTGAAAATTGAGCATTTAACTGGGCAATTACTTAATTTGCACACCCGTTTTAATACGCTTTATTCACTTGCGATCTTTTCAGATAGTACAGTAAAAACCCATCAACATGGACTGCGGCACATCAATGGTGAAATACATCCTCTTCATATTCAACACCCTTGTGTCGGTGAGTAAATGCATAATGTCTATATATCTGGTTTATAACCACCCAAATCGAAATCGAAACCGATACAAAACCGGTACAAAAGAGTTGCGTGAAAGCCAAAATGGGACACTGCGTTACGAAAGTGTTGTCTGTTGTCGAAATGAGAGTCTATAAATCGAGTTGAAAATAATGGCATATGCAACTCGCATACATATTAAGTTTGTGGGATCGTATAATACAGATGTCGGTGCATATGAGTATGTAATAATGATAAAGCCCCTGAGAACACAGAAATCGAGAACTCGTGCTTTTCTGTTGTTTGCTTCTGTTTTGCTTCGGACTTGTTATTGAACTTTGGTGATGTCATCACCGCCTGTCTGTTCAGTTCAGCTTCCATTTCTGCAACTGGATTTTTCGCTTTCGCGGCAAATTCACTCGGTTCCGAGAAGTTTTCACACTTGGTTTAATTGCTGACTCAGTTGTCAAGAACTTAAAAGTGCTTAGTCTGTTTTATAGGCCAACATATCCTTTGGAATTTGTAGTACATACAAAATATAAATACTTCATACTTATAAAAAGACCTTCAGAGACATACATAGCTCTTGCCGGGCTGATTAATAATAATCTATAAACAGAAGAGATTAATAATTAATAAGTAATTAAAGAGTCCAGCATAAAAAGTGATAATGCGATTTCTGTCTGAACACAAACATAAAGATTAGGCATAACATATTTCATATTTTTTGTTTGCTCTTTTTCTTAAGATAATGATTCTATTTTAGTAACCGGTTTCTTTATTAAATGTGTTTCTCATGTGAACTTTTCTGTTTGGGAAAAGGTGATCATTTAAATTTCAGGTTTTTTGTTTGTAATTTCAAGATGCTATAAACATTTTTGAATTGCGATATTTCAGACTCAGCTTATTTTGAAGTAGAATCTTTTGTTGTCGATGATCAACTCACCTCACACGTAGGCAACGATAGCCTTGCGTTGCCGAAACCCTATAAAATGTGCCTAAAATATTAATTAAAACAAGTAATGTTTAACTCATCGTAAAATTTTGAATACTTAGCATTCGTTACGGCGCCTGAAAATAAGCGCAACGTGAGTCACAAAGTCAAGACAACAAAACGAAGAGCGAATCCGCATTATAAAAATAAAAAATGATACACCTACGGCCAAGGTGCTATCAACAAAGTCAACAATGCTGTGAAATTCCCAAAGAGAAATGCAATTAAATTTTATTTTTAATTTCACTTTAAGAGATCTTACATAACAAATAAGAAATATGGTAGGGTCTTTCGTTCTCCTAGAACTAACAATTAATTAGTATTTGAATTAATTTCTGTTAATTATGGCCTTTTCTGGGGGTCTTTTGATTTAACCGCGACTGTGGCCCAAACATACCTGCACATGGGTAGGTAAATGAGCAGAAGGGTCCGAAAAGAAGCCCCGAAATAAAAACTTGTTGCTCTAGAGAAGAGCCATAAAACAAAACCAACTATAAACAACTGGTTGCCGCAGCAGAAGTCTGTCTGTAGTATATATATATATATACTGTGTTGATAATTATCTGCTTCGCTCGGTATATAGGAGAGTACATAACACACTTGACAGACAAGCCAAATAAATTAACAAGCCGCCTTCAGAGCTCGCCGAGCACCACTACAGCTACATACAAAACTAAATGTAAAAAAGTAAAAAAGCTGCCGCAACGCTCGAAAAAACAGCGGCAACAAGAACAATAGCAGAACAGCATTTCGCAATTCGACAAAAAAAGGGGGAAAACTGCTTGAATACAGTCAGAATGAAACACTAGATGAAAACAAAAAACAAAACCTGTTAATACACAGCAAAAATCGTTGAAAAACAAGTAACAAAAGTTGACTGATATTTTTCTCAGTGATTCAGTTACAAGCGAGTTAGAACATTTCGCACGAACTTCGCATGCCGAGTGACAAACCTGTATTACTATAATAAGCGCAACAAGTCACAGTCACAGGTGCTTTTTGTTGGCCATAAAGGGCGTGCAGTGCCGCCCATGAATGTAAGGCCATCGGGTATTGAATGACCTGCATTCAGCTTGTCGATAGCCGTTTCCTGTGCCATGAGACACTAAGCAAACAACTTCGAGAGCAAATATTTATATATACGTTTAGTTAGCTAAAGCAAAAATCGGTATTCGGCAAATCCGTGTACAACTTTTTCTGATGACGTGTCGATTTCTCAATACTTATGAGCAAATATTTGTAATATACTGCTGACTTGCGGCTTGGTAAGGAATCCTATTTGAATAACGAATAACTGAAAGATAAGTGCATTCGGAAATTCCAGTTTGGTTTTTATAAAAATGTATCAACTAGTTTCATGAGATATATTGCATGACTTCTCCAATTAAAATCCACATTTAAATCTAACAAGTACACAAGTAGATAGCTACTGCCAACACGCATCCTGTTGCTCGTCAACAGCCCTCAAGTTGCCTTAGTCATCACAATCCGGTATCCGCTTCACTTGCTCCCTTTGAGGAGGCAGGCCGTTTGGCGCCAGACGAAGCTATTCACAGCTTTGGGTGTGGTCCACCATACTAATAAATATATATATCTATTTCTTTATTGCGATACCCAAACTTCCCAACTATTTTTGTTTCCCCGGAGGGTGTTTTTCTGTTTAATCTTGTTTGTTCCCCTGTTTTTTTGGCCAGCAATATGATCTCATACCCTTGGTTTGTTCGGGAATTCTGGTATTTGCAAAAGCCATTTGCATTATATTTTCATTCCAATGTGACGTCATTGAAGCTGCCGCTGACAGTTGAGTTTAAAGCGGAATGTGGCCGACAGCATTGTCTCGGCCATATTTATGGGGATTGTGTAATGTCCTCGTTGGCCAAAATCGGGCTAACATAAGTAAAAGCCGGAGAGGAAAAGTTGGCGGCTGCAAACAGGTCTTAAAACGAAAACTGTTTTATTTATGCAGCGTTTTGTTTATTAGTGCTGGCAAAGTGGAACAATTAGCAGAGTGGCGAGTCTTTGCTTTCTTTTGTTTGGATGCTCGAATATTTCTGGGTTAATTTTGACATGGAATCAAAACCAGCTGCCGCCGCCCACGAACATACTTAAAGCTCTTCGCGCACAGCCGCTCGAATTCTGAATCTGTGGAGCAATAACATGGGAGGCAGCATCCCACACGCCTCGTAGTCATAAATACAGATACAGTTACCGCGAGCATCGTGCTCACATAATGAATGAAATCAAGCAAATTCAATTGATGACCGACCCCGCAATTGGGGCTGCAGTCAGGCAATCGTAGCTGCCGAGATATCAAAGTTGACTCGCATTGTCTGGGCAACCGAAACTCGCCACAAAATCCCAAATCGTAGTGCACTGCAGACCTTGTACAGATTTGTTAGAGATGGCATTGTCATGTGTGAATGTCATGGGATGTTGATGTTTGTCTTGAGGGTTCCTGGTTTTCATCTTGGACTGCTGCCTTATCTAATCGGATCGGTTCGGAAGGCCTTTTGCTTTGCAAACTAGTTTGGGGGGATTACGTAATGGTCTTACTTACTTTAATTATCATTAACCATGCGCCCGCTAATGGCGTGCCTGGGCACGACTTGGAATCCCTGAGGTCAGCTACAGGGTTCTGTGGTAATTAAGTCTTTTTAGCATGGTAATTGCGAAGCTCCTACACTACTCCACCACTTTCAATTAAAATAAACGAGAACGAGCTGATTAATTTGAACTATATTTAGAGCTGTTCACTGAAAGTGCAACTGCAGAATGTACATATATGTTACGTCTTGTCTTTAACAGATTGCAATGAATTTCATTCCATTATATTTGATGTTTCTTAATTAGTTTTTTTTAACTCATTCCAAACCGTTCACTTTCTCTCGCGCAGGTCATCGGCATTCTGGGCATCGTTTATGGCGTACTTATACTGAAGAGCATCGGAACAATCGAGGTCAATGGACAGGTCGGCTTCCCCCCACAGGCTATCATGCCCATCGCGCTGATAAGTTTGGGTTCGATCGTGGTCTTCATATCGTTCCTAGGATGCTGCGGTGCCATTCGCGAGTCTGTCTGCATGACCATGAGTTATGCCGTCTTCTTGCTGATCCTGCTGATCCTGCAGCTGACATTGATTGTCCTGCTGTTCATGAACAAGGGAAAGTTCGAAAATGCCATGGGCAACGTCATCGAGAAAGCTTGGGAGTCAGACACTGCCCAGGAGGGAGGTGTGTTTGATGCCATTCAGGAATCGGTAAGTGCAATCGGTAATACCAATATGGACTATGTCTTGATAATCTTTTCGTCGTGATGTTTAGTTGCACTGCTGCGGATCTGACTCTGCCTTGGACTACGCACTTAAGGGTCAGACCCCTACCCCAAGTTGTTGCAATGGTTCTTGCCTGATCCCGACCAACTTCTACTCCGGATGCCGTGGAAAGTTCATTGAATTGATGTCCGCTGGCTCTGATAATGCCAAATACGTAGGCATCGGCCTTATTGCAGTGGAGGTGAGAAAGAGTGTTTGTTAGGTAGATATTCTGCGACTGATTAATCAACGAATTTTTCCTTTTAGCTGATTGGCTTCATCTTCGCCTGCTGCCTGGCCAATAATGTACGCAACTACAAGCGCCGGAACGCCTACTAAGGACCATGGGCGCACATCAACCACATCGAGAGGCACACCCAACATCCAGTAACACACACTCCTCACATTCTCATTAAATTTTACAATCGTTGAACGCACATACACAAATGGATAAACGAAAATGATTTGAAGTAAGCCATTTAGTTGGATATTTGTCATGAAGAATACGAAAAAAAGCTTAGTTTAAGGCGATACGAAGCGCTTACATTTTTTATATCCTATGTATTATTGGTATAAATCGTTTTTTACCTACCGAACGAGAAAGCAAAGCAATTTCCAAAGCCTTTGTACAAACGATCTACTTGTTAAACGGATACCCCAGAAATAAAATAAATAAACACGTTAATAATGATATCTTTGTTTAAAACTAAGCATATAATCTATAAACTGTTGAACATCCCCAAGCGAAACAAAATCGAAATGTATAATACATGTGTATACCTGTATATAATGTACACTGTTCATTCTATTCATATTTGTATTGAGAATCTCCGAGTAAGATTTAAATTTGGAAAATGCATCAATCAACGCGTGCTCGAATTGCATACAAAATTTATGAATAAAGCATTTACTATGTATTTATATACCAATTTCGTTGTGTTTGTTCCTATAATTGATACGGGGGTTCAGACTGTGTTTTTGTTTTGTCCTTAAGTTGCCATGGTAGCGTTATAATGGTGTTATTGTTCAGTCGATTAGGCAATGCATGTGAACTGCAATTATACTAGATACCTTCATGAGTTCATGGGTCACTATAATTTTCATGCACCTGCTGTGGGTTTTATATAACGCAAACAATTTGTTTTATATTAATTTCTTAATGGTAGTAAATGACTTGAATCGTTGGTATAAATTCAGGACATATTCCCGGGCTTATGATGAAAAGCTACTCTATTTTATTGAGCTGTATTAAAAGGAAATACCACAGTTCAATTTTCTGACTGACAGCCAACATGTGATGTATATTCGAGCACATTTTCAAAATCTATGTTTTGATCTTGGCGGCTTTTTAAAATTTGTTCGTAACAGCTTAAACGTTGATGTATTTCAACGATAATAAAAATGGTAATTGTGTGTCGTAGATACCTTAAATCTTATTTTGGGAATAGAAACAATTTTTATAGTTGATTAGAATAGCTGGTTTGGAATTTTAATAATCGTTAACACGTTAAAGTTTTGCTTTGATTGTTGGTTACCCTCGACCCTTCATTGCTAGGTTCTCTGTTATCTGCAATTTTGTCTTTTTATGACTTTAGTTTACATATTGGCTATATTCATTGTATATTTTATTCTATTTTTACTTCCACATAGGCACCTTCGACATCACATAAGGAGTCCAAAACTATTTTAGTCTTGTTAGGTAAATAATTATTTCGGAAAATGTAATACTCCCATTTTACATACTAGGGTTTATGTTTCTAAGATTAGTAACAGTTGCAAGATATGCAAAAACGTACGAATTTGTCGTCCAGGCAAAAAGATTATCTTTAGTTAATACTGGTTTTACCTAAAATAAAATAACTTTCAAACTACAACAATAACAGTGACTACTTTTTTCTTTATTCGTAACACTTACAACTTTAAGTCAATATCTTATAACTAAACCAACTATTCTTGGTCAGGATACTGACCATCTTTCTATCGGTCTAAATCTATAGACTAGACTGTATAAACGATATTTGTGAAGGAGAATTTGGCTATGATGTAGAATGTAGAATACAATTTTTAAAGGTCGATGGGATTACACTTTTTTTAAATTTTCATGAAGATGCATTTATTCTTCAAGTGGTATGTGGCATGAACTTGCTTTATTTTTGACTTTGAAAACTCCTAGACTAAAATTCACCAATTTCATCTTTAATTGATAAAAAAACATTCATAATCTTTAATAATAAATGAGTATAAAAACACATGAATCTACAAATAAAAATACTTCCAATTTTAGAAAGTTAAACTTAATCAGTAAACATGATTAATAAACCTAAAATCCAGTTCCTGGGGAAAGCCACTCTAATGTCTTACAATTATGTCGCACCCCTTACTTTCCTTACTTGATTAGTTTCCATTCGCATTTCGACAAATATGCAGGGAATGATAAGTTGCCTGGCATTAGGCATACGAGGTGTGTTCAAAAAGTAAGGTGACTCTTCAAATTTCGCGAATTTCAAATTTTTCGATTATCGATTTTTTTGTTTTGTTATATTGGTACACTCTTCCCTAACATCTGTACCAAGTTTCAATGGAACATCCTCTTTTGTTTGGTTGTGAGAGGCGTAAAGTTACAAGTTGTTTTGCGAGCTCGGCGATTTTTTGCTATCGAAAAATATGGATCAAAGGATTTGGATTTTTTGGCCAAAAACAACACCACAATAATGCCTCAGCCACCATATTCACCGGATTTGGCCCCATGTGACTTTTTCTTGTTCCCAAAACTGAAGATAATCGAAAAATTTGAAAAATTTGAAATTTGAAAAGTCACCTTACTTTTTGAACACACCTCGTATAACTTCTAAAAGGTTTCGATAATCGAAAAATTTGAAATTCGCGAAATTTGAAGAGTCACCTTACTTTATTACTTACATTTACATTTATTTAAATTTTTAATTTTGTGTCCGTGTTCTGCATTGCATTTTCTCTGAGCTTCAGCTTCTAGGAAGAAATGCGGGCAATATAAGCCTTTTCATAATTTGACAGTGTCGTCTTTATCCGTTGCCAGCGTATTGTTTTGGGCTGCCTGCCTGTGAGGCAAAGAGATTAAAAATTGTTTTATAAGAAATGCCACTTTCTGTCAGTGCTTGAGATAGTGAATTTTGCTTATGCGAATAGTTCATCAGAAAATAAACTTTGGCAGCGGAAGTTTGTATTCTTTGGTTATTTAACCCACGATCTCATTAATATTCATACTTTTACATTATTACATATATACATAGGTTGCTTTTATCATTATCATTATGGTTTTATTTTGGTAGCTAAAAAGATTATAGAATAATCAATAACTTCACCTTTAGGATAACCGTTATGAAATTTCAAAATAAACATTCTAAACAAAGATAAATCTGTATGATGCAATGTATAATGTAAAATGTAATGTAATGTCAACTAATAGCGCCTTGAAAGTTGACATTACAGATTTTACGTCACTTCATATGTTTAATAATTTTGATAAAATTATTTTTCTGAGTTAAATGGGATTATCTAAATAAATTTTAACATAATTGTGTTGAATCTGCAGCCATTAAGGTATTCACATAAGCAGGATTGTGTACTATTTTTATTATTATTATTAACCATTTATTATATTATTATTTGCTACCGTTTTTGAGATATGTATTTGTTTGGAATATTTTCAAATATATAAACCAATTGCATGGGCTTAAAACTTTTTTGTTTTTAATTTGCTTAAATTTTCATTAAATTTAGACGCTTCTTCTAATAGTATGAACCGATCAGACGAGATAGGTGAGATGAAAAAATTCTTCACTAATCTCTGAGCTGTTCTTGTCAACGGTTAAAATTCTTTTGATATAAATTTGACGTAGTTTCAATTCAAATACATAGAGTTTCGTTTTTTAAACCTTTATTATTGCCTATATACCGACTGTTTGGAGATAGGATTCATTCGAATACGAAATATTTAAGGAACTCTTAATCAAAAAAACCTTCTTGGAATTTCAGATAATATTTTTGGATATAACAATGACAACTCATTTAAAATAATTTAATAAAAACCCAGAGCTCCTACTCATTTTATATCAACGCATTATATCACACATTTTTATCAAAGCTTGCTGTCAAAATCTTAACAGCTTTATTAACATACACAGTTTTGTGAAAACGAATAATATAACTAACTCTTTTGCATTTCATAATTTTTAGTGTTTTAGCTTTAATTAATAATAGAAATCGCAACAATGTTACTTTTAATTCCTTTTACATACCACTGCTGTAACTCTGAAGCTATTTCGGGGTTATCAAATATAAAAACTCTTAATTCTTCGTAAAATATAGGAAAATACGTTTGTAACATAATGGAACAAGCAATCAAGAATATTTTGTAAGCGTAAGAGCTATTCTATTAAGAGTACATAGCTTAACTGAAAAAATAATCTGTTCGAACTAAATATTTTTCCGATTACTATAAAGATAGATAATCCAATACCCAGAAAACGAGAATGAGAACGATAATACCCTAAGACGAAAACGCCGAAGAAGATTAATGTAAAAGAGGAGCAGTTCAGCGAAATGAAGTAAAAACAACGAAAGAAGCAACGACGACAAAGTGAAGTCTTGCGAAGTGAAGCACCCTTTCAGGGATATAGCACTCGATAATAATAATAATATTTATGCTATATATTTAAGTAAGGCAACTCATTAGGTTTATTGCTCATATTGTGGTTATTTCTTTCTGTGTTTCCCAAATTTTTGGTCTCAGTTTAGTGTGATGTGTCGCTTCGTGGTGATCGTTTTGCATACTGCATTTGTGATATTGAACGGGTTTTTGGTGTGTTTTTGTTAAGTATAAGAAAGTTCAAAAATGTAAATTTCATATTTTCAGCTTATAACGATATTTTTCTCTGATTTAAGTAATGTTACATTAGAAGGTATTTGAATATTATTTATATATTTAAAAATGCGTTTGTTAAATAATTTGATGATTCAGATTGTCAAGATGTGTGGGCTATCCTCGGATTCTTTCAATTATTAAATTCTGCCTATGGACTAGTTTTGGTCTGTGCTAAGTCTCAGGTATTAAGTCTATCTAAATAATAATGTATTAATAGTTTACAATGTAAACTTTACATATTCAAAATGTAGTTAAGGATTATAATATTCTCGTGGGGTTTCGTGTCTTTGTGGGTAACCTCCATTTACATGGTGTGGACTTTGGGAATTTGCCAGAAAAATATAGATCAGTTTGGTCCTATTGAGGGCATTACATCTGTCTACTTGACGGGTAAGTAATATTGGATTGGAAAGCCTTAAACTTACACTAAAGTTTTTTCAAATTTAAATTCAGCTTTCAGTTTATGCACACTTTACGTTGTCTTCACATTCTATCGTGAATTTGTGGTAAGTGTGATTTGGTGAGATTATCCAAATACTAAATATTACTTATGGAATATCTTCATTTCAACTTATTATAATACAGAAAGAGATAAGTAATTTAAGTTACTATTTTTAGCCGTAGAGTCCACTGGGAATATGTTAACCCCCTTACTAAGCTATGAAATATTAACATTAAAACAGCTGTAAATTGTCTGTCTTTCTACATCAGTTAATCATTAACATATGTTAAAAATGTGTACCTGGGAAATATATCTAAAATTTGCCGCTGTTAAATTATCACCTTTCCAAAACTTTCTGCTGTTAAATTATCACCTTTCCAAAACTTTCTGCCACATACCAATAGCGCTGAATAATAGACAAACGACCGCCAGTCCTAGATGGCGCTTTATACAACTCAAGCGTGGCAACCACCGTGTTGCTTAGCCGAATGTTGCTGACGAAAAGTTGCTGAGTATGTCTACAAAAATGTGTATAAAGTGAAGAGTGGAGTTCTAATAATACATTATATTAAAGGAGGTAAAAATCCAAAGTAAAACATAAATACGTATATAAACATACTAGCTTATTAAACACGTTTCAACAGTCAATCACATAAAAGGGTTAAACGCCAACCAAGAAAAAAATAAAAAAAAGAGAAGTGCAATGTTTTGAATCTTTAAACACAGGCCTTATCAGATACATAAACTACTTCCGATTGTTTCTATAGTTCGAAGTTATTTGATAAGACTCTGGCTCAGGCGAGAGATAAGTCGAAAATGACAAATCATTTTAATATGTATCAAGAAAAACCAGCATAAAACTAGTTAACAAATTGATTTCAACGAGATCAGAACGAGACATGTGTCATTAAACACCAAATAGAATAATCGAATTTATAAATATATCTTTTGTTGCATTACTTCAAAGTGCTGATTGTAAGGAATAACAACCAAATTCTAATAATTATAAAATAACTATAAAATAAAATCAATCTTACAAAAGTTAAGATCTACAGCTATTTTGCCCTCTTAAATAGCGGTTTAAATTAGTGAAATATTGGTTTAAAATACTGGTTTTAAAAACTAATAATGTGCTGCACTTGTTTCCTCGTTTAAGAAAATATATCAACTCATTCTGTACTTGAGTCACCGAGTACCCATTGGTGACACCCTTCGTGGTGGAATGGAGTGGATCATGGAGTTTCATATTGAGTCAAGCAATCATAAAGCCGTCTCAGCGTGCGACTCAATAAAGACTTTATTCCCAAGGCCTGTAGGCATCTGGCTACCTTCCATCTGAAAGACCTTACAAAGCCTTACAGTGATCTAAAATTTATGTTTAGAATTAGAGGAAGATTTATTCAATTTAAAACCAACTCTGTAAAACGATATAAGCCCAGCCTAGTGACTCTTGAGAAACATGGTCCCTCTTCCGATTTTTGTCTTGAAATCAACCTATAGGTGATTTTACGATAAAGAGGAAAGGCCAATCTATAAATGTTAGGCTACCTGCCATTCATTCAAACCGTGGTCTGGGACTGGACTACCGGGTTATAAAAGACACTGCATGTGGCCCGTTTCAATTCAAAGACAGGTTTCAAACGAACAGGGACATAATAAGGCCGACTTGGCTTGTGATCCTCAAGGTTACATGTACCTATATGTATAATTTATAAGGTCGGAAGTTCAAAACGACACTCTATGAGGGGAATAACTTATAAACACTAGCAGTGCATTGTTTTTCTTAAAAGTACGGTTAAAATGTCATACAAACTCAGTAACAACTGTGCCAGCTATTAGATACCAAGTTCTTTATGTTACAGTAGTTAAAGGTGATTGCAATTCATAGCAAAAATAAACATCTCTTAATATTTTTAGCATCAAAAATAAACCGCAAATTCAATCAATTGGAACTGCGGGTAGCAATCTTTGCCTGACAGTCTGGCAGCATTAATCAATTTGCGTGCTGCTTACTGAAAAGCTTTTGCAAAAGCTCAGAGAACAATCAGCCGGCTGTCAAGTAGACACTGAGAGCAGTGGGGCCCGCTCAGTGGACTTCTAGACGACGGAGAAACCGCATCTGATCCGAGGTAGGGCTGACAGTGAGTCATTCAACTCGTTGCGGGAAAGTGCATTGGCGATTTTCCCCGTATTGGTGTCAACGCTGCACATTGTTAATTGAAGGAAAATTGACTTAAAAGCGCTGATCTTCCAGAGAATTACCATACAGCGCAGTGATCTGAGAGAAGCAACAGTGATCTCACTAGCTTCATCGGTATTCAGAGAGTCGACGAATACTAAAAACAAGTTTTGCGTCAGCTCGCTCTCCCTTTTAGGCGGCTCTCGAGGAATTTAAGGTGTCCCAGACCGAGTAATCCGAGGACCATAATCCGCCATGTCGTCCACGTCGTGTGTGAAGCTGGTTGTCTACGCCCTGGACGTACTTTGCACGGTGAGTTTACTTTCGCTGCTTTCCCGCCCACCTTCAAGATAGCCCACTCCAAAGATTACGTCAATTAAGGCGTTGTAAACAAAAAATATGGTACAATGACCACTTGATTCACTTTCGCAATGATCTTTCCCAGAAACGGGCACCAACAACAAAAATTATACATACGGCAGTTTTCTTATCAAATTGTAGATAATTTGCTGTATTCACGGCATATTAGTAACATGGGAACCGACGACATGTGTCGCTTTAAAGTAGCTTTTGGTGGAGAAGTTTAGTAGCTCGTCCAACAGTCAACCCCGTTCCCCCGATTATAATTTATTGGTTTATTTATACAATTTAATTGCAAGCAGCGGTGAGAAGGAACAGATGCCGCCACAGAGGTCATTCAAACAGAATATGATCGGCATGTCCATCGGCTCATCAATTTTGAATTTTCAATCGATATCTAGAGTGGTACAACGAGCTCCATTTCCCGCTGATAGGCTTAGTCATCATTGCAGATGATTCAACTGCAATTGACAGTTACAATAACAGCGTAGTTAGTGTTAGGAGCTTATCATCCATGTTTGCGCATCACTTGCCAATATTAAGTCTGTTCGTCACCATTCGATAAACCTATTACGTCACCTTCTGAAACAATGCAGCATAGACATAATTTGAATAATCCAAAACGACTTAAGCAATCAAGCTTCGCGTTGCGATATCTCAAATGAATAGTAATCAAGCGACCTTGTCTGTTTGCAAGCTGTTGTTTGCCCGTTTGTTTTTGTTTTGGCTGACCTTCCTGTGGGCGCCACTCCGACTTCCCTATCCCAGTGTAGTCCCCATTCCAACCCCATATTCCCGCCAATTTCATTGGCGTCTATCCCTGACGCCAGACTGGCTAGTCCTAAGGACGCCCCCGAATAGGTCCTCTCCTGCAAATGCCTTGTGCGAGGTCAAAACACTGGAAATGAAACTCTTACTCAGTTCGCTTCCTGAAAGTTCAAGGGATTTCAGAGAGGGTTGTTACATAGAACAGCAGAGTGGATAAGAAGTAAGATAAGTTTAGGGGGAATCGAAGGACAGCATAACAATCACATCACTTATAACTTGGATTATAGTATTGATTTTATATAACTTGAAGATAAGTGAGGGAGCATGGCAAGGGAAATTCCTTTGGGTTTTTCTTGTTGGAAAACTTACGTGTTTTCTTTGTTTCTTTTAATTTGTAATAACAAGGTTTTAAAACATCTGCTAGTCGTCTTATAATATTTAACCATCAACATTTTATTATATATGAACAATTTATTTTCTAAACACATTCGTTTTGATAGAGGAAAAAAGTAACCCTTTATAAACAATTTTATTTGTATAAAAATGCAATTCAAAAATAGTTAAGATAGGAAAATCATATTAAATTTATAGATACTTTCTTCATCCCCAACATATGTAACTAATTTAATCCTTTGATCCTTGCAGTTGCTGGCTTTGGTGCTGATATCCTTTGGTATTTATGTGGTGGTGTCTTATGACCTGAACGAAATCGGAGCTCTATCGGCCTACGGCTACGTGGGACTCGGAGTGGCTGCCCTATTGGTGGTGCTTTGGGGATACCTATCCGCCTGGCGGGAGAATGTCTGTTGCACAGTTACAGTAAGTTATGGAATGATAACCCTTCTTACTAACATACTTAATTGGGTTTTCTCCTTTTCAGTTCATTGTATTCCTCTGCCTGGTTATCATTGCTCAGTTCGCCGTTGTTTATTTGATGATTAGCCAGGAGAAGACAATCGCATCTAACTTGGCCAATGCCCTGGAAGCAACATGGGAGGAGGAGTTGAGCAGTCCCGGAGCTATGTCTCTCTACCAGAACTGGGTGAGTCCTCAATTAGTCTTAAGTCAGATTTCGATGGTAACTATATGTCCATATCGTTTATAGTTCCAATGCTGTGGCCGAGGTAGTCCCCAGGATTACATTGTCAACGAGCGCCTGCCACCGGATACCTGTTTCAAGAACCATGACAAGAGCAAGGTCGAGAATCTGATCCACGTCGGATGCCGAGTGCAGTTCGAAAACTACTGGCTGCACTTGACCCACATCTTCAATATTCTGGCCCTCGTGCTGATTGGAATAGAGGTGGGATCTTAAACAACCTCCTTTAGGCTTATCTTCTAAAGTTTTCCTTTATGCTTACAGCTCCTGCTGAGTGTCGTCTCTTGCCGCCTGTGCAACAGCATTCGCAACGATGCTCGTCGTTCTTACTTCTAAAAAGGGAAAGCCCCAAATAGATTACAGGATTACCAGTCAACTTGTTAAATTTGTGAAAAATTATTATTAATACTACACTGCAACATTATTCAATCCAATCGGCGTCATCGGAACTTTAATGTTAGATTTTTTAAATTCAAACTCATTTGGTACCAGCACTAAACGATTACGTTCAACCCCACTCAAAAGTCGATTTCAGTGCAAGTGCTGACCACTCACAAATAATATTAAGAGAAAGTAAAATAGTTTTAATATAATTTATTAAAAGATATAACTAAATAAATGTATTGAACCAAAGTCAAGCAGCAATCACTCTATTTTTAATTTATATTCAACTTGAAATCTCTTGGCATCTCTGTAAGGATTCGTTTTGGCCATATGCCGTTTAACCTGAATGTTCTTCTAACCCAAATATTTATCAACATTTTTGCACACGTTTAATTAATGATACATATATCGATCCAGAATCATTCATCGTGGCATTGTTTTTCTGATAAACATACCGGCCAGCTATATTATAATTAAAAATAAAACCCTCTTCCTGCAGCGGAAAAGCTTTGGTATTCAGAATATTGCTCAACAAATTCGCCCTCAACTAAACGAAATATATATTTTCCAGATGAAAATTGGATATAAATGGCAGTATTTCCATGCTTAAAAGTGGCATTAAGGAAGAGAGAGATTTAAATTCAAATGAGATGTCTTTGATATGAAATATGGAAGGTTATTAATTAACTTAACATGAAGTTCTTTTCATTAAAAACTAAATATTTTTGAAAGTATATATTCAAAAATCATATTTTAAATGCTAAAAGAGAACAGAGCTTGGTAACTTATTAAATTTATCTATAAAAACTATATCTCACATCCTTTTAGTAAAGTGAGCAGTATGTTTCCTCCCTGTTACACATTTCTGCACGAATACCATATACCCTAGAACTTCTCAAGTAATGGGTATAAATAGCACAGAGAAGCGCTCTCTCTTGTTTTATTCAAATAGTTCGTCATCTATTTCTGTTTGTATATATACAAAATATACATGCTAACGAATATATATACGTAAATATTTAGTTGAGCAAAAATAAAATAAGAAAACATTGCGCGGTTTTGCGGCCAAACGTTTCGTTTCCACTCGTGGCGAAGCTTTCGTTCCGTTTTGCCGCCGTTTGTTTCGCCAAACGCTTTTCGCGCCATCAACAAAGTTGAAACATCGGAACAGTTTTCAGTTAACAGTCGAACGGTGAACATGAGCCCCGTTTTGGGTAACCCCGGCAACCGTTAGGATCAATATAAATATTTTCGAATTGTCAACAAGCCGCGAGTTGTTGCCAAGTGTTATAAATACTACGAGTACCTGCTAGTTTTTTTTGACTCTAAAAGTTATTGGACTGGCTAAGATGGCCTGTTCTACGAATGTTCTAAAGGGTTTTGCCCTTCTCTGGGATATTATCTATGCCGTAAGTAGAGGGAGCTAAAAAGATGAAGTACAAGCTGAAAAGAAAAGTATCTTTTGCGACTTCTGTGGGGCATCTTTGGTGACCCCAAAATGCAAGAAAACATAAACTAAGCTAAAGCTCTAGCCAAGGCTAATTGCCGGAAAATGACTTGAGTTTGGCCCGCCACTGGCCAAATGCCAGATCTTGCCCAAGAAATGTTCTCCAGCTTTGGCCAAGTTCATTCAGAGATCCATCAGTCTTTGATGTGGTCTTTTGTTTATTTAATAGCAAAGAAAACAAACACAGATATTTCGTTGCTAGTCAAATAGTTTTTCATTTACGCGGCGAGCATTTAAATTGTTATTGAAGGTTTTAGTTTTGGCATTTTGTTATTTTTTTTGCCCCATTTTGATGCAAATTTAGGCGCAGCTAATAAAATTTGAGCCGCAGCCTCATCGTACATTAATATTCATGAAAGAACTTTTATTGCTGGATATCTAGTTCATCGAGATGAAGAGAAATTCTTTTGGCAAATTTGTTTCAGACTAAAAATATCTTTAAAAAATGATTTAATATATTTGAACTTGTTTTGTTTATTTTTTTGTTGATTTCTTATTTGGGTCTTTTCAACTTTTTTTTTCATTTAATGGCTGCCAAGTCGAAACTTGGTCACCCACGCCAGCACTTAACCCTGAACAGAAATATATAGAATTTTTATTAGATTTTTGCTGTTATTTTAGTTGGATTTACTTGAAACAGATTTTGGTTACGTACATATATATCGGTATATATATTTGTTGATGTCATTTCCTAGACGTTTTGGGCATCTTTTTGGCTTTTGATTTAAATGGAATGCGGCTGAAGGCTGAGGAAATGCCAGCTAGCATCGCAGGGCCACACGGCGTATGCGCGATTTTCCGGATTTGGTTCCAGGCGAGTTAACTCTTGATTTGCGCGCTGAGAGATTTCAATTATGCTGGAGCCCCCGATTGAAATTACTTCATTCTGTTTTAGGGTAGGGCCCAACCTTTGTGTCTCGGCCTTTAGTGAGCCCCTGCCGACAGAAACCCACATAAATCTGTGTCGCGACACGTTTTTGGACATTTATTTGGCTCTCTGACATTGGCATTTGATCTGCCTACTCAGTAGAGTAGTACCAGGCTTATCATCTAATATGCAAATTACTTAGCCGCAGTGTTCTACTAAAGTCCGACCTTGGTTACGCTGATGATAATTGCGTTTAATTGCCAGTCTGCGTGGGGAAACGAGAGCAAATTAATAAAACTTAGCTGATTGTTTGTTGCCAACTCATAGCTTTCCTTATCGTGTTTATTGGCCACCACCTGAGTGTCTCTTTTGGCACATTAAATAATCGCGACAGGCGTAATATTCTGCTTTAGATATCAGAAAGTTGAGTGGACCTAGTCCCCGTGTAAACAGCGATCATGAGGCTCTGCTTCGAGTTAAGTCACAAAACTCGGCACTCAATTACAAAGTCTAATTATGGTTCGAGGGTGCTCAGTAAATTCAGATTGTGGCATGCTTCGCTTCCCTTCCTTCCAAATAATACGATTTGTTTGTTTCCGATTTGCGAGCCCTGAGGAACGTGCCTTGTTGTTGGATCTTGGCTGGTTTTTGGGCGCCAGAGCTTAATGGATTACAATTAAATGGCGTTGAATGCCCCTGGGGCTATCCACAAAACAGTTCCAGATGTGTGAGTGCTACGTGTCGGCTGGTCTACAGCTCATCTCTATTGCCTCGTAAACATTAATTGATGGCCCAGTGTTGACTCCGCAGTTCGATTGTAACTCTATTAATGTAAATGATATTTTTCCGCTGCCTTATTGGGCAACAAAGCTCATTAAAAGCCGCCTTAAGTGAATATTTATCTAACTGCCTTTTGGCCAGAGCCAAGAATCGAAGTTACGCCCTGTTTAGGGCTAACCAAGACGGGGATTACACCTGAAATCAGCCATGGCTGCCGTTATTAATCGTCGAAATCATTCATAATTACCTCGTAGGCTTTGAGCCAAATTGGTGCTGCCGACTGAAACGTAAGCTTTTCCTAAGCCGGGCCCATTCAGCTCGGGTGACAAACAAACAAGCAAGCAAACAGAAAACTAGGCACGTTCAAAGCCAACATATTTGCCGACTGGTTTTCTTGTTCGCCCCTCGGACAATTGTGGAAATAATTTACAAATTGGTGGCGGCAACAGGTTGTCGTGTGCAAACATCATCACTGTATATTTATAATTACTACGCATTTCGAAAACTTACTTTCGGTAGAAGAATAGTTTTCGTATTCTTGGCGCTTCCTTGGGCAAGTTGCCAAATGCAAAAATTACAAACAAGTCTACATGTGGCAAGAGAGTGCGAAATATCGCGTTGTGTTTGTGGATTTAGTGAGTCATTGGGGTAATTTTAAAATGCAACCAGCAACATGCATTCGAAAAGTGAGAGGCGTATGATTTCAGGAGACAACTCTGCGTATACGTAATGTGATGAATATGGTTTCATTTATGAGTAAGCAGGGTTGTGAGGAGGAGTTGTTGGAAATAAGATTTAATCTACGAATCGAATGCCTGTAGAACTTCCCCTTATTCTCTCTAAAAAGAAACCTTATTTACATATTGACTCAACCACAAACCTTCAGGCGCTAAGTTTTTATCACCTTTCGGGCAAAATTGAATTTATTTAACTTTTCAATCAACCACTTCCCACCTCGATCTATCGACAGCTGTTCGGCCTGGTTGTGATTGGCCTTGGAGTACACATCATTTACAAATTCGAGCACTTCAACACGGCCGCCTTCGTCATCATTGCCGTGGGCGTGGTCGTTGTTCTGTTCGCGCTATTTGGAGCTCTGGGAGCAGCACGCGAAAGCAGTGCCACATCCAAGGTGGTAAGTAAACATTCTGTTAAATCCTCAAATGACCTGGTATAATAATTAGCTTCCCTTTTCCTTTCCAGTTCGTGGTTATTGTGGTTATCCTGATAGTTCTGGAAGTTATAGTAGTGGGTTTCCTGTGGGTATTCCAAACCTCGCTGCTGATCAACGTGGACAAAACATTCGACCAGCTGTGGCACGATCAACCCGTGCCCATCAAGCCTGGAAATCAGAGTGAGATCGCCAGCCTAGAACGATGGGTAAGTGGAGGAGGGAAGTCCATTTAGTATTCTTAATTTAATTTTATTTAATATTTAGCTGGACTGCTGCGGCAATGTGGGACCCCAGGACTACGTGCTTGCCCCCAACAGTTGCTACAACAGTGAAAGTGACAAACTAAATCTCGAGGGCTGCCGGCAAAAGTTCTTGGACTTCATCGCCGATCGCTGGACGACATTTAATTTTGTCTCCCTTTTGCTAGTTGGAGTGGAGGTGAGTGATTTATAAAACCTAAATTATAGTTAATAAAAATAAATGACTTTTCACAGATCATTTGCGCTTTGTTGGCCTACGTCCTGGCCAACAGCATTGTGAACCGCTGGCGACGCTCGAAGTACTATACAAAATGAGTTTGAGTACAAGTTTTGAAATTGATGCATTTCAAAAGTCAAGTTTAAGTTGCGCATACTTAAGGCCAAAGAACTCTCCATACAAATACCCAAATTGAAAACTCAATAGAGATTCCAAAACAAATTTACTTAAGCAAAGTTGACCGAAGGCAGCTCGTTGATCGTATTCTATTTATCAGTTTTGGATAACTTTAACGGAATGTTTTCCGTTTAGAATGTAACTTAATCCTAAACTAAGCTCGACTTAAGTAACCATTTTGTGTACGAGTAACAGCATTTCGAGAAGTCAGATCAAAATAAAGAATTGTTCGAAGATCAGTGAGTGCTTTGTTGTTGGCATCCGAAGATCTGTTGACATCATTCCCATGCTAATTAGGCGAGGGGAGTGGCGGCCAGAAGGTGAGGGTGGACACATGCTGTCTCATCTTTGTGGAAAGCGTGGGCGGGCGCCTCTATGTGTATTTCTTTGGCTCGTGCTCGCTTTTTGATTTCCCCCAGAGTATTTATTTGGACCGGCCCTCGTTCTGTGTTCTTTGGCCACTGCATCTGGCCAACGGTTCGGACCGGACCGGATGGGATGGCATGAGATGGTATGGCGACAGAATCCGAAGCAGCCAACGAATCTGTGGGTTAATCGTTTCCCAACGACAGCTCTGTCAGTCGCCCCAAACAAACAAATGGAGATTATGCGACTTTAGTCGATGATTTGATGGCACTGCTCAAGGTGTGCTCGTCCCCAACGGAAAAACTCTTGTGAAAATATTGAAAATCGTGAAAAGCGAAGGCTAGCTGCGTCATGTACTGCACCACCCGACTGCTCAGATACGTTCTGTGTGTCATCAGTGGCATTTGTGCCGTAAGTCCCTAAAATAGATCCCGATTTGCTGACATTGAAAGGAAGTGTGATTGTGGCCTCTGTTTAGCTAGGTGGCTGCCTGCTCATCTGGTATGGCGCCTGGCTGCTGGACAGCCTCTCTGAGCAGCAGAGGGTGATGGGTCTGGATAATGGCGAGGATCTGGCTGCTTATCTCTGCATCCTCCTGGGCTTCGTCGTCGTAGTGGCAAGCATCTTTGGCTCCGTGGCTGTGGCCAAAGATTCCAGAAGCTTGTTGATCTGTGTAAGTTATATAGGCAATGAGACTTGAAATCTATAAACCATAAATAAATTAATCATTCGACTATATAAAACCAATTTCAGTATGCAGTCCTAATGGTCCTACTCTTAATCATTCAGTTTGTGATGGTCAGCATTAGTTATGCCGCCAGTCGCGAGTCTTTGCCTGATTCCCTGAGACAGGGATTCGATGATCTGTGGGACATGGGGCACGAAGGCAACAGCACATTGCACTCGTACGAGGAGTGGGTAAGTTAGTCAAGTCTCAACTATATCTAAAACTGCTAGCTAAAAGACATTTTCATATCACCAGCTCCATTGCTGTGGTCGAAACAGTGCCGAGGACTATCTGCATGTCGAGAAGATGCCCCCAGCGAGCTGTTGCCTCGATAGGGACTGCACCCAGCTCATGAATCTCTTCATGTCCGGCTGCGAAGTCAAGTTCAAGGAGTATGTCAGCGGAAAGACAGCGAACTTTCATACCCTAAGTTGGTTTCTAATACTGTTTGAGGTAAGATTTTATTTTAGTTTATATTTTATTGGCTGGTAATTAAGTCTTGTTATCTTACAGTTTGAGTTAACTTTTTGGTATTACAAAAATCTATTTGATTTCAAAGCAAATTAATTCAATATTTTCTTTGATTTTAAATCAAACACTTTCAGCATTAGTTTTACATTCCAATATCTTGCCAGGGCTCTTCCATTATATCTCATTAAACCAGCATTATTGACCCCCTAGTTCATGGCTTTATTGAGTAGCACAAATTTCCATCAATCAATTGTCTTAATCTTCAGAACATCTATATAAATATAGTATAAATATATAGAATCTTGTTTTAATTACAGTTTGCCGGCTCGGTGACCACCTGCTACCTGGCGGACAGCATTCGCAATCATCGCGACCGCATACGATTCTATAATTAAATAAGTTTTAGGTGTTTAGCACGAGCTGTATTATCGTTATTTGTTGTGACTAATTTCCTAGCCAGAGGGCCCTGGCGAATTGTGATTGTAGTTTACGTTGCTTAGTCAAGTTAGGCTACAGATATCCAGTATTCATTCATAAAACTGTAAACTAACGCCCACGCCTAGAAAATGCCTAAAATCGAAATGAAAATAAATAAACCCGTTGGTTGCCATTGACCAAAACTTTTACAAGAAATTGTTGGCCAGCAGAAAAACAAAATGAGTGGGGATTTCGATCCGGAGATAATCAAGAAAAGCTCGCCAAGTGGGCGATGTCGCGCTCTCGATTTTCCTCACCAATTTATAGATAGACTGTGCGAGAGGTGAGTCGGTCGTCGATCGCCGATCGTTGTTTTAGTCAAAACAAAACACACTGTTTCGGTTTTCGTCGCACTTTGGTGCCAGTTTATTCGCACAGCTGAAGCACGGCGGTCAGAAGTGGAAAGATTCTTGCCGAGCACCATTGTCTTTCGACGGATACGTATCTCAAACTGGCTGCTGGCCATATAGCCATATATGTAAAGCCTCCTCTGATGCATTCTGGTTGCCTTCATTGATTTTGTTGTTGACTTTGTTGATTTCGTCAATCTCTAGTCTCCAGTCGCATCTTGAGTTTGATTCACAGTAATCATGGGTCTGGGTGCCACTACAGTGAAGCATCTGCTGCTCTTGCTTAACTTTGTGTATTCCGTGAGTAGCCTGAGACCTGAGAGATTTATGAATGCTCACCTGACTGGCTGTGATTTCCACAGGTGCTCGGTCTGGTGCTGATCGCCTTCGGAATTTTCTTTTTGATCTCCGCCGCCGAGAATGCTGTCAGCATTGGTGAAAATGTGGCCGGCGGCCTCATCATTGCCCTGGGCGTTGTCATCCTGATCATTGCCATCTTCGGCTGCCTGGCCGCCATACACGAGGCTCCTGTTAGGCTCTTGATCGTAAGTACAGTCCATTTCCTAACTAAATAATAAGTTTTACTCTTTGTCTAGATTATTCTGTATGTTAATACTGAGTTATTAAGTTCTTAATGTTTTCGAAGTACATTTTAAACTGTGCCATGACTCACCTATTGTTCATAAAACTTACCCACGGATATCTATCTAAACTACTTTACTGATCTAACTGTTCATCTCCTTCATCAGTATGTAGGTGCCGTGGTGCTGCTGATCCTCTCCCAGCTGCTCTTCCTCAGCATGGCCTCTCACGGCACCAAGGACGGAATCTCGGGCAGCATCAACGAGGGCTTCGACCGCCTCTGGGAGTCGGAACGCAACGAGACGGGAGCCCTGGCCTACTACGAGACCTGGCTGCAGTGTTGCGGTGTCAATAGTTCAGAGGACTACTGGATCATCCATCATGGAATACCCAATAGCTGCTGCTTGGACAACAAATGCCTGGACACACAGAGCAGGGTCTTCAAGACCGGCTGCAAGGCTGAGTTCATCAAGTATCTGGACGATAAGTTGCTGGTGTTTAAGATCGTCTGTTGGCTGCTCGTCATCGGAGAGGTTAGTTAGATCATTTCCTCATATATAGACGCGTGTGTATATATTTTTTGACTTCTCCCTTTTTAGGCTGTGGGAGCTGTTTTCGGTTGGCTGCTCTACAGCAGCGTCAAGAACCAGAGTCGACGCAATAATGCCGTCTGGATGTAAATCGTTATCTAAGTCATCTAAGTATTAGTTAATGATAAACTTTAAGCTGGTTTTCTAATCAATTGTTAAAATTTGAAAATAACAACTGTTTACTAATGAGTTGGTAACCCAGTAAATCTGTTTCAAAATTAAGTAATTTATTGCCTTTTATTTTCCAAATTTTTTAAAAACTTAACGCTTTGAGTTAAAGAAACTTTAAATTGATCAAAAGATATATCATGAATCTTGTTAAACACTCAAGACATCAAAGTAGAATTTGGTCAAAACTCGAGTAATGTTCTCCGTTGACCACTTGGTGAACAAGGCGTAGGAGCCCTTGGTCAAAGGAATACCGCGGATCTTGCTGGATATATCAGTATTTGTAATGCCATCGATGGCGATGAATTTTTCATTCTAAAAATAAATATTTTCCAGATGATGTTCATCAGTTATAAATTAGATGGGACCTTACTCACCGAATAGGGGCAACTGTGGTTCAGGTTGGAGTGACCTTCTATAAGTTCAAATACCATCTTGGCCAAATAGTTGTGCCGGTTCTTCCAGAATCGACACATGTCAAGGTTCATGCCATAGAGGAACGGTTGCCAATTGGAAACTCCGTTGATACTTTCACTGCCCTTCGTCATCAGCTGAAAGTGGAACTGTAATGGGAAGTTTCTGAAACTAAATATTATACTTCCCATATCGACAAATTACCCCTATGTTCTTAAAGACTGGCTTGGGCATAGTGTACCGTAGTCTAACACTGTTTTTGGTCTTTCCCAGAGACGTCACCTCGCAGTACTCCACAACACTAATGCTGAGATCCTTGCTCTCGCAGGTCACATTTGTGAACAGGATGAAGACTCCCTGTTGATTGGATAATTCCTAATTAAAATATATATAGAGTGCCTTGACTTTCATACGAACATGCAACTCTGTCAGACATTGCACGCCCAACAATAATCCAAAAAGTGTTCCTGCCAAGTTACTCATTTTATCGCCACTGAAAGCTGATTCATTTCAGTTCATATTTAGCTTGTTTCTGGGCTAATTTTCCAATAATAACAGCGATAATGGATGTCGACTAATGGATGAATGGATGAATGGATCATCGTGGTCTGATAATAATGCTAATTGTAATTACACATATTCGGAGTATTATTGGCTTTAAAATCATTAACAACCGAGATGGTGTTATTAAAAAAATGGTCTTGTAACAGCAATATAAAGAGCTCGTAGTTCTTTTAATTTTTTATCGATTTTTAAAAACTTTTAAAAGCAAATCAGCCAAAAAATACTGTAAATATCAAATGTTGAAATCGATCTGTTATCCCTCTATCCTTTTTCATATGAATCTTTACTTCCCCATTGTTTTAGCTCTCTGGATCTCGACTGGTGCACGGACAAACGGATAAATAATATATGTGGTGATATTTTTTACGTTTAAATTTGATAATTATATTATTTAACAACATGCTTAAATTGAGTTATGACCGTCGTCTTGTTGTTTTTTCCCTGCTTAAGCACGCCTTCACATCGCCAGATCTTCCCGAATGCTCCCTCTCGTTCTTTGTGTCCTCGTTGCTTCTCTCGTTGTTTTCAACTTCTTTCGCTGAACTTATCGTCTTCGGTTTAACCTTCTCCATCGTTTTTTACTTTATTCGCCAGAATGTTACTCGCCGTTAGTCGTTTTGTTGATATCTCGTCGTTCTTTGTATATCGTTGTCAAGGGATATTTACATACATATATGTACATGAATATGTATACACTCGGAAACTTTGCTTTTTATCAGTTACATTATTTATGAATTACAATTATTTTATAATGCAATTAATAATAATCAGAATAATTAGTAACAAGATTTCTTTTTACTTTAATAACAATTATTTGCACAAGAAGTGTTTTTTTAAGTTCGTTATATTTATGTAGATAATTTAGTCTCTTAGTAGAGTTGATTAAAGTCTACTGCTATTCTCGAGCAAATGTGAAATTCAATAAAAATACATCATGTTTCATTGCCAATAAGTTTTTATTAAATCATAATGAAAATTATTGATATATTCTATTTTATTACTTCTGCTAATAAAACGCCTTTAAAACGAGTTACTTAAAAAGCTATAAAATGAATTCGAAGTAGTGATAAGCTTACAAAGATAGTGTATTGTTAGTCTTAGGCTTAAAATTAAATAGTTAGTTTAAACAGTTAATCAAAAAGACACCCTGTATGGTAATTTTCAAGCGCGCCTGCGTCATTGTCACCACGTTGATGATAGTTCGCTGTTTGTTTTGGTTCCGCTGGGTTCTCAACCCTCGTCGGTGGTGAATATGCGACGAGTGCCTGCGGCACCTGGTTCTCTCACTTTTTGGCTCAGTCGCAGGTCAGCTCTTGTGGCATCCACACAAGCCCCATTCTGGAGAGGGCTTAGAGGTGCGGGTTCAAAGTTACTATAAAGACAGGTAAACAATGCCCAACCCCAATCCAGAGGCATAGTGCGAATCGAGCGAGTTTCCAGACTGCCCCCTGAGGTCAACAAATCCATTTAATCGTCAGCCAGGGACTTGGATAACTGTTTTCCCAGTTGCCCTGTTGGTTGGGTTGCATCATGGAGAAGTCGTTTGCCATAACGCCCTGGAAGTACGGCCTACTGGCCACATGCATTCTGATTGTGGTAAGTGAAAAAAGATGCGCATTTTCCCATATCCCGCGGCCAAATGACCCAAATGTGAGTCTTGCACAACACCCGGTGATGCGAAAAATGAGCCGAAAAATCAATAATGTGCTCAAGTGCAAATTTTACCCAAGAGAGCAGATATTATTATTGCCAAAAGTCTGCCAGAGACTATAAACAAATCGATGCAATCTTAAACATATTTATAAATAATACCTCTTCACATATTTACATAATTCCGCCGGCCAGCTGTTTACAAATGCCCCAACGTCTAAAAACGGCACTTTCCCCACTCTGTCTGGCGGCTTACGCAAATTTAAATTATTATTACGTTGTGGTAAATTAATTTCGCATTATATATGCTTGGGGTTATTGTCTATTGTCTGCAAATGTCAAGGATTGGCTAAACAATCTAATAACAGAAGTGCTAGGAGTGAAATGCATTTAATTGTTCTTAATCATTAGGTTCTAGGATCAAGAATTTATATTAAAATGTAGGGGCTTAGTAAAGGTAACTCATTTTGTGGAAAGTTCAGCCGAGATGACCTTTTCATCTAGAACACGCTATGGGGCTAAGAGTCTAAGAAATCATATATAATATATATTTAAGTTCATTTTTCAAAAGCTTTTTTCACTAATTTTAAAACCCAAATGAGTTATGAAAAGATTCTGTCGCCTAAACGTCTAGTTAATGATTTAATAAATTAATTATGCCATTCGGTTTATAGGAATATAAATGTCAGAGAAATCTTTCAAACGTAAGAACAAATTTTAGAAAATAATTAAAATCATCAAAAAATGGGCTGCGTGTAGATCCCCGACTGCAAAATTCTCTCTATTTACTGGTCTTATGGATACACTCGTATTTATTTTACCTAACAATACTTAAATATGGAATTTATTTAAATGGCTAAACTTAAAATTTATTTATGACTTTGCTTTACTATAGTAAAACTTAATGGGGTTTCGTTTGAAAGTAGTTACTGGATACAAAATATATGCAATCTGTGCAATTTTACTAAGTTGTACTACAAGTTTAAGCAAAACAACTTTTTAACTAAACAATTAAACGGAGTAACTAACTATTTTCCCTTATTATTATTATATCCTTAGACATGTAACGTGTTCTTCTTTTCCTGTGGCGTGGTCACCTGGGGCTCAGCAGTCTCCACTTACGGAAGCTATGGTTCAGCCCTCTGCGGAGTGGCTGTCTTCGGAGTCGCTTTCCTGGGCATGTACGTGGCCCTGAAGGAGTCCTACAAGTATTCCATATACGTGAGTAAGCTGTTCCTCTTTAAACTGGACAACATTTAAGTAATGTTCTTGCTCTAGTATCTGATTTTCAGTGGCCTGGTCATTGCCGCGCTGGGATCCTACCTGTTTGCCTTCACGGCGATGCGGGAACAGCTGATGGGCCAGTTTGCAGATCGTATGCGCGACCTGTTCGATCGGAAGACGAACAGCGACGATAAGATGCAGCCGGTGCACAGTTTATTTGGGTGCTGTGGGCTGGAGGGACCGCAGGACTATCTCGGCGAGGAGCAAGGCGCTCTGCCCAGCAGCTGCTGTTATGCCTTTGATTGCTCCAAGCCGGCCCATGTCTACGAGGAGGGCTGCTCCACTAAGGCGGCTGCAAATCTAAGGATGCAGGCGGACCTCAACTACTACAGCTGCATGGCCATCATTGTTTTGGAGGTGAGGAATGCTTAGACTGAAAAGATATATATTTTTATGAGATTATAATGTTCGAATTTCGTTCTGTTTTTCATTTTGAGTCAGAGTCATTTTTGGCGCCATTTCTGGTTTCTTTCTTATTTGAATTTCGACAATATTTAACTACGCCGGTATTCGGTGTCTTACCTCATTTAATATTTTCTTGAATGATGTCAGATGTTTGCCAAACAAGGAACAGCGCTACAGCCTGATTGGTATTGAATTAATATAATTAAACGTACTAAATTTCTTAAAATTAATGATATTGCTCAGAAGTTTATAGTCCCATTGAAATTCAAAATCAGTTATGTATTTTATTTGCAGTTTTTGGGCCTGTTCACTGCCTACAATTTGGGCAAAGCTCGCAAGTATGCCAAAACCAAGATAAAGGACGAGGAGACCCCCATCAACGACTGATGGCCGAGGACACCCCAGCATGAATATTGCTAAAAAAAAAAGTTAACCAAATTAGCTAAATTGCCATTAGAAATAAATACTTTCCATAGCCTAAACGAGTTCTTAGCATTTTGATTTCTCACCCAAAGAATTCATCGGTCAAGAGCGAAGAATGGAAAAAGAGAGAGAAGATCGGGTCTTTATCTCTTTCTCTGTCGGCGGAATATTTCAATTTCAAATTCATTGTCATTCCGAACTTCGGGCTGGTTGGTTTGTTCTTCCAGTCGATTCTTCTTTTCGCGTTTTTCAGTCTTGAACAGCTAAGTTAAAGCACAAAGATGGGTTGGACTTCCGGTTGTGTTAAGTGTTTCCTTAACACACTCAATACCCTGAATGCGGTAAGTTGTGGCATAAATATACTATTATTAGTTTATTTAAATAAGTTTAAGTTTTAATAGATTCTGCTATTAAGCAAGTAAGAAACATACTTTTTAAAGTTTTGTTTGATAAATACCAGTTTTTATTGCAAATACGAATGTTAATGGCTTATATGTGTATTCCCAAAAGAGTTTATATTTCAAAAAGAGCTTTAAAGTCGATTGCCTCGAATATCAGGTACCCGTTACTTTCTGCACCGACGTTAAAAATAAATTGCTACCAATAGATAGCGTCATTTGCTGGAGCTTAAAGTCATTTTAGTAACGCAAGGTTTTTAGATTCAAATACCTAAAAACTTAAATTATTGATATATTTCGTACAACAAAACACCAAACACTAGGTCATTATATTTAAAATATTAATTAGTAGAAAAATATTAAAATATTAATAAAAATCAGTGGACTTAACTATAATATATATCAGAATATTCAGGAAAAATGTACTTTATTGGCTTCAAAATACTTCTGAAAATCCTATTTTAAACCTTTCAACAAGTGCAACAAGTGCCCTTAACCACATGAATAAGGGGAATAATATATAATATTATATTCCCAATAGGATTTAAATTCATGCATATTTGCAATCTCTTGACAATCAGGCTCCCATTCCGGTTTCACAGAATCGATAAGTTATTCAGGCACTGAATGTTAAATATATATATTTTTTCGGTTGTCAGATATGAAACACATTTGGCGTACTTCAATAATTACCCCCAAATACATTCCTCTAGCCTCCATTTTGTTTGATCTAAAAATGCTTTACGACTTTACCATATGTTGCAAAATTGATCACATTTGCATGAGAATACCTGGGAATGTTGAAACAAGATTTCTTGTTTCACAAAACTTGTTTTAAGCTTATATTGTTATTTGACTTTGATTTAGGATTAAAATGTAATTCGTAAGCAATGGTTGTTGGAAACAATGAACAGAGTTAAATGTTGTTAGCATTATGTCTTATATTCTTGTTTATAACAATATTTTCTGAAATGTATTTTAAGAAATCTTTTAATAATTAATCATTTTAAGAAATGACTCATACAAATAGCAGTCTACTCGAGTAGAGTCAATGGCATTACCTAGCGTTGTCGTTACCGAAAAGCTAATCTAAACTGCCTTTCTTGACCCTTCGATACCCTTACAGCTTTCAGGTCTTTCCCTGATAGCCATCGCCACGTTAGCCCTCTCGAAAGCCCCTCTCGCGTACATCGTGTTCCTATATGGACTCGGTGGCATTATCTTTGTGTCGGCTATTCTCGGATGCTGTGGAATCTGCCAGGAGAACGTGTGCATGACCGCAACGGTGAGTGCAAGACGCTCTCCAATCTTCTCCGTTAATAATTTACTGATATTGCTATTTGTGTGCGAAATGCCAATACAGTATGGTTTTCTACTGTTGGGTCAGCTGATTATCAGCTTGCTGGGCATCTTCGGATTCAGGTTTAGCGAGGAGTACATAGAGAAGTTCGCCGCCGAGGAGGTTCAGATGAAATGGAACGAGGAGCTGGTGGCACCTGGCGCAATGGATATTTACCAACAAGTGGTTCGTATTTAAGGTCCATTGGTTTTTTATATCCTCGAAATAATCTTCCTAATTTTTCAGTATGAGTGTTGCGGACGTGACAGCCCCGACGACTATGTGGCCATCGGTCGTAAAACCTTACCCTCAAGCTGTTATCCCCATTCAGACACTCAGAAGCTCCACTATACCACTGGATGTGTCCAGAAGTCCAGCCAGAACTTTGTGACGATTTTCAACTACGCCAACGACACCAACTGGGTAGCAGTGGGCATCACCGTAAGTTGGATTAAGAGTCTCTGATACTTTAGGGAGCTAATCGGTTTAGTTTTCTGCAGGTTCTGATGGTGATTGCTGCCTTCTATTTGGTCGGACGATTCCGCAAGCAGCGCATTCGCTACAGTTACTAAATACTTTTTTTTTTTAATAAAATACGATACAGATTTAACTGGACAAATAACGCTTTTGACACATAAAATATTTGTAATAATTTTACTGTTCAATATATTTAGAGGGTTATTGGAGAGTTCAGCAGAATAACAATATTTGTATATACACGATTTTGAATACCGCAGATGAATTCAATATTTTCATTAATTAAATAGAGCCCGATCCCAGTAGATTGATTTGCAATCTCGATGGTCATACTGAAACTCTAAGAGGGTATCAGAATCTCTTTTTCTTGTTTACATTTATAGGTCAAAACTTTTTGAGAGCAGAACAACCACAGTGATCCGTTTACCCATCTGTTTTGGGATTCTTTGATCTTAGGTTTCTATTGTAGAAGATACAATTCTCCTCCCTTCATCGAAGTCTGAGCTAATTCCCCGATTTGCCGCTGACGCAATCGAGTTGAATCAATCTCACTGAGCTTAATGCGATCGCCTGTAGATTGTTAGAAAAGGGGTTTCTGAACAGACCCTACTCTCCGATATGGGACATCTGGCACATAGAGCTCACCCTCAACTTCAATATCGTCTCAGTTCTGCCAAGCATAACCAGCTCCGCTCTACGAGCTTTTCCCTCCTGACTTTCTGTTTGTTTGGCTTCCGAACGACAACAACACACAGCAATAGAGTTTGTTCCCCGCCTAAATTTTGTTTTGCTCTTGCTCTTTGACTTTGCTCAAAGTGTTTACTTACTGAGAGTACAGTCAAGTCTCCCTAAGTTGATTTTAAATTAAAAAGAAATGAAATGTTAATTTTTGTCATTTACAAAGAACATTTTCGTTTGGTCTTACCTTGATTAAAAATATATATCTTTTGGTTAACATTTCATAATTATTACCTACAATTTTACCATTTTAGTGTTGGCTGTACAAATTTACGCATGCTTAACTGTTTGTCATTGTGTGCTCCTCGGCTGTTTTTGTTTACTTCGACAGATGTTACAGCACTGTGGGTCAAAATACACATTCTTACGGCAAAAATGATTACTTGTTTAGCGAATATGTGACTAAACAAGTATGACACTTTTTGTTTTTTAGTGATTAGTCTTATCGTTTATTAGCTTTTTACCAAATTTTTTTTTCATGTTTTAAAAAGCGATGTTGTATTAATATATTGAACTTGAATATTAAACAGAAAATGTTTGCGATTGCGCCACAGTGAGTTGGTGGTGGCTTTGGTCTTCGGGCCGATCGACTTGGTTCGGGTTTTGAGCGAGAGAGTTTCTCTGGGAACTCAGTTTGCTTGTGACCGCGGAGGTAGAAGTCTGCACTCTTTAGCTGATTTTGTCTGTTGCCGCCGCCCTAAACTCGAAATTTTAAAAAGTTGCCGCAACTCAGATAGCTGCCGCACGTGTTGCTTTCCTCCTCGATTGCATTCTCGCTGAACTCTGAAGTTTAAAGTTCTTAAATAAATAAAAAAAATAAAAAAAATGGGTTGCGCAACAGGCTCTATAAAGTACTCGCTGTTCCTTTTCAATGCCTTATGGGCGGTAAGTAGAGCACAAATTTGGAATCGGAATTTGCATATGGAATTCTATGTGGCAAATGATTCGTGGTATATACCTCGCCTGTACACATAGCCGGATAATTGCGTCTGAAATGTTGATGTTTGGAGAGTTTCAATGTTTGGGGCTCTATGTTCTGAGGCAGTTCGACAGTTCGTACACCTGGTCAGTGGATGATGATATCATCTGAGTGCGTGTTTGGTTTATGACTACATTTCGCAGCTCTCCGTGTTTGCTAGCCAGTGTCTATTGTTAATGGCTTCAGGTCGGCATATGAGCTCCTTGAGCCAAGAGGAGAGCTTTGGCAGTCAAGCGGTGAAACGAGACTGTCTAAATGCGTCATGAATACCAACTTGGCTACAAAAGCTAATACGAACCGAATATGGAAACCGGATTAATCAGCCGTTATGACAATCGCGATGAAATAGTCTTAAATTAGTCTATTACTATTTATAAAAACGTTTTTCGCCCTTCTCAAGGCCACAAAAGTCACATACATTTTTTTATTTTGATTAATCTCAGAAAAAAAACCACTAAACTAAAAGAAAAAGATAAGAGTCATGGAGTATATCAAAGTATGTGGTTTTAATTATAAAAAATATTAGAACTTATGAAACTTGATAAACCATCTGTTACAGGGTTCTTTCAATTATTACTTAGTATGTGCCATTATTAACGTAGATATTAGTAACGCCCCCAATAAATAATCTCCCATATACCAGTATTGGTATATGAACTGCCTAATAAAGCGTATTTATTCTTCTACTTATTTAATATATTTCCACAATATTTTAGATAATTGGCATCCTCGTCCTTATTCTTGGCGGCCTCGGCTGGGGAGCTATTCCGGAGGCGTATGCCATAGGCACCCTGGTCTTGGGTGGAACTATTCTGGTGACATCCCTGTTCGGATGCTGCGGAGCTGTTCGTGAATCACCGAGGATTCTGTGGACTGTAAGTTATGCAATTGTATGAGATACCGAATGAGTAACTATCCTGGATTTCCCTTTAGTATGTGTCACTCCTACTAGTTTTGCTACTGCTCATCGTGGCTTATATCATCCTGAATCCTACAGGCGTGTTCAAGAACTATGCTCTCCAACTGGTAGAGAAAAATTGGGAGCTGGAGCAGACCCAGCCTGGCAGTATGGATTTAACTCAAAGCACCGTAAGATATATTTTCTTACTAACAGACATGGATAAATGTAAATTAGCTAAAGAAGTAACTTTCTTTTATACTTATATGTGGTAGAAATATTTAGAAACAAATTGAAAACGAATCTTATAAGATCCTTAATTCACTTTTAAAACGTCTTTTTACAGTATAATTTGCTTAGCTTTTGCACGCAACTTCGACGCAGCTATCTTAAAAATGCAGCTATCTTAATTTTAATTTTTGAACAAAAAAAAAGTTTACCTATAGCTCAAATATCTTTTACAACTTAATTGGAGAAGTAGTTTTATTTCAATTTTATATTATATTAATATAAGCTGTCTGTATTAGCTCTATTAGCTTAGTAGGATGATTAAAAGCTTATTATTCATCTTTCTTATTATACAATTACCAAAGATAAATAGACATATGTTTAGAAAAGTTGAAATAATTACTAAATATGTTCATTGAAATAGCAATGCTACTGCATGGAAAATCATATTAAATTAGCAGCATGATGTATTTATTTTTCAATAATTTAGCATTTGTTTGACTTTCCTTATATCAAAATTATTGCAAATAATCTCAGGATATAGTCGCTTTCCTGTGTTTCAGGAATTAGCTCTTATAAGAAAGTGTTAGTGTTATATGCATATATATAAATATACACATATAAATATTGGTTATAGCAAAATCTGATGATTCATAGATAGGACCAATTAAATTCAGAAAAGATAATTTAATAATTTAACCTTAATTTCTTGATTTAATACAATTTGGTATTATTTATGGGATCCATTCCATTATTCAATGGCATTTTCTTGTTAAACAGTAATCCACATAAATGAAATGCTTTCAAATACCATTCTTCGCTTGATGATTAATTTCTATTTAATACCTTTCTTTCTCTTCAGTACCACTGCTGTGGACGCGAGAGTGCCCAGGACTACTTAAACATCAAGTACTGGAACAACACAGTGCCCAACAGCTGTTGCAAGGAAAACAGTTGCGTGAATCCCCTGAATCTCTACGTACAGGGCTGCCTTGCCAGAGTGGAGGAGTCCTTCTCGGATGAGGAGACCACATTGAGCTATTTGAAGTGGAGTTTGTTTGGCTTCAATGTGGGTGTTATATTAGCTTACACTCTTAAATGAGATTCTTATTAATTTGCCAATTTCTATTTTTCAGGCTGCCATTCTCTTGCTGGCCTTCCTCTTGGCCGTTCACTACACGAATCGCCAAAGACGATACAACTATTAGTTAAAAATTAAATTAATAAGAGATAAGTCACCTCAGTTTCTCATTTTTATACGTCACCAATGTACCTTTTCTTGGATCCACTTAATACAGCTTCACTTGCCAAGCAACCGAAGATGCCTTAAATATACACGAAAAGTCGTACGTGTTCTAATTTAATTTTACTTAATCCGTGTATTTTTGAAATATTATATATGTATGTAGTTGTGAAAGAAATGAAAGCCAAATATAAGCAAAATGTAACTAAAAATAAAAACATTATTTTGTAAAAGTTTTATATTTTTAGAAGGAAAGAAAGTGAAATTTATAATAATATTCATGATTTATGATTCCCTTAAGACCATCTTTAGATATTCAGAGAGGACTCCTGATAGAGGATTCTGGAGACTTAGATCAATATTTCTCACAATCAGTGATATTTTTCTCAATCAATGAATTATAATTGAAGTATATTTTAAAATAAATGATCATTGTGCTCAGTGAACTTGCTCATCCGTGTAAAGTGCCCTCCAGAAAGCTCTTCAAATCAATTGTGCAAGCGAAAGTCTGTAGTACGCATAATGACATAAAATGAAAACCAAAGCTGGAGACAAATGACGCCTCCTATATACTATACATACATATTCCAGTGGGAGGAATTGTGGAGTTTCGGGGGAATGGGGGCAGTGCTCGAACCCAGACATAACAACCATAAACAAACTCGTAAACAATGTGCTTTTGCAATCTCAAGAGAGGAGCAAGTGCCGAATGAGAGTCATGACTCTAGACTGGGGATTGAATTAGTCATCATCGAGTAAGCGTCGGCTAACAGTAAGCTTCAAAAATGTTAAATGTACTTATGTACACTTTGAGAAAATCCAATCGTTTTAGGTTTGATTAAATAGATTTAGGAATATAAAGGCCAGAAGAATATAAAGATATATAAGACCAAAAACCATATATATTGAGGCATCTATCTATGATTTAGTAATTTGAAGTAATTAAACCCACTAAACCATATTTTGATTTAACCCATCTCACATTTTAGCTTTTCTTGTAAACTTATTGTGACGTTAGTTTAAAAGTAAGACGAAATGCTTTTCTTGTTACTTCTGCTAACCTACTCTGTCAAATTCAAATAAGTTAATTAAATAAAATTGTGCCTTGCAAGCCAGTCTTGATCTTAACCGAAATCACTGCAATCTTACGAACAAACAGACGGACAGATGGACTAAAATCATTACCACTTTCTTTCTTTGTTGAGGAACCTTGAATGTACTTGATATCTTTTGATTGCTGTTTAACTGGATTTGATAGACTTATCATTGAAAATTTATAATTCTGCGGTTACATCATGTAATGCTAGTCGCTAACCACAGACTCTTAGTGCTGTTCATCACGACAAAACATATTGGTAACAAGAGAAAAACGGTAGCCCAGTAACGGAAATATGGTTTCCAATAGTGCTTTTCTTTCCTTATCCATTGCTACTTTTCCTAAAAATGGCTCTCTTTTACCTAAAACAATAGGTGATAAGCGATTTAATAAGCGATTATAATTATATTTTGTATTATTAATTTTCGATAATTTTTTATTCAAACTTTTATTATTATTTATTCCTGACTAATTTCGATATTAGAAATTTTAGACAGAAAACACTGAATTTAGAGTTTTATTGACGCTGAAAACGTTTTATTCGCGTACATAATCGATAATTTAAATATTTGTTTTTAATCAAATAAATTCAATCTTCCACTATTGCCAATATGTGCGCTACGGAAAGTTTAGCTATAACGAATACAAAAGCACCACTGAAGGTAGCCTGACGTCATGGCTTGGAGCGCTGACCTAAGTGCATCGCTCTCTCTTTCATGAGAGAGATTGTTTTATTTTGATTATGGGGAAAACAAACGACCAGGGGGCAAGAGAGCAACAAGAGTTTTCCCGCTTTCAGTTCGCCAGCGAACGCAGAACGTGCCAGACCGAAAAAGTTGAGTTTCGAGAGCGGATATCCCGGGCTAGTGTAGAACGGAAATTTATTCGGCTGTTAATTCAAAATCCAGAAAGGAAAACAAATAAACAAAGCAAACTTAATTCGTGTGCGGAGGAGAAGTCAAAAGGTTAACAGACTTTCATTTGGGAAGCGATCGAGTGTTTTTGGATACTTGACTTTGATGCACTTGGAACTTGTTTTTCAGATCCACAAACATGGGCTGTGCCACGACCAGCATCAAGATCGCCTCCATCGTTCTGAATGTCATTCTAGGGGTAAGTCATCTCGTACATGGATTACTAATTACCTCGACCACGTCGGATATATGGTCGGAATACAAATATATCCATGTTTCGGGCAAGGAAATTAGCGTGATGTCATGTGGAACGGGTGCACGAGTAAACGCACTTCAAAAGAGCCTCCAAATGAATTATTTTTGAAATATTCTATATCATATACGAGGAGACCTCAAGAGCACACGGTTCGAAAGAGAATGTTTTTGAAAATGTTTTCAGTCGGCTGGGTGTGTATTTTTAAGCGACGTCTGTCATTTGTCCATTTCATGCTCACCTGAGATGGACGGTCTGGCCTCAAGGTGGCCACTGGCTACACCAGCTCCTCCTCTGTGACCATCCGCCCGCCCGTCTGCTATTCTAGTTTTCTGGTTGCCATGACAATCGTGTTTACATTTTGGCCTATTCCCTGCTGGCCGACTTCCTTCAGAACCTTCAATTGCTCTAATTTCCGCTCCCGCAGGATGATGTCATGCCCCCACGTACCCACGACCAATATTCGCACTCTGGTTTACACTCTGACCCATATAGCGAAATCGAATCACTGGAGTTCCAGGCAGGGAGGGTCCCCACCAAACTGGGGCACGAACAAGGGTGCTTCATCAACCCCCAAAGGGGGTCGGATTTCGGGTGATTCCGGGGGAGGGTTCATTACATTATCACAGCTCAGTCAGGCAAACTTCCCGAACGACAAATTATGTGATGCACTCAGCTGTGGCTCTTAATTGCCACACAAATGAATGGCAATTGCCCTTGCAACTGAAACTGCAATCATATCATATGCCACAGTCGATCTTCTCTAACACCATACATTTTTCATATAGAAATATTAAGATTAAAAGAGAGCAAGACTATATCATCACTTAAAGTTAAGTAGCTGAAATGGTCTTATAAAGATGCAATTTATCAATATTATAACCTAATAAAATGTTGTAGTAAAACTTTAATTAATTAAGTTAATTTATAAACCCATAAAAAGCATCTGCCCTACAGAGGTTTCACTGTTATTCATTTCAGTTTCTGGCTGTCGGAGCTATAGGATGGATTGCTTATAATGCGGATATGGAGACCCAAGAATTCGTCATAGCTGGCTACATAGCGTGCTCGGTCATCCTGCTCTTTGCTTTTCTGGGCATCTTCGCGGCTGTCCGGGAATCGGTGGCACTGACGACGACGGTAAGAAAATTTCATGCAGGAACTGAACTTCAACTTAACATAGTATCTACTCCTCAGAGTGCCGTGTTCCTGCTTATTCTAGCCATCATACAGATCGTAAGCACCTGCCTGTTCCTACATCAATACGAAGTGAAGAACGGCCAGGAGGCGGTGGAGCTGGCCTGGCAGGCGAACAATATGGATGCAATACAGCAGAAGCACGAGTGCTGCGGCAAGAGCAGCGCCCAGGATTACATCAACCTATCGCAGATTATTCCTCCCAGCTGTTACGCTGATCTGCAGCAGTCTCCTGACCATTTGTACGTGGAAGGATGCGTCGAAAAGCTGCAGGACTTTTACGAGAGCGACAAGCAGCGCTTCCTCATCATTTCCTGGGTCCTAGTGGCCTTCGAGGTGGGTTTACCTTAGCCAGTTTAAAGGCCAATATGTCTGAATATCTTGTCTTACCCTTTCAGTTAATCTGTTTTGCCTTGGCCGTGTTTCTGGCAATAAGTTTTAAGAACAAACAGCGGCGCATGGAGTTCTAGGCCTTCGGGAAACGTGGCCTAATCCCACAGTGTAATCCAAAGAAGGAATTGTGGTCTCATTGGTATTTCTCGCTTGGACGTCTCATAACCAAAAGTAATGGACAGTCATAATTTATTCACTCCTACCTTAAAGCTACCTGTAATTAAAGTACATATTTATAGTTCAATTACACATTATAAGTATCCTAATAAATGTGCGCGATGTTTGTTTTCACATGACTCGCCGCTTGGCAGTTTGTTTATTTGTTTGGGGTGATGGAAATATTAAGCATACGACGCATGGTCCCGACGAGCTTTGAATAGCCAAAACTTTTGTTTTCTTCGGGGCTCAGGCCCCTACAACTTGTTGCTCGTCGCGTAATGTGCGAAATGTTTGGCATATTTGCAGGCGAATGAGTTTTCCGCCTATAAATCCCTCAACGATGTCCTTTCATCCACAATATTTTCCTGCGCACTCCGATGAATGAAAGCTTCCCCTACCATTTTCCAAATTACGAATAATAGCGATGAAAGCTTTCACTTCTGTGACATCATATCACCCACAAGAATTCACGACACAACTACATAGAGCAATGGCAATATTGATATAAATACACTTGCCAAAAGTTTGAGTTTTTTAGTGATTTATAGAGCTAATGGTATGGCAAAATAACAAATTATGGAACCCATTTGGACTTAATCCAATTTGAGTGTTGTTAAAATTAGGTCATGACTATATAGGATATTAAGTTTGACAAACAAAGAGATAAAAAGAAAATATGATACATAAGAAATATCGTTTATTAGCTGCAAAGTTAAAAAAGTAACTGATTAAAATGTTACTTTTTGACATCTGATTGAAATATCAATCTCAATGACTATTTTTTCATGTGTATAATCGTAAACCGCCACGGAATAGCTGATTTCTGTCGAGTGGCGGAACCCACTAACTGTCGCTTTCGGGGGCGCCACATTTTAAATAGAAAGCGCCGCGCTCAGTCGCACGTCAACGTTTATGGCAACCGGGCTGGCGGTCTATCCATTGTGGTGTTCGCTTATTCCGTGGTCAACGCATCGGGTTAACTGCGCAGCGGAAAACAGGTGCGGGGTATAAGGATAACGGGGCTACTAATTATAGGGATTATTGATTGGCAACATGGCCTGTCCCACATCGTTCCTGAAAGGCGTTCTTATCGTGCTTAATGTGCTGCTATCGGTGCGTATGAGTGACGGCAGCATAGGATCATAGGACATAGCATTAATCGATGGAACCAATGCCATTTGCCATTTATTGACAGCTGATTGGAGTGACTCTGATTGCCCTGTCCGTGTACGAGCTGAATAGCTCCACGCCGGGCACCTTCGAGCACATCGCCATCGTTGTTCAGATCTTCGTGGGCACCTTCGTCGTTCTGACCTCATTTCTGGGCTGTTTTGCCACGGCTCGGGTTTCCCTCGGACTCGTCTGGAGCGTAAGTTAGGAAAGTGAAGGGCTCTTACTGATTTCTAATCATTTTTCCTGTCAGTATGTGATTTGCCTGCTGATCCTGTTGTGCCTGCAGATCTACATCATCGCAGCCGCCCACTCTACGGACTATGTGGAGCGATCTAAGAAGGACTTCCTGGCCCTTTGGGCTGATCCTAAGGCAAATGCGGAACGCATATCAATCATTGAGCAAAAGGTAAACTATAATGTGCCACATCTATATATTCTCTTTATATTCATGTTAGCATCTATATAGTGATGTTAGCATCAAGAATCCACATAGTGGAGATATATAGTCATTCATAAATCTCACAAAGATCTACTATAACACATTGATGTATTTGGCAAACTTTTGTGAACACTCTAAGATTAATGGTTAAAATTTGTACAGTACTCTTGCTGCGGTCAGATGGGTTCCCACGACTACGTCCTGATGGGCAGGGGTATACCCATTAGCTGCTTCAAGGCGTTCGAGCGACTCGCTGAATACCTCTTTACCGATGGTTGCCTGCAGGCTGTGCAGGCTCATGCCACCGACAACGTGGCCATCGGACTCATCATCAAATGGCTGCTGTTGCTGGTGGAGGTATGTAGGTTCCATGTCAGCCTTGGCCACATATTTCCAAGGGACTTTGTGGCCAAGGGCGGGCCATATAAATAGACTTTAGATATATAGACAGAGGGCTCTAATCAAATTTCCCCCTTATCCCCGCACAGTTCGCAGCTCTGGGAGCCGCCACGCACTTGGGCATCACGGTGCGCAATAAATTGCGGCGCGAGAGATTCTAACAGGTCTCCTTGGGATCTCCGGAATCGGTTGTTGGCAACACATAAACCAATATGTATGGATTTTATAGCAGTTTAAGATGATCTGGAGGCAACAAAGGCGTAGAATAAAAAATAAACCAAAATTAAAACATTCGATAAGTGTTGTTTGTGCCCGCTATAGGCGAAATATAGGCGAAGCTGCTAGGTAGATATGTGTATATGCATATTCGCCTATAAAGATGAATATAAAAATATACGAAAAAATTTGATACACTTAAAAAAATGTTTCTAAATAGTGTTTGTCTTGGGATAACCTTTGTGTTTTTGAATTGAAAAAGAATTTACAAAATTGTTCAAAGATGGAGCTGCACTGTATAGGTAAAAGGTACATATGTACCCTACCTGACGGCTATTCGATCGATCTGCTTACAAAGATAAGATGGAGAATAAATATTTAGTGATGTTTTTAATTTTGCACTGAAAAAGAACAATCTTCTTTAGTAATTTTTAGTTTTCTTCTCACCTCCTCATTCCAGTCGCCAACTGCCATATAATTTTTTCTTGTTTTTTTCCTGGAACTTCCTCGAACGCTTGCACGGGAAATCTCTCTATAACTTCTGTTCCTGTTTATGAATTCGTTAGAAAAAAAAGTTTCTCTCGCTTTCTTTTATATGTATGTGTAAGTAAATGTTCTGCCGTAGACCCCTGCATTAGAGTTATTCCTACTATTTAATTAAACTCGGTCACACTGCAGAATAAAATTTATGAAAATTGTGCTTAAATATAATAAAGCAAAATGATTTTACATTTTTATTAAATATATGAAAACTATTTGCATTAACTAATGAATTAAATCATTCTTCTTTTTCTTACGCATTCAACACCAAAGGACAACTTGGCGTTATCTTTTATGTGTTCTCGGTCACATACAAAGAAACCCGGAGTTTTTATGTAATACCTCTTTTAATTGGAATTCAGCAATTTCAGCATACCAAGGCAGACTGGAGTCGAATCTTCTAGATAAGCGACTTTGAAAGACATAGCCACAGAGAGCGACGATTTTACGGGTTTTCAATCTCCAGAACCGACTTGGAATTCAGCAAACTGCAAAAAGTTTTCAATCGCCCATCCTCTAACACCGGGGAAAATCCGGATCAGCAGGATGCGACAGACTTTTAAAAGCCTTTCTACCAGTCGGCAGACCAGCACACGAGAATCGGGATCAATTGCTGTCCAGAATGGGACCAGACGACGCAAAAATGCTAATCGGAAAAGCAGAACCAAGAAGATGGAAAAAGAGACCCGTCGGCTACAAAAACATCCGCGGAGGCTCAAACCCAAGCTAGCGTTTTTCCAGGTTATTAATATTTTAATTGTGAAAAACACATATGTATGTCTATTGTAATAGTAAAATGTAGTTTTTCCCCAGCTGTCCTTTAAATAATACATTTTCGAATATAACTTTAAGACATTTTATATTCCTGACTAAAAAAATATGAACATATATATTATATATAGTAAAATTTCTCTGAAAATTTGTTAGGACAATGTTCTCTGTAGAAATATTCAAGTAAATTAGTTTCGCAATTTATATTTCTTATTTTAATTAACAAATTTGCTTATGAAATAAATACCTAACTTTTAGTTCCTATAAATTATTTGTTTATTTTCAAAGTGTAAATTATAGTGTTTCGATCAATGTAGTGCGGAAGGGGTGGGGTTGGCGATGAGATCTGGTGAACGCCGGTCTCCTGAGTAACGACCGGCACACAAAACGCCGGAACGGAGACCGAGACGGACACGGACACGGACGGACGACTACTCGGGGGATTTGTAAACAGTTCGCAGCTTCTTAGCGATCGTTTTTTCGGCTTTCGCTTTAATTTGGCCCGATCCGACGGCACTAACAGTTCGGCCACCGCCACGCACAGTCGGTCGAGAGTGAAAAGCGGATTTTCCGGGAAACGCGTCCGCTGCCTGGAGTCACATCTTGAATGAGTGCTGAAAAACTGATAAAGTATAGAAAAACGCTGCTTGTGAAAATAGTAAAATGCCCACGGTTCGCGTGTGCTTGCAATGGACCTCTGTGGTCTTCAGTACAATTACGTTGGTAAGGGACTTCTTCTCAGAGTACGCCACGTATTACTCATCCAACCGCATCATAAAATTTCCATGATCCATCCTGGGGGAGAATAAATCAAAGGTCAAGCAGTCATTTCCACGACGCGTAGATAATTTCAATGCAACAGTTGTCAGTTTCCCTTCTTGAGTCACACGCTGCGTATGAGTAATGGACGCACTTGCTGATGGAGATCTTGATTCAATTTTGACTCTCTGGCAGTTTGTCAAAGCAAGATCATTAATGTCTTACATTCTGGTTAAATTTTTCATTGTCGATTGTAAAATTTTGTTGTGCTGCCCGAGTAGCTGGCCAATTTGGCAGCCAACAAATCCCAATCCGAATTTCCATATCCACCAGACAAGATGTCACTTGGCTCTCGTTCTCCCCAACTTTGTTGGCCAGGCGAATTTCGGCACAATCGAAGCGACAGCAACAAGAAAGGAAACTGTCTGTGTGCCATTTATAAATAAAGCCAAAAGTAATTTAATTTATTTTTGCGCCAGTTTTGTTTTTATTTTTGCTTATTCTCGCTGCCCGATGACGTTGTCCGCGAGGCGAAAGATTGTCTCTGAAGATTTTGTTTGCCCATTTCTTGGGCCATTAACAAACGCTTAATGTGCGCAGGCATAATTCATAATTTTAATATCGATCCAGATCGTTGGCATCCTGGCGGCCCTGGCCGGTGTCTATGAGCTGGAAAAATACGATGAGGGCTCCGCGGAGCACTTGGAAAAGTTCGTCCAACTGGGCATGGCAGGCGCTTTGATCTTGGCCGGACTGATCGGCTGTCTGGGCGCTATCCTTGGTTCCATCAAGGTGATGGTGTTGGTGAGTAGCGAAAGCAGATGATTTGTCGATTGATTGGAACTTCAAGTGGCCCGAGTTGCAGAACCTTGTTGTGCTTCTGATTCTGATAGTCTCACACATCTGGAAAGTGTCTCACTACAACGAGACCAAGCAGCTGGACGCCACGGAGGTATACGTTATGGATCTCTGGATGAAGGAGCTTGGCCACAACGGCGCTATGCAGAACTTGCAGCAGGAGGTGGGTTGCCCCTAGATCGCTGGGCGGTTATCTAAGCAATTATCTGCCTCATCTTTCAGTACGAGTGTTGTGGCGACAAGGGATTTTCCGATTACACGAGCCTGAACATGAAGGTTCCGCGCAGCTGTTTCCACACAAAGGACGGGCTTCATGCCCTTTATCCTTATGGGGAGGGCTGCATGGCTGCCGTGAAGAGAGCGTATCTAGAGATCTACCGGTACGAGAGGTTGGTCCACTGTGGGCTTATTGGCTACGAGGTGGGTAAAACTGTGTAACGCTTTTAGGAAACTATTCCTATTAGGTTGATTGGGCACACATGTGTAGATAATAGGAAAAACTATCTACAAATTCTGTTTTCCATTACAGGTAGTAGGCATCATCTTGGGCATCACCCTCTGCTGCCAGTTGACCAACAAGACTCGTCGCTACACCTACTGATTACCAATGACATTTATACATAAGCATTTGCCACTTGGATTTACAATAAACAACACATTTGATAAGATCTTAAATCAGGCATCGTTGAGTAGCTGAACCCGTGAGGCGGACACATGGTTGGAGCGCGGTTCTCGGCGCACACCTGGTGGCACCTGTCTGCGAGCGATACGTTGCCGTTGGCGGAGTCTGAAAAGCAGCACACTCAGCGCCACAGTCTGTAGAAGTATAAAGATCTGCGGGAGAGCGAAAAGGTTAAGAATTTTTCGAGAAACTGAAGTCCAGCGTAAAGGCAATTCCCCACCTCAAGGCCAACGATAGCCCACATGTAGACCTTATCGCGTTGCTGAATGTACCGCTGGCTATGGCTCAGCATCTGCAGGCAGCCGCTTGGATAGATCTGCTGGGCGGTGCCATTGGCAGTGGCCTGATAACAACTCGCTGGCACCAGCAAATGCAGGCGCTTGTAATCGTCGGAGCTATTGTAGCCGCAGCAGTGTTTTGAAGCCTCTAACTGCTGCATAAGCTCTGGTTCTTTGTCCAGACCATGCCATGCCAGTTCCAGTTGCTTCAAGGCGCCACCAGTGACCTTGATGGTCGGATTGTGGTAGTGGTGCAGCTGAAGGTACTCCGCGGCCAGAGCAATCAGTATGAACAGAGTAAACTGTGAATATAGAAAATAAATCAGAAATAGGGCTTCTCGATAAGATAATGCTTTTTCGTTTTTCGCTTACAATCACATTGACACAGAGCAAGTTGCAGACCATGCCGTAGCATCCGAACATCACAATCATACAAATGGTGCCACCCAGAACCAAACTCTTAACGAAGTAAGTGTGTTCCGGCGTATTGGGCTCTGCCACCTGCAACCCCAAACCTGCTCCACACATCACTCCTATGCCAAGTAGCTGAAAGTCCAAAGTTTATTAAGCGTACACACAAAGGAACCAGGATTCAGGCTTACCATATAAAGCAAATTGGAGAGCAGGCCCGTGAACTTGATTGTGTTATAGCAGCCGTTCATCGCGAGAATGCTGCAATCTGCGGTAGATGCGCCAAATTTAAATCAATTGCATTGGGACCCAGGGGCAGCGATAAGCCGTCCCAGAAACAGAAACAGATTACAGCGACACGTTCTACATTCGGTTGCTTTATTTAGGTGATATAAAAAAGTAAGTTCGAAGGTAGTACATCTAAAAATTGCCTAGGACTTGCTTAATAATTATGACGTAGATATAGCATATAGCATAGAGCTATGCTATATAGATCTATAGAGTCGCAATGCGTGGCGGAAGAAAAGCTTCCCCACGCATTCGGTTAGTGTTTAAAAACAATTCTTGTGGGTCTGTATCGGTGTACGGTTGATTAGTGAAGCCTGGTTCCACTGGCACTTATTCTTCCAATATCTTACATAAATTTTGATCTTTTCATTGAGAGAATTGAGAAGGTGTCAGTGGAATCGGGCTGCTGAACAGCTAGTCTGCAGGTGTATGGTGTTTGTGTGCCTGTGGGTTGGTTACTTGTTTACATAAACAAATCAACGAGTGAATTTCGTTAAACAATTTCAATAAATATCACAATGCGTTAAAGAGTTGCTGGCAGGGTTATTGGATATAATGTCCTGGCACTGGCATGGCACCCTTTACTCTACATGCGCCATGGCAACGGTATGAAGCCCCACTTCTGGGTGATGTCCTTGAAGTCGCACTCCATGCTAAGCACCACCTTCTCAACCTTCTGCAGGCGCGAATTGGTCGCCGCTTTTAGGGTTAGGCACAGCTTTGTGTCCCTGTGCGATATTTGTTGGGTCTATGGAGGAAGATTGTTATAATAATGATACTCTCAGAATGGTCAACCACTTACATCCATGTCGTAGGTCCACAATTGACTGGAGTCGGAAGCGCACTGCGCCAGCATTACGTTCGAAGTGGTAGCATTGCGGTTCTTCAGCATCTTGATTACGCCCAGCTTTGGCTGGCGGTAGGTCAGGCAAACGTTGTCGTTGGTCATGATCTGACCCTTGGGGGTAATAACAAACATGTCCATTGTTTGAGCATGGGATGTGCAGTCTCCTACGGTCACCGGAGATAACGAGGAACGCGGTACGTCTTCCTTGAGTGGCCGCAGACACTTGTCCCGCTCCAAATCGATCAACGCCAGCAACTCCTCTGCCTTGCTTTCGATCTCCTCAAACGCGCGCTTCCACTCTCGTGACAGAGCTCTTCCAGGAAGATTCTTCATGTGTTTGCTATAGGCCTGGGCGCACTCAGTCTCCCCATCAAGCCAGATGATCTTGCCGAAGAAACGATCTGGGGCCGGGAAGAAGTGCTCTGGCCAGATGTTCTCTAGATACCAGGAGAAGGGCTTGCACTGAAGCCTCTCCCTTAGCGCGACACGTTCCGTTACATTTACCTTGTCCTTGGACCCCAGTGACAGTCCGGAAGTGTAGAGCATCACAAAGTGCTGCCAATCGTCCATCCACACGGTTGCCGCTCTCGCCAAATTATCAGTGAGCACTTCACTCATGCCACCGGGAAAGGTGTACGGCGTGCTGCTGCGGAACACGTGACCCACGTGGGAGCAGGGACTGATCTCAACACGTCCGCCACACTGCCAGATGCGGAAGGACATCTCCACGTTTTCGCCACCCCAGACACGCATGTTGCTGTCGTAGGATCCCATTTCGTAAAAGTACTTGCGATCGATGGCGAAGAGTCCTCCGGCCATTCCGGGCGTGGCAATCGGGGCAGTGTTATCCTTGGTGCTGTTGCTCGTTGTCTGGCGTTTACGGTCCGAGGAGAACCAACGGAAACTTAGTTGCCAGTTGAATGCGCCCCAGTGGTTCTCAAACGTCTTCGTGTAACTGAAATTGTCATCCGAAATAATGTCGATCACCGGGCAGATAACCACCTGGCGGGATTCCTTGATGCGGGAAAGAAGTGGTTCCAGCCATCCCCGTGAGCATTCGCAGTGGGCGTCTAAAAAGGTCAGCACATCGCCGCGAGCCTGCTCGGCACCCAAAAGTCGGGCGGGTACCAAGCCACTGCGCTTCTTCATACGAAAGATCTTCGTCGGCACCGACAGAACCTTTACGTAGCTTTCCAACTGGCGTTTTAAATAGGCTTTGGAAGACAAATAGATAAATTATAGATTTAATGGAAGATGATTTTCATTAAACAAGGTGGTATACATAAAGATTTTCTAGTTTCGGCTTCTTTAGTTCCAAACATAAAAGCAGAAACGTAGAAATTGTCAATCAAACTAAGTTTTGGACTTTAACAATCTGAGCTCAACGTGAATCAACATATAATCCACTCAAAGCATTTTCACAGCGATACGTAATTGATAAGGCTGTTCCTTGTATTTTGCAAGATAACAATTTTATAATATGAATCATTCAAATAGTGTTTTTAACGAACAGAAAAAATTCACTTAATTCACGAGTAAAATGAAATTTGAATTGTTTATACAGTTTGTGAGGGTTCACTTGATGAAGTTTTAACTTAGTTGTTAATATTTTGATAAGCTTGATACATAAACCTTATTTATGAAACGAATAAACATACTCTGAGAATAACTATTATATTATAAATTTTTTAACTATTCAAACTTAAATCATTAGCTCGAAGGAATTGTCAGACTAAAAATGATATTTGGACTAGGCAAGATCAATAGGATCAATAACACTAATAACTCACAGCGATCGCTGGCATCGTCTACCAAGATAATTTCCTTCAGGAGGTGGCGAGGCGATCTGTTGATGACGCTGGTGATGGTGCGCAGGAGTACGGACCAGGCCTCGTTGTGGAAAACTATTATCACCGACGTACTGGGAAGACCGCTGGCATACTTTTTGTCCCGGCACCTGTACGGCATTACAAGTTCATTAAGAAATGATATTAACAGCATCGAGATTCTACTTACTCCGGTGTTCGGTAGTCCTTGAGAGTTCGGTTCAGCGGGATGCGATCACTGGCCAGCAGGTTGAAGCTGTTCAGCCGGAAGAAGCGCTGCATGCGAAAGCGGTCGCGCGGCGGCACCACAACTGGTCGCCCATCGGCACCTTCTCCATTGATGGGCTGGAACAGGTTGATGTTGTAATCGTCTGCAAGCGAGTGGATATTAATGCATTTCGACGTTGTGTCATTTGTGGGAAACTCTTTTATAGTTATTTTCCATCAAAGATGACTTGGTTAGATTTTGGTTGACCTAAGCTTGATTAGCTCCTGGGCATGGTGTCGTAAATTGGAAAGTACACTTTAAATTAAACTTGTCAGTTCTGGGTTTATAGTTAATTAGATGAGCTAATTTTTGTAAATCCTCTTTAATTCAGTTAATTCCACTGCAATCATAGGGGTCACGCCTTAGTTTTAAGTTGTAAAATGTCTAAATTGAAAAATTCAATTACGTTTTTTAAGCAATGTAAGGAGTGTCTAATTGAATATAAAATAATAAACTAGATAAGCATGACCCAAAAAAGTTCTGTTTACAATTATTGACAACTTAAGTTTAAAAGATAACGAGTTTAACTTATCTAAGATGAGAATAATTAATATATAAAAATAAACCTATAAAATATACATCCCTGCACTAGCTCTATTGATATAATATTGATTGATATTGATAACTAAGATAAAAGATCGAAAACGTTTTGATTACCCAAACGAACTACATTAAGTGACGGTGATCAAGTGGAACGATCTCACTCACCTGCAGTCATGTTGCCGAAGATGTCTCCCTTGCCGATGTAGTGGGCCACGATGTTTTTGCGCGGCCAGAGGGATCGCCGTCTGGGCGGTTTTGGATGACTGTGCGGGAAATCGGCGTAGAGCCAAGGCAGGCGGCGATCCACAAGAGCCAAGTGGACGGAGATGTGACAATGGTATTAAAACTTAGCATTTACAATGGGCCGCGCCGAATCACGCGAAGCGATGGCAAAACAAACAAGAGACCCAAATCAAATGCAAAGTGCCTCCGCAATCGAAACGCGGAGGCGAGGCACTCGAGTGGAACACTTGCATTTTGCAACTGGGGCCCCAAAGGGAAGTTGTGCAATCCGGAGTGGCACATCCTAATGGCTTACTTACCGCATCTCCGACTCTGAGCTCTGGATGCTGGTCACATAGAGGTTAATGCTGATGGCGAACATGAAGAACGCGAAGAAGAGCAGGAAGAGGTAGAGCAGCCATAGCTTCTTCAGCTGCTGGAACCGCAGACCCATCTCGAAGGCTTACAAATGGTAGTTCGTAGTTGGTAGCTAATGGTGCTTCTGGCCAAAACGGTGCGGTGTGAATGACCGATGCGATCGCCAGCTCTGTTTACTGCCAACTAATCAAGCTACTGTTGTTGTCCGACCGCTTTAGACACCGCTTCGAATCCAATCCAATCCAACGACTCCGCGGAACGTTCGCCAAAGAAATGCGGCGGCTCTGCTCCGGGGTCGCTTTAAATTCCAATCTGCAGGTGCGCGGTTGGTTGTTATGAATACATGGCGCTTGTTTCGATGTCACTCGTTTACTCAGCAATTGTGCAAATACGGCCAGAACATTTCATTCTCTTGCTTTCACCAGCACTTTTGACAACAATTTAAAGAACTAGTTGCGCGGAACTAGCAATGTAGTTGATGGCCCGATAGTCCAACTATTCTGTAGCCAGTTCTAGCTTTTAATAATTTAGATATTTCTTTATTTTGCCAAATGGATTTTTCTTATGTTTAAAATATTATGTGTTTTTTGTTTATAAATATTGTGATATTGTGGTAATTAGCTTACCACTTAAGATGTAAAATAAGATCACAAGATTTCTAACTCTAACTTCTAGCGACTTAAACGTAGGGTACAAATACGGCAGCACTGTCGTTGAACTGGTAAGAGTCAGCTGTTTTCCGATAGCTGTGGTGAAAACTTCAGCAATGGGCGCCTTTTGTTATCGAAATTAGCTGAGTTGAATAAGCAAAAATTAAAAACAATCATTTGAAATCCTAAAATATTGTTGTATTTGAGTATTTTAAGATTTAGGAACACATTTACTAAGTACATATATTTACTAATATTAAGTATAGACCAGCTTCTAGCGGTAAAGACGACGTCTCTGCGCGTTCTGTAGGGTTATGGCCAGAAGTCCGGCGAAGATGACGGTGAGTATCTGACGAATATTAGAAATTGTTAGTTTGAAGGTCAGTCTTAAGATAAGTAATTAATTTACCTCCACACCCACCACAGACCAATCACTGATACGCTCGTAGCGAGTACCCTTGATGTAGGCCGCAGCCAGTTTCTTATCACATCCTTCGGTGTAGAGATCCGTGCTCACCGTCGCATTCTGGTTGAAGTAGCAACTCTGGGGAACTCGCAGGCCGCTGTCCGGATAGTCTTTGGGCCCCGTCTTTCCGCAGCAGTGATACTAAACGGGAAATCGGTTAATATTTACGTAAACATAGATAGCAGGTTTGCAAATTAGGTCCGATAAAATGTCACAAATTGATAATGATAAATTCCTGATTATTTTACATTTCCTTGGAAAAGATCTTAGTACAAGTCACTAGCCTAATATAACTCACCTTGATCTCGTAGAAGGACATGCTGCCCTGGTGATACAGTTGACCTTGCCAGGCGTCGTATATCGTCTCGTTAGCCAGGAGTTCAAAGTTGATGGGTTGCGCGAAGATCACAGTGATCTGTCCGAAGATCAGGGCTAACATGACCACGGCATACTTTCAGGCGAAAAGAGAAGTATGCTACTTAGCATATTGGAGGTCAATTGTATGTTTGGAGTACTCACGATCCAGGTCATTCGGATGCTCTCTTTTAGTGCAGCAATGCAGCCAAAGATCGTGCTGAAGAAGAGCAGGGCTCCAAGGACAATCCCCAAGATGCATGGCACCCGGATGGCCATGCTGTGGCTAAATGCGATCAGGGCATAGGAACATGCCGCGATGGTCAGTGCCGCCAAAACCTGAAAGTGTGAGAGAGTTTTCAATATACAAAGACGTTATCTGTTGGGGATTTAGCGATAAGAACTTACACAGCACAGAAAATCCAAAACGAAGGATGACACCTTCAAGGTTTTAGTTCCGCAACTCATTTCGCTAGATCTGCTAGTCTTCGCTGCGCTTGCTATCGGAAATCAACTGAAAGGCAGTGCCCAAAACCAAACGCCAAACACCCAGTCCAATGGGGCTTAGAGCTATCAGAAAGCGGCCTGATAAGGCTCTCCGCAATCAGCTGGGCCCGCAGCTTTTCACGAGCGGAGAGGCCAACTGCCTTGCCTCATTATTGTGTTTTATAAGCACTTGAGCTTAGAAATTCGATCGATATTCGTTTACTCGCTGTGGGAATGTGCAAAAGTCTGATTCAGGTGGACACTTTTGGCAAAAAGGGTTCAAGTATGAGCAACAGGTAGTAAATAAATTACTTATTCATAGAGAAAACAAAGTATTAGCTACTGTTTACTGAACGACTAACAAATAGTACTAAATTATCGCACAGATATATATATGTTCCCCTAGAACGAACTGAATGCAATGAAGATAAGTTTGTAGGTGAGAACTTATTAGCTTATCAGATATGGGGCACCTGCTCTGGCTAAATTCATGGCCATTTCCAAGAGAGGGAAACTTATTTGATCTCGAGAAACAGTTGAGAGCAACACCTTTTGTTAGAAGTACAAAAAATAAATACCAAATATTTATATTTATTTTTAAAAAGACGTTGTAAGGGGTGGTTGTTGCCAGAAGAAGTAGGTTAACTGAAACAGATTAAAAAATATGATTTACATAAACTGATTTTGTAATCAAATATAAGGAGTTTTACTAGCTATCAACTAAATCATCAACTTTACTTTAAAATGTGTAAAGCAATTTCACTTTTCTCAGTGTATTCTCACACTTGATTGCAAACACAAACGAAACCCAATCGACGATCGTATTTGTCCAGCCAGTTAGTATAGCCATAGCCTTCTAGGAGTAGACTTCGGTACCAAAGTCAGGAATATATATACGGAATATAGAGCACGCGTCGGTTGAACTTACATATTAGCCATGGCTTGGTCGCCGCTGATGATTAAGTACCTAGCATTCCTGTTTAATTTTCTCTGCGCGGTGAGTTGTGATAAGCCAAAAAGGGAATATTTGGCCAAGCTGATACGAAAAAGTTATTCATTATCTTGGTTGCCAGTGTTGTTTCTATCTTTTAACTGAAAAAAAGTTATAAATCAAAATAAAAGTGTCTAATCTGGAATTTAGAAACATTTTCAACCAAGGAAAAATGAAGCAATAAAGTGGTTTACAGTTTTCAACCTTTTTTGTGCTATAAACTTGTTCATATTGTTAGTTGAATGAAGTGATAGATGTGAATATTACAAATATATTATTAATCATATGGCTTAACAAAAGATATAAGCTTTGCTCAATGTGTTAATTTGTGTTTACCTGAAGTCTGCGTTTACTGGCTAATCAGAATCAGTTAGCGGACTCACTTCAAACTTGACACACTTTTTATACCCGTTACTCGAAGAGTAAAAGGGTATACTAGATTCGTTGAAAAGTATGTAACAGATAGAAAGAAGCGTTTCCGACCATGTAATACCATGTATATTCTTGATCACGATTAATAGCGAAGTCGATTGAGCCATGTCTGTCTGTCCGTCCGACCGTCCGTATGAACGCTGAGATCTCAGGAACTGTCCACACCCACCCATATCTAGCCCCGCACACCCTAACATCTTGGGTAATTTCCACTAGCAAAATGAATATTTTAAATTTGTGTAAAACAGTAACGGGTATCTTATAGTCGCGGCACTCGACTATAGCGTTTCCTCTTGTTATAAATAAGAGGGTCTTGGGCTTTTTCTATGACTAATTTTTGTTAAAAATAAAAGTTTTATTTAATAAAACTGATTGCTAAAATTAAAAGATATTTGTAAAGCGCTAATAAGTCATAACTTATCATACAATGTAAGTCATTCAGGTTTTCTTTTTAAGTGATATCTGTGGCAAACTGATTTGGTTAAAATGATGTATGAGAGTAGGTTTAGGTTAATATTTTAAAATATAATCGATGGGTGTATCAAATAGTATTTAGTCTTTTAGCAGGAAGTAGTAAGGAATATGTAAGGAATGTTTAGCAATAAACAAGGACCAAGATTGGATGTCAATTTTGAACTCAGTGAAAGCAAATTCCCGATCCTACAAAGTCTTTTTAGTTCTATTCAGCGTTTTTGGGTAACTTTATACAGCCAAGCTCGTGTGTCTATGTAGTTTTGAAAGTTTTCCACTGGTCTATGAAAATTTGTTGGTTGCTGATACCTACTTATACTCAAATAAATCCTTCACTTGCCATAGGAGCTATGAAGTTTAACTTAAAATTGATTTGTTTCCATTTTTAAAGTATTTTCGTACTGTAAAAGTTTTTACAATAAACTTTTTAAGTCGTATTTTACTTGTTAATTTACCATTTTAATGTTCTTAATGTTTGAGTTAAAATGTAGAGTCGATCGGTTGATATATTTAATAGATTCATGCCTAGGATCTGCAGCAGTATTAAAAGATTTTTCTAAGAGAGCTTGATTAAAGGAATTTTCTTTATAGATTTTGTATTTGATATATGAATATGATAATATAAAAAACATCATAATATTTAGGTGCTGGGAATCGCCACTATCGTGATCAATGTAATAGCAATTGACAAAATAGCCCCAAAGGACCAACTCATTCTGGGCATGTACATCGCCGTCGGTTCGATCGTCTTCTTGCTGTCCTTCTTTGGCTGTTATGGAGCCGTAAAGGAGAGCATCTGCGTAACTTGGTCGGTGGGTATTTATTAATTAAGAGGTATTTCACAAATTTTCATGAGTTCTATTTTCAATTTAGTACGCCATCTCGATGCTGGTCATGCTGATTATCTCGATAGTCCTGCTCTTCGTTTTCCGCATGCATTTCGATGAGGCCTCCCTCACCAAATTGCAACAGGCCTTTGGAAAGCAGACGAATACTTACGATGCAATGGCTGAGTACCAAAAGCAAGTAAGAAAATGCATAAATTATATTGGATAATACATCATTTTGCATATTTTTAAGTAAATTATTGAAAAGGTTTATCATTTATGTAAAACAAGCCTTGGTTTTGTCTGCTGGTAAAAGTAAAAGGTCAGCAGTCAACTTTCTTGTTTTCAACTTGAGAATTCATATATGATATGATATGATTTCTTAAATCATGTATCAAGAATGCTGTAGACTGCGTCTCGGAACTGTGACATTAAGAAGACTTTGGCAGACCTTTAGATGTATATCAGACAAACTGACCTTTAATATAATATCCAGTTCTTACTATAAACCATTAAATACTACTAAAAATGTATAAACTTTTATGTTGATAAACTTCTAGATAAAACTTGGTAATCCCAGACATTAAATCTTAAGAAATCACAGACTTATAAGATCCATATCTTTCAGTTAACTGGACTTAACATATAACTTTGAATCCTTTTACTTTTTCCAGTACAAATGCTGTGGCATCTATAAACTTAAGGACTACTTAGATGCCTCTCTAACCGTTCCGAGTAGCTGCTATGATGAAAATGATTTCCTCTACAAAGATGGATGCCTAACCGAAATGGAGACCCATCACGAGGAGCTTTTAAAGGGTCCAAAGATGGTCGGCTGGATGCTAATGGTCATTGAGGTTAGCTTTTCCCTTAATTTGTATTTATTATAAATTTTATTTTTTCAATTCCCTTATAGATCGGTGCTTTTACTTTCACCACCATCTTGGGCGTTACTTTTCGGAACGAACAGCGACGCTCTGCCTACTGAAGAATCTTAGCAATATAGAAGTGTTTGTAAATATATGTTTATAGTGGTTAAGCAAATGTAATGATCCGCTCTTTTGATACCTAAATATAAAGTTATTATAGAAACTAGGAAAATGTATTTCTTAAAGGTGTTATCAGCTTTGTGTTTGTCGAAATAACTGAAAAATTAAAATCTATAAAAAGATAACGAAAAACCTTTAATTTATGCTTTTGAATTAGAACAGAATTTTGACAGCTAAATTATTTAACTGTTGAACATAAGAATGCAAATTTCTACATTATTGGGAGGAATTCAAAAATGTTTTCTGCCTAGAGGAGCATCTTTGAGCATTTTTAATATCAGAAAACATATTTTGTTTTTCCAATTTTTAAGTCATTTGTGCTTGGGATTTATCATTTCATATTTTAGAAAACTTTTAAGCCATTACCATAAGAAATATTCCAAATATTTTAGATTTAATGAAAAGCACCAAAAATGGTTTTTAACATTTGGTTAGCTGTTTTAAATTCTTGATTATGTTTTCATTTAATTCCGAACTTGTGGGTGAAAAATGGAAAAAATCTGCATAAAGGTAATATATTTTTTATAGATCATTTGCTTTACGATTTGTGCAATCTTGTTCTCATCGTAGATGTTAAAAATTTGACGATTTATGAAGAAAAGTACTTTATTAGGAAAGATATTGCCGGATAAGAATTATGATTCTATGATTCTATGATGAATCTTGAAATACTTAAGATTTGGCCTCGGATCTGTTGATTTCTAAGCTGGTAAGACACTTTCTCTCCGTGTATCCCAAAAACCTATTCTGTTCGCGCCTCGCAAGTATTTAGAAGCTATTTGGTTTGCATGCGGCGCGTCGACAGTTGGCAACCTACGATTTTAATTGCCGAACTGTCTGGCGGAGTCAGGCGATGTGTGTGTGTGTGTGTGGGCGAGATGTGCCTTCACCGGGTTGCAAATTACTCAAAATAAACACAATTTAGAATACATTGGCACACATTTGCCCCGGCTGTTCCCCGGTGCTGGAAATTGCCTCTGAGTTGTCCTTAGACATGCTAACTCAAATCAAATTGCAGCCGAGCGGAGCAGAGCTAACGAGTGACATGAAGTCTTCCCCTTTCGGCCCACCTTTTGAACTCGTGAGCCAATCACCATCAAAGCGTACACCTTGTTGGCACACTCAGCTCAACCCTTTCACCCTGTTCACCTTCCGCCCGCCTTCAATCTCGACGTGGCATTTGCGCTTTTATGCTTCGGAGCTCCCGGAGCCGGAGACTCCAGCCAGTTTCATTTGTGAGTTTCGTTCGTGCAGTTTTGTCCGAAATATCCATCCTCCATCGAGGACCGAGTTCCACTCAGTCGTGAAGTGAAGCATAAGTCGAGGCGCCTCCGCCATGAGCCGCATGCAAGCGTAAGTTCTATGCAAATTTTCACGGGTCGCGTGCACCCAGGTGCTAATGAGTTCGAGCCCGCTCCCAGGTTCGAGTCCGTTCCCCTCGATTTCCGATGCCAAATTGTGGAGAGCCAGGCGGTACAAATTGCTTAATTTGTTTGGCTGTTGTTTAATTTCCACCCACGCACACGTGAACTCATATTAATACTCCTCTTTTCCCCTAAACGGAGAAAGTTTTGTGATTTTGTGATTGGAAATTAGTAACCTGGTAACTGGTTCGGGATTCGTGCTGCGCTCTCGTTTCGGCGGTTAGCATAATGCAGGGTGGGGAAGGCATTGGCTAATCCAAAATGGATTTGTGTGCACCGCAATGATAAATAACAGAAATCAAGAGGACTTTATAAAAACGATGTTTTGTTATTAATCTGTTAAGGAAGTCAATCGTAATGTTAAGTATTATCATTTAATATTACTATATATTTCATGTGTATTTAGAACGAAATAAAAGTGTTTAATAGGAGTTAATGTTTATCAATCTGAACTGAATTGTCCAACTGCTTATATCAATCTGTGATCTGTAATCTTGGGTATTATGAAATATGATTAGGTGGTATCCTGTCTGTTCTCTCTCTTGCCATGATCATGATTTATCACTCCTTTATTAATAATTTCTGGTTATTATTTTACTCTCTGTCATAAGTATTCACAAATTTGCAATAAATTGTGCATATTTCATAAAAATTACTATAAGTATTAGTTTTAAAAAAGCTTACACTGAAAAGGCCTTCTTAAGTAAATCTTATTTTTAATAATAAATAACTATATTTTCATAAAATAAATTTGAAAGTTCATGATGAAAGCCCAAAGTCAAGGCTGTTAATGTCATTAATGATTATGGGGTTCTTAAATAATTGATTATCTTTTAGAACTAAAATATTTGACCCCAAAATTGATGTTAAATTAATAGTTAATATTTATTTTTAGTAGAAAATTTTTGTTAGCAAACCTTCTTAAAGCCAGAAGTTATTATCAGATTTGGAAGAATATTTATGTATGACTTGTTTAATATTTTTAAAGAGTTCACAAACTAATTACAACCCATTTAATGAACATTAAGTCCTAACAAAATCTATTATCACTAGCAACCTTTTTAGCTTTTGAGTTTTCGTTTAAGAGTAAACCAACTTTTTGAGTGTGTTGCTTAATAATTTTTGAAATAACTAACTTCAGCCACATAAAGATTTCTAAGGAAGACAGAAAGGAGTAGAAACCCTTTGATGGTCCCTCTATTACCCATTACTTACTACAACCACTGTTCCTATTCTCGTGCCCTGTGCTGTTCGAACTGTTGTTTGGGCCACAGCGTCGTCTGCCATGCCCTACCCCACCAAATCAAATGATCCGCCGTGGAATGCTCAATTCCGCTTTATTTCCCGGCCACTTGTAACGCCCATTTGGGAACAATGAGGAGTCGTCAACTCCGCGCTTCATGCACGTGACTTGACAGTTATTTCAATTTAATAACTTCATATAAGTATATATGTATATATAGTAATAGGTATATATATACCGATGCAGATGCATGCCGATAGATTAAATTTGGGGAGCCAAGGCGAAGTTTGCATACGCTGCCGTCGAGGGAAACTTTTGCGATAAAAAGTAATCAAAGTGCTCGAAAGTTCGCGCCCAAGACGAAGACACTCACCTGGCCGCGAAGACCTCGCCCAGGTGTCGCAGGGCAGCCGATCGGAAGTCATCAACTTCGGTTGGGAATCGCGTGCCGTCTGGGGGCCTACGGTAATGCCCCCGGCCCACACGTCCATATGGCAACACTTTGGCTTCTACTGGGCCATTGACTATACCATACTGGGTATACAACCTGCCGAGTGGCTGGTGGCGATGACACCCACGTCTCCGCCGCCATCCGGCCGATTGCAATTGGAGCGCCCCGGCAGTGGATTTATGATAAGCGACACGCAAGCCGGAAGGCCAAATCCCAACGCGAAGCCGGCGATGTCAGCGTGAGACATTCGCAGGAGAACTCATTCTTGGTATAGCAAAACCCTGTCGAAATCTGCCATCTCTAGGCTTCCCTGGAGAGCGGCCCAAAACCAACAAAGCTTCAACAAACTTTTGACGATGTGTGGATACCCCATCACTCGGGGGGCTCAAGAGGAGGACTTGTCGATGAACAGGACTCGTGTCGGCATGTCGCTCCTGTCAGTGTGCAGATAGCAGCGCTCGGTGTTTGTTTTTCCGCTGCCGCCTGGCAGAGGCAGCTCCGAAAATCGAAAGCCTATAGGTTACGGAAACACCATGACCACCTGGACAACCATGAAAACGCGGTACGAAATGACCGGCAAGAATGTTTGCCACTCAAGTTGCGGGTGATAAAGAACTCTAAGGTGTTAGTGTTGTGAAATAATAAGTTAAGCGGTAGTGAAAATGGGAAAAATATTCCAAAGTAATAAAAAATATGTGAAAGACTGTGCTAAGTTCGGGATTTTGTTAGTCCTTGTTAAATAGTTTCCTGCAGACAAAAGATGCAAGGAATTATGCTAAGTCTAGCGTTTAGACTAACAGATACCTTGGAAGAACTTGTGATGCGTGGAAAACAAAAGAGTGTAGCCTTCGTATAATAGTTAAAATCATACCATTCGCTTGAAAAGTTATAGAAAATGTTGCAAGGGTATACAATGAAAGTAAATATAACCCGGTTATGCTCTTAAATTTCTTAAAAATATTTGATACGAATTATTAGTAATACTTAGCTTTATCTAAAGGGTACAGTACCGAAAGGGCTTTTAAAGTTAGTTTAAGTTAGGAAACTACTGCTGAATCGAGCTCTAGCCCACAATATCCTTAAATACCCCTTAGGACTTCGGAAATTGCTTTGTTAAGGGAATGTCTTACGCCAATGTTCCTTATTTCTCCAAGTGTATAATTATTTCGTTCAAAATATGTACAGTAAAAAGAGGTGATAATCAATTACCACGATTACCATCCACAGGATAACCGCATCGGTGCGCACCACCAACCGCATGAATGCACTGCTCTCGGAGTCGATGCTGAGCAGGCGGCGGGCAGCCCAAAATCCAGAGGGCGAGGCCAGCGCCGGCGAGAATGGGGAGCCGAAGAAGGAGAAACCCAAGAACGATTGGAAGTTCTTCCACACCAACTTCAATATGGAACGTGCCCAGAAGATCATCGAAGATTGCATCGAGGAGCGGCTGCTGTGGGATCGCTTCAGCCGCAATTACGACTCTTGGCGGGCTCTGCAGCTGGTCGAAGGTCTGGCGGCCGAGATACGCGACCGGGTCAAGAAGCTGAACCACAGGCGGTAAGTGGCGGCACCTCCTCCTCTGCCATCTAATCACTTAGCCCCAGAAGTGCCCTTCTCCATCCGCAGCCACCGCATCGTATGCCTGCTGTCGATCGTGGAGAAGCAGAACCAGGGCGTTTACCAGCGGATGTGCCACCTGATGGACGAGAAGCGGGACAACTTTACCCAGTTGGTCTTCGAGAGGCCCACGTACTTCATGATCGTGGTGCTGTACTTGGTATACAAGGATTAGGTGCGAAATAGATGGAAGCTTTACTTCCCCCTGTTGCTTGTTAATTACTGTTGTTAGGTTTAGTTAAGTGTTGACCCAGAAATACGCATTAGGTTATGTAAAAATAAAGGAAAGTATTGGAAAAAAATGGATTATCCTTCATCCTCTACTATAGGCCCCGGCGAGATTCGAACTCACGATCTCCTGTTTACTAGACAGGCGCTTTAACCAACTAAGCCACGGCGCCGCTGTGACTTCGAGCGTTGAACTACCCAACTTGAGCAAAAGATTCCACCCTATTTTAAGATATTTTTGGTAAAAATTAATATTGGAATTGATATTTGTTCAGTTGTTTCAACTTTAAGATATTGAAAGAGAGATATGATATGAATTCGTCGCTTCTTGAGATTGGGTAGTCTATAGAAAAACTACGGAAAAGCTTTAGATAAGGTACGGTACAGAAGTTCTACATAACGGTAAGGTAACAGCTTTTTAAGCTAAGGTGTTATACCGCCTTAAAGTGTCATATAAGTCTAGACATGAACCTTTTAATCGAATTTTAAAATAATATTTAATGATTCTGAAGGTTATTGAAATGCCTCAGTGGGTTAACAAATGTTACAACCTGTTATCTGCTCAAACATATTTGATTATCAAAGTTCAATCTACTAATTAGTGGTTTCAATATCAAGCTTTCCGTTTCTACGGAGAGCTTTTAAGAAAGCTTTCTGGGTAATAATTGGGGGATGATGAATGCCTTGTCAACAAAATACTATTTTATTCATAATAACTATTATATTATAGGCAATATTGGAACATGTTAATATGTTACAGAGTGCCATCTGGCATGGAATTATAGCTAACTAGCCAACAAAGGGTTAAGAAACTATGGCTACTTCGATCCAAAAAAATTGAACACCCTAGGGAATCACAAATTCTAAGGGTTAGGCCCCGGCGAGATTCGAACTCACGATCTCCTGTTTACTAGACAGGCGCTTTAACCAACTAAGCCACGGCGCCCTCGAAAGCTTCTCGAGGAGAATGGCTCTCTTAGGCAACAACTCAACGTCGAACGGAATCTGCAGACGAATTCATAAATAAACATCCGCCGTGTGTACAGATACTTAGATACTTATGCTTAAAGATACTTATGCTCGGTTATCCATATGTATTCATGCCGGCTGCTGGGCGAGCTGAACGAAAAAAGTTTCTTGGGGCACAGAAATAGTTATGTAATCTATGCCATATTTATCTACAACTTGTGCCGTATCGTTTGCCGAGACGACAAAAGTATTTATAAGTAGACATATCTGGCAGCTATTTAAATACTGGCCAGCAGGCATGTTTGTCTTTTCGAGGCTGGGCTGGAGAAATATGCAAATGCCGCCGCCTTGGCCAAATGGAAATTATTTGTACTTTGTGGCTAACTCGCACACACTGCTAAGAGTAAAGAGTGAAGAGCGAAGAGCAGAGCAAACTTGGGCACTCGAAATGTATCTTTGGAATTGCTGGGGAGCAGCCCAAAGGCAACTTGGATGTGCAGTTCTGTTCCGTTTCTTTCCTTATTTTTTGTGGTTCGGCATCGGCTTATTAGCAAGTTCTTTTTGTTCTCCGCAACTCGGGCTTGTCAAAGAGTTCAGTGGAGCAGCAAGAGCACGAATCCGAACCGCTGGCGATTGTTAAGTATCCGAGGTTCCGTTAGAACCGAATGTCATTCCGGTGCCAGGGGGTCATGTGACTGGGAATTGTGTGGAAATTGGGGGAAAAATTGCCGATCAATCCGGCAGTATCTGTATCTTTATCTTCTTCGCCGATGGCCACTGCTTCAATAAATCACTTGGCAAACTTTTCGGGCCTTCCTAAGCCCATTAGCACTGAATGCCCAGCAAATAGTTTCGCATCTCTGTCCCCAACTCCGAGCAACAGTTTGGCTGGACACGCACCGCCAGGCGTTTACCAAACTAATTGCCCGAACTTAGTTGCTCATCAAATTGCCGCATCATTTTACCCAGATTTTTATCGCGCCAACCCAACTCCAATCCTTGGGGTTCGCAGTAATCGCGGTGTCCGGAGGGGGAATCCCACTCACTGTGAATCTCCAAATCGGGCAGAGGTATCTAATGCGTTTCCTGTGTTTCAGCCTTGTAACAGCCAACAGCACGATGTCCGATGTCCTGTGCCGGTGTCTGTATTGCTGTATTTGTGTATCTACATGTTTCCATCTCTGTTAATGTACTCTACTGTATTGGGTACATAAGCTAAAGATGTATTTTATTCATGTTACAAGGTTGAAAAAAGCATCATAGTTTGAAATACTATTTCAGTGTGGGATATATATAGTGATGATCTGATCAAGGCAAACCTTTTTGGATTGCTTTAGAAATAAAAGTGATGTTTCAGTACTTAAAAATTCTTAAGACAGTTGCCTTTCTGTTTAGTCATTGAAACTGCAAATGGATTGAATATTTTAGTCAATTATTAAAATTTCTAAAAAAAATTAAGTCCTAAGTCGTCTTAAGTCTGCCGTAAATAACCGGCCATATCAGAGTATAAAATGTTCTTCGTTGAATTGGCAATGGCGCGCTGCCTCTAACCGCTTGTAACCTTGCAATTTGGCATTGGCATTAGCACATGACTCCAATAAATTCGTTTTCGCCACTCCCGACCCCTCTCTGTCAGTCCAACCCGGCCTTATCTGGCATCTCACTCAGACCGGGACCCATGTCGATCCATACTCCCAACCCCAAAGCCCTCAACCCCCAAAGCCCTCAACCTCCTCGTCAAATGCGCAGCAATTGAGTTTTTACGCATTTCGAAAACCTCCAAAAAGGATGTGGAGCTGGAATAGGAATAGGAATCTCTGCTAGAGCTGGAGCAGGATAAGGATTTCAGCCTTGGCTGCTGGCCTTCCGCCCGAGGCAGCCAGCTTAGCTGGAGTCTCTTTCAGTGTGTGATGCGGATTTGGTCGTTTTGCTGCCAGGATGGGGAAAGACAAATCTGCTTTTGTTTTTATCTGATGCCGTTTCCTATTTAGCCATCTTATCCTGGTGGGAATTCGAGCACATTTGGCTGACGTCGAGAGTCGGATTAGGCAACCGGAAAGTCCACGATAGCCTGGCTTTAATGATGGCCGCGACGAGTTGAATTTTGTAATTATTATTGGCCACAAAAGGGCTATTAAGGCCGCCGAACCTCAATAACCCTAATTGGGCGACATTTCCCAGGCAATTACAAACAGGAGGCCCACGAAAATAAAATGTAAATTAAAGCAATAATTGCTGGAACTTTTCTGATGGGAAAACCAATTTATTTGCTGGCTTCTTGGAAGATGGAATACAACGAATTGGACGGGGTTGCGGGAAGTCTGGGGCTGCTACCAATGCAGCTGAAATGGAATTAGTCTTTAGTTTATATCAATACGGACAGGTAAGGTCTACCTACTCGATGTGTCTGCAGAAGAACTCAAAGTCTTTGACCATCGACCCGAAGAGATTGTGCAGGAAGACGCGTAACATCATGAGCTCTAGGCTGATACGGTCCCTGTTGGTCTTGTGACACTTTAGGGGTAACACGCTTTTCCGAATATTTTCAGCCTTGTGGACGTGCTCCTCCATTACTCGCCGAAAGGTCGTGCAGTCTACTTTGTGAGTCTTATGGTGCTCCCAACGCTCTATGCACATCCCGAATTGGTGTTTGACCCTTAGCTTGAACTCCTTGAACTGGACAAGCTTCCGCCTCGCCTGGTTGATGCGCGATTGGAGCTGGCAGGTCCAATCATCGAGTTCCTTCAGCTCCTTTCGCGAATCATCCAGGTGCTGCTTTGCTTCCTGAACCCGGAGAACGAGCTGACACTTGTGGCGGTGCAGTTCTAGGAGCTGCTGGCTTTCGGGAGTCAAGCCTATTTCGACTTCCTGATCGTCGAAGTCGTCCTGGAATCCATCCGACTCCGGGACTAATATCTTGTTACGCAGCAGGATCAGACGCTGCTTCATGCCCTCCAGCTCGTCGTAGGCAACGTCTAGATCGGTCACCTCCTCCATGCCGCTTGGATCGTTACCGCTTGTCACCAGTTCGCTCTCTTCCTCCTGATTGGTGGCCATGGGTCGGCAGTCTTGTATTTTCCAAAGGGCCATGCCTGCCAAGCTCGGACTTTGATTGGTATAGGGATGTGTGTGTGTGTGTGTGTTGGGAACTATGATTAAAATGAAATAAATCTGTCATTAAAACGGATGACAGTGAAGTAAAAAGTTGGCTAATAGAATGGGCAGATGTAGTTTTAAATGCTTAACTAATAAACTTTGAAATCAGTTTTCTCGTTGGTTAATGTGATATGGGCCTGACAGCGACTGCTTGGATCGTTAAATCAAAGTTTAACTGATTTTCCCGTCTGCTCCCTTGCCCCAATTTAATTGAGTTAAGCGAAGCCGTTAGCCCCCTCGTTTCACTTTCAATTAAATAAACAACTTTTCAGCGGCTGCCAAAATGCCCGAGTCCCCTTGGCATCCCTCGCCGTTGTTATGGCATTTTAACCCCTAATTTATTAATGACTGCCGGCATTCATCACGACCAAAAAGTTCATATTTCAGAAACTGAAGCAGAAAGGGTTGGAAATTATTGGGCGGCATTTGATTAATGACACTTACCACTCCACCGGAGGGGGGATTTTGGAGCTGATGGGTTCGGGGGATGATGTTCTTGCCACGTCCCCAAAGTGTTTCAACAAAATATTTGCCAAGTTTCACTTTTCGACGAGTCCTGTCACGTGCAATATCTGCAGCCGGGCCAAAAACTAGAATGCCAAAGTCAAGTCTGGGCTTATCCATAACAATGTCCTACCCTCTGCGGATGTTTCTGCATACCGTTGCGCATTGTGACATGCCAGATGAATTTGTCCGAACATGTGTTCAGCTCCTGCTGCAGCTGTTCCAAGAGTCCTGCCCCCAGAACTTCCCCTCGCCTGATCCTTGGGGCCCTGGAACTGATACAGATAAATTTAATTTCGTTCGCTCTGTTTGCCCGTCGGAGGATGGCAGCCATTGAACTTGCATGCCAACACGAATTTTGATTTTTCTTGCCGCTCCATCCATCGCTTTCCATACCCCAGCCAATCCTCCCCCTTCAGCTTGTCCCACATTGCTTGTGGATCTGGGACTGTCAGGGGTTATTGGCATTATAATCACGTAGCCATGCATGCGACTCTCGCTGCTGTTATATCATTCCAGAAATAGGTTTATTTGCGGTCTTAATGGAGGCTTTAGTTGATATGTGGTAAATGAGATCTGCATTAAGGTTGAATTCTAATTTATGATTAGGAATTTGATTAAAATTGTACGCCAATTTCAAATTTAAATAACTTTAACTTTGCACCTATTAAGATTGAGATTTAGTTAGAAGAATGAAAATGCTCATCTAGCTAAAAGATAAATAAAGAAGAGCCACAAAATCCATCAGATTTCCTTCTGCAACTGCTTTGCAAAGATAGCTTTGAGTTTTCCGCTTTCCAATCCATTCCCCTGGCTATGAAAACTTTACTATGCATGTGCTCTTGTCGATTCCATAAATCACACGATGCCAATTCCCAATAAGTTTCCATTCGCGGCATAAATCTGAATATTTTTGGGACCCGAGCGGAGCAGACAACAAACCTAATCCCTGGGCAAACGTGACTCAATTATATGGCCAACAATCTCCAGGATCGGATGGCATGTGTGTGTTGGTGCTGTTGCTGGTGCGGGTGCCACTCAGATTTCATATGATGTTTTTTACACAATGCATAATTCGGAGCGAATTTATGTGGAAAACAATAAAATTAAATTGTTTTCGCATTCGGCATTCAAAGGCAGCGTCCTCGACTGGCAACTGCTGTTCGCATAATGAACTCATCTAGACGAGAATAATAAATTTTCCCGGCAGCATTCGAGGCAGGAAAGAAATGGCGCAGCCATTTCAGAGCATTTCCCATCCCCATCCCTTCTTGCTTTCCGTATGTGATTTTATTCCTGGCCTTCCTCAGGATACGTCCTTCGCGCTTTTCGCCCGCCAACCAGGTCGTAAACCACAAGAGCCCGCTGTAGCTTGGGTTTGTCACTCCGGTGGCTCCTTTGGCCCGGGTCCTTCTGCCTCGTGCCTCCTCGAGTGTTTAACTCATGAACGCCCACTTTGATTTCTATTTGAATTGTGCGCGCAGACGGCGACGCGAGCCACTTGTAAAGTTGCCATATGTGGCACCGATTTACGGCAGTGGCAAGTGGCAGATTCCGAAATGGGAAGCAGTTCCAAGGGGTTGCACCAAACTGAAATTTAAACAAAATTTATTTTTTTCAACCCAAGAATCCTTGTGGAGAGCCTTAAACGGAGGTGTCGGTCTGCTCTAAGATGTTTTTTTTTTCTTTAAGGTTTTGCTTAGTACAATAGTGTTAATTTTTATTTCAAACAGGTCTTATGTTTGTAATGCTGTACTTGATAAAAAATTAAGTATTTATTGATTTTATTTTGATTAACAGTGAAAAGTTTGGTTATTTAAGCAACATTTTGTGCAAGTTTTCTTACATAATTTTGATTTCCGACTATGAAACAGCTTTGATATAGTCACATATTCAAATCTAATTTCTTGTACAACCTCAGCTGTCTTGTATAAAGATCATGAAATTGACATGAATAAGAATAACTATAGAAAAATAATATTAGAAATAAAGCTTGGATCTTGTAGTAGAGTACAGGCAGCACACGTTAATGATGACGTCTCCATACGAAGTCGGATTTGTTCGGCGTGGAGGCAAACTAGAAATCCGGTTGGATGATAAAACTCGAAGGAAATTTTCTTAAATAACAAGCCAATAACGCTCTTTTATCGATTTCCAAGTCAAATGAAAGATATGACTTAAAGAAGGCGGAACCCCAATCTAACAATATAAGATTATTTATTTATTTATTTATCTAAGGCTTACAATTAGTTAAAAAAAGGGCTAGCACCTGGCTAGGAGCAATAGCAAATAAGGCCTTCAGCTCGACTAAATTTGAATGGTATGATGGATGTCAATCTGGGCGATGTTGCACAATGAGCACAAGCTGTTCTTTGATAAGATTATATTTTGTTCTTCAAGTATTTTAGGACCAATCCTTAACCCTTAAATGCTGTTTTCATATATAGAGATTAAATTCAATCTAGAATATTAAGGATTACCTCAAAGATTGGTGTCGTATAAAACTACCAATTATTATTCCTTTCATAGGGTTTTCTTTTAGTTACAGTTCTGAGCTTTAAGGATATTTATATAAAGATATCAAACATAAGTCATAAGCAAACATCTAATTTCTCAAACTCAAGATTGTCTCACTGAGAGCAGCGTATTAATTGAACTTCCCAGCGAAATATCAACCTGGCGATTTCCTTCCTCCCTGGACTGGTCTTCGTGCTTCTCAACATTTTCATGCTGCACGAAAATACTTAAGAATACTTTCACCTGCTGCTCAGACGATTCAATTAAATGCAATTCGCACGCACACATGCCACATGCCTCCTTGCCCCAACCGCTTGGCTGTCATGTGTTTCTTTGAAAAATAGATTTCTAAAACGTTTAAGCTGCAGCATGTGTCTTGAATTTTAAACCCCTGGCCACCCCCCCACATAAACATATTAAAATTGCGCCAAGGTGGATGCAAGCTAGACAGCCACCCCCAGGATCCCAGTATCCCAGTATCCAAGAGTTCCGCAGTCCCGCAGTCCCGCAGTCCCGGAATCCGAGGACTTCCAGCATATGCCTTGGCCGCCAAATAGCACAAACGTGACCAAACTTTTTGTGACTCTTTGTGCATTGTTGGCAGGCGATCATTTATCTTAAATGCCAGGCCATGGAAACGGCCTGGGGAGTCCTTTGTGCGGTTCCCCATTCCTCCTGCTCAGTATGCGTAATGAAGGAGGGTATGATGGGCCTGGAGGTCTGGTTGTTTCTTTAATGATAAACCATAATGAGATCTAAATTGGAATAGAGTTAAAGATAAAAGTACTGAGTACTGCCTCAGCATAGTTTGTTATGCTTTTAATGCCCACTTAATGGGTAACTTACGGTCGGGAAACTCGACTTCTTCTTTCCTAGCTTTTTTGGCTGCTAGGCAACCTTCTGGACTGACAGGGCGGAAGTTGCCCAAGGTGAACGCGGACTGCCTAATAAGGAGCATTGTGGACGAAGGAATTCATGGTCTTAAGCGGCTTTGCAGGCAGGACAACCCAGTAATGGTCAGAGCCTTGAAAGAAATGGAAATCCCGCAGTTAAAAAGGAAAAGTTTTCCAGTTGATTCATTGAACGGAAGCGAAGTTCAAACACAAATTTTTTGGGGGTCACTTAGGTGTATATACAGTCTTAAAAGGACCTTTGCTTTAATTTGACTATAGAACTTTGGTTTCAGTTCAAAGTTGGCAATCATTTCGGGCTGAACCCTTCATCTTGGCCGGTCACTTTTCCATCCAATTCAAAGCAGTTGGCCGAAAGTAGTTTTCCCCTTTTTCATATTTGCATTGCAGCTGAGGCTTATAAAACTTTCTGGCAAAACAATTATGGGGCATGCATAGATAAACAAACAATGTATAGCTACTACGACCATGCACCCACCATACACCATCCACCATCCACCTCCCACTGAATGTTATATCCTTTTTCCCTGCTTTTGTTTAAAAAGAACTTTTGAAATTTTTGTTTGTTTGCCCAGCGACTTTGTCTGGAAATTGTGCTCAGATCCTTCTTCCTCCTTGGACGGATATTAAAATTGCAAAATTTTTTAATCTTTTTTGCGAGGAGCATTTTACATATTCTATAGATTCCGGTGCACGACATAATGTCCCTATTGGGCGTTTGAGGTCCTGCCAGCCCGGAATCCTGCCATCCTGCCATCCTGGCATCCTGGCTGGAGCACATAAGGTTGAATTTATGTATGTATTCGGGCTACCCAATTTCCCGTGCCGCTCGCACGGCAATAAAAGGAATATCCTGGCATAAGAACGTTTCCGTTCAACCAACACCCAATCCTGCTCTTGGCTCCCGTAGCTGCTACTGCTACTGCTGCTCCTGGTCTTGAGTGGCAAAAGTTTTTTGTCCTTGCCGATGCCGGGAACGTAAAATTTTTATAGACACGTAGGTAGGAGTGTGCGTGTGTGTGTGTGTGTGTGTAGGTGGATGCTTAAATCCCAGTTTACTACTTTAGGTGTTTACC